TTTTTTTTTATATTAAAAATTAGTTATAAAACTACATTCAATATATTACATCAATTATATATTTTTATTCAACTTTTTACTATTAACAAAACTATTTAAAATTTTAAAATATTTTCAATTATTTCTAAACACAACTAAATAGTTATTTATTAGATGTGATATCTTATTTATTTAAAATAGATATTGTGTATGTGTTTTAGCAAATAATAATAATAATAATAATAATAATAAAACAAAATGAAGAAAAAAGATATTCTACAAAAGAGCATAGCTTTAAGATTTGCTTAGTTGTAATTTTGATGTTTTATAATATTAAAATTTTGAATTAAAGAAACTGTTTACTTGGTACAAATAAGTATTAGATTTAATTTTCTAAATCTAAATAAAATTTTAAATATATTACTCCCTTCGTCCCAGATATCATGTACAAATTGCCGTTTATCTCCGTCTCACATACATGTCACTTTTCTTTTTTGGAAAATAATTACATACTTTAATCTCATTTTAAATTTTTTAACTTTTTTTTTAAATTTTAATTAAACGAATTAGTTATCTTAATCTTAATTTATAATTATTTATATTATAGAATAATTATTTTTACTAATACATTTTTAATTATCTACTAATTATACCATTCCTAAAATACAGTGTCTACAGTATAACAGACACACGGTATTTGAGACGGAGAGAGAGTATAAAAATAATGATAAACGTGTTGGAAATAGATAAGTTGATTTAATTAATAGTAGATGTGAATTACTAAATATTTGAAGGAACTGCCACCTACATTTGAAGACATCTCAAACCTAGGCTGTGTTTAGTTTAAATTTATTGCAACAAATAATGATAAACATGTTGGAATTAGACAACTCGATTGAATTTGCAGCACATCTACATATTTAAAGAAATTGCAACCTATAGGTTTTCAATTGATTTGAATTTAACTTTTAAATAAAAAGAGTGATAAAACGTGCCGAATATTGACAATTCGATTGAATTTGCAGAGCATTTAGTGCCCGTTTGGATTAACGCAGAAACCAAAAGTAGAGAAGCAGAAGCAAAAATGTAACATTAATACTCCCTTCGTTCTAGAAAAGATGTCTTATTGGGAGTGAACACGGGAATTAATGAATAATAGTATTTAATTGATAGTGAGTATAAAGTAGATAATAAAATACTAAAATATCCTTACTTTTTAATGATTTTAAAAAGTAGGTTAGAGTAATAATTAGGGGTAATTTGAAAAAGTAGAAATAATTTTATTATAAAGTGGGGACCATGATTACTAAATAAGAAAACAAGACAATTATTTTGTAACGAACAAAAATGGAAAAACAAGACAACTCTATTGGGACGGAGGGAGTATAATAGTATTTCTCTATATAACTTTTATAATTTATTTTAAATTTTATTAATTATATTTAAAAGTTTAAATTAAAGTATAAAAAATACTACTATATTTTTAAATTTTGTTATTTATATTTTAAATTTTTAACTTAAAAATAATATATCAATTAAAAATAAAATTACAATATAATATTAAAAATATTTGTATGTTATAATTTATTTTAAAACCTTATAAATTATATTTAATTTTAGTATAATTAAAAAATTTATATACTTTTATTTAAATTTGGTATCTCAATTTTAAAATTTAATCTTAGTATAGTATAAAAATTAAAAACAATAATATAATTATATTTTTAAATTTTTATTAACCTACAATATATAAATTAATTTTTTTTATACTTACTATAGTATAGTATATTATTGCAGAACTCCTTCCGTCCCAAACAAGATGCAATATTTGCTTTTGGCATGAGTTTTTAGGTGGGTAGTATTAAGTAGGATAATTTAGAAATTAGGTGATGTGATGGAGAGAAAAATATATATTTTATTTTTTTATTTGGATGATGTGAGGGGATAAAGTGTGAGGTAGATATTAAGTATAATTAATTAATTATTTCCTATTTTGAAAATATTGCAGGTGTTTGAGACATACCGAAAATGAAATGTTGCAAGGTGTTTGGGACGGAGGGAGTATTATTTATTATTATTATTATTATTATTATTATTATTATTATGGATAAAATAATGATTAAGTGCTTCTGCTTATTTTAAAAGTTACTCCAATGTAATTTCGAAAAAATACTTTCAGCTTCAAAAGGTGCTTTTGTTTTTCGACATAAGTCAGACTTTATATTTTTACAAAAATTAGCACCTAATTTTAAAGATGTTTTCTTTTTAGATTTGGTTTAAATTTATTGAAAAACAATAGTAATGTATACGTGTGTTCGAAATTGACAATGGGTTGAATTAGCAACATATTTACATATTTAAAGAAATTACCCACCTATATATTCGAATAGGCCTTTGATCTAGATTGTCTTGGGTTTGAGTTTTTGTTATTTCTAATAAAAAAAGTAAATTATAATTTTTTTTTAAAAAAAATAAATTATTTCTATAACAAAATATCATAAACATTGTTACACAAACTTAGACAATTCAATTAACCACTATTACAAAAAAAAAAAAACTCAAACTATTTATGAGAGAAATATTGGATTCATATATCCAGCTTTTTAGATGAAATGATTTTAATATAATATATTTATGAGAGAAATATTGGATTCTTTTATCCAGCTCTTTAGATGAAATAATTTTTAATGGATTGTATACAAAATTGTGTATGAAAATATAAAATATACTTTTAAAATTGAATATTTTATTTTTTGATTTTTTATAACGAGTATCAAAAGTTAATTCTTTTTTTTTTTTACTTTTTTTACTTTTGTATGATTTTTTTTATAATATTTATTATTTCTTTTAGGAATCGTAATTGAAAAAAATATTGAATGAACAGAAATATTATGTTTATATTGAGAAAATCATATGGACTATATATATATATAAGTAATTTTGAAACCCAAAACAATCAAATTTCAATATTTTAGACTTTTTTTACATGAAATTTTTCGTAACTTTTGGCATTATATAATTTTTTTAAAAATATCATAAACATTTTTTTTTTCATAAAATATTAAAGTGTGTTCGTTCTATATCTTTTAACATATTTTTTTAAAAAAACAAATATATTATACATATTTATTATTTTAATTTTTAATTTTTATTTTATAATATATAATATAAAAAACAATAAACAAATTTAAAAAATTGCTAAAAAATTAAGTATTTATATGAAAATTTAAATTTTGAATAATAAAAAGAATTATATTATAATAATTGTTTGATACTATAAAAATAGATATAAACAAAAAAGTAATAAATAATAATAAAAAAAAAATCTTAAAAAAATTCTCGATGATATTTTTAAGAGCTATTTTTTTTAATAAATGTTTTTACTATTTATTAATTTCATATATTACAAAATTCATCCGGTAATAGATTGATATTTTGCAAAATTTTTGAAATATGATAACTTCATTAATAAAATTATTAGATAACAAATAGATGACAATCGTTTCGAAATTTGAAAAATTAGCCCCTCTTCTCATCTCGGTCTGGTTCCGCCTCTGCTTACATCAAACAAATATTTGCTCAAACTAATTCACAAAACAAACACACCGAAAATCAAATACTCAATTTGTTATTATTTTAATAAGTATACTTAATCCGTCCGGTAACTAAGTATCCATTAATTTTTTCAGGTTATTATTTGAATATTAATTATCATATCAAAACATATTATAAATCAAGGGAAAATGACAAAAATATTTATATTAATGTCTTAGACGCAAAACACAAATGGATACCTTGTTAAAGGACGAAGGAAACATATAATTTTCATATTGACTGGTCGAACAATCTTTATTAAATAGTGACTTTGTTCTCCCAACCAAATTTTTAATTACGATTCTCCAAAAATAATAATAAGCATACAATATTTTTTATATAAAAGTAAAAAGTCAAAATAAATTTCACCTACGGCATACAAAAAATATTTAACTTAAAATAATATACTTTTTGACCCAAATTTACGTAGCACAAACAAAAGAACCCTATGCAATTATCCTATTTCTTTTACATTAAACATAGTAGTAATAATACTAGTAATAATTTAAAATGATGTAGTAAGGCCATCTCCAACCTAGAGCCATTAATGGCACTGGGTCGGTTCTTTTACATTAAACATAGTAGTAATAATACTAGTAATAATTTAAAATGATGTAGTAAGGCCATCTCCAACCTAGAGCCATTAATGGCGCTGGGTCGGTAGATTTGGCGTCAGTCGTGCGCCAAAAATTGAATTTTTGGCGTTGCTCCGATTATTTTTTTTTTTTAATTTTAAAATTTATTATTTTAATTTTTAAATTTATTTTTCTAAAAAAGAAATTTAAAAATTATTTTAAATTATAAAAATAAAAAAATTATTTAAAATAATATAAAAAATTAAATATTTGAAGAATAATAATAAAAAATAAAATTATAATTAAAATAAAATTATTGTCACAATTACAGAGTTAAAATTAAATAAATAGAATAATGGCTTGAAAAAATTGGCTAAAAAGAAGGTGAGCGTAAACTTTCAGCAAATTTACTACCCAATCCCTGCCACCATTCAACATGGTCACGCACTTATACGTACAGAATCCTCACTACATATACTGATATACTATACGCTATTAAATATATATATATATATATACACATATACATATATACACACGATACACCATTAAATAATTCACCATCGAATTATATATATTGTACTGTGTACACCTACACCATCAATTAATCCATGAATTTCAGTGAAAGGCAATCAAGTTCCAAGAAAATTTGACAAAATGTCAAATTTGGGAACCGCTGGAAATGGATAGTGTGTGAATTAGAAAATGTTACTTTTATATCTTAAAAATGTTTGTGTGTGTCTGTTTTTTTGTTTTCTATTTTTTTAAAAAAAGTATTTTTATATAGTGTGCTTGCTAGCATTTCGCTTTCAATGGCCACCGCAGAGCGCTAGCTAGCTAGCTTTTCGGCTGGCTGGGATTTCTCTATATATACGGATACGCTCAAATCCATATTTCCATCCCCTGCAGGCAGCAGCATATCTGTCTATCTTTCTAAAAGTGGAGTGCGAAACGACAGAAAGCTCCAGCAGTGGTGCCCTGCTTTGCGATTTTGTTGTCGGAGGGTGAAATATGGGTGTTGCCGATGCGGATGTGGAGAAATTAGGTAGAAAGAAGAAGAAAACGAGCAGTAACATCTCATTCGCGTCGATTTTTTTGCATGCCGATGCTTCGGATATGGTGTTGATGAGCCTTGGATTATTTGGTGCATTTGTTGACGGAGTTTCCATGCCTGCCATGCTTTTAGTTACTGGAAAGCTCATGAACAGTTTCGGAAACTCTCAGCTTTCGGTTGCTGAAACTTTCATTCGCAACGTCAATAAGGTATATTTAGGGGTTTTTTTTTTGGCGTGATTGTGGAGTTGATTTTCGCGAGTTTGATTTCGACGTAGCATTTATGACTAACTAACATTGCACTGAAGTAGATTTGCTATTTTTGGTATATGAGGATTTACAATTTTATATTTCTAACTAGTTCGTCGAAGCTACGATTGTCTGTCCATTTATTATTAGTTTATGCTGTGGCAATTGTATGAATCGATATTTCGAAGCAGCAAAAATGGCTGATTGTAAGATTTTTGTCTCTTGTTTATGCCTAGAATGCATTGGCTCTTTGCTACATAGCTTGTGTGCAATGGATTGGCTGCTTCCTTGGTAGGCGTTTTCAGTAATTGTACAGAAAGTTTTCATTTGCAGTGTAGTTTGAGAAATTTCTCAAGATCTAACCGTGCCTGCGTTTCTTTCAGAGGGATACTGTTGGACAAGAACAGCACAGAGACAAGCTTCAAGATTAAGAACAACATACTTGAAAGCTGTAATGAGGCAAGATATTGGCTACTTTGATTTACACGTAACAAGCACAAATGAGATCATTGAAAGTGTCTCCAACGACAGTGTACAAATTCAAGATGCTATAAGTGAAAAGGTTGTTATGATTTACTAGTCTAAATCCTACCCGATGAAATAAATTTGGTGCCTATTGTTGCTGTATGTAACAGTACTGATTTTACAAACAGGTACCGGTTTTTGTGATGAACCTGTCGGCATTCTTTGGGTCCTATTTGGTGGCATTCATATTGTTGTGGAGATTAGCAATTGTGGGATTTCCATTCACAGTATTTTTAGTGATACCAGGCTTGATGTATGGGAGAACTCTGATGAATATAGCAAGGAAAATCAGGGATGAGTATAATAAAGCCGGTGCAATTGTGGAACAGGCCCTTTCTTCAATTCGTACAGTTTATTCATTTGCAGGGGAGAGCAAGACTATTGCCTCATACTCTGCTGCACTTCAGGGGACTGTGGACTTGGGATTGAGGCAAGGGTTAGCCAAAGGTTTAGCCATTGGCAGCAATAGCGTAGTCTTTGCAATTTGGGCTTTCTTGTCTTATTATGGTAGTAGGATGATCATGTACCATGGAGCTCAAGGAGGCACTGTCTTTGCTGTTGGAGCTGCAATTGCCCTTGGTGGATTGTAAGGATTTCTTTTCATAATTTCTTGTTAATCAATGCCTTGTTCTTGTTTGTTTTTATTCATCTTTTTGCTTCCTTTCCAATTGCTTATATTGCAGATCATTAGGTGTCTGTTTGTCCCACCTGAAGCACTTTGCTGAAGCAAGTGCAGCTGCAGAGCGCATAAAGGAGATCACAGAAAGAGTCCCCAAAATCGACTCTGAAAGTATGGAAGGAGAGCTCCTGCAAACTGTGTACGGGGAAGTTGAATTCAAGCATGTCAAATTCGCTTACCCTTCGAGGCGTGAAAGCATAATATTCGAAGATTTCAACCTGAAGATCCCAGCAGGAAAAACTCTTGCATTAGTTGGAGGAAGTGGGTCAGGAAAATCCACTGTGATTGCATTATTGCAAAGATTTTATGATCCACTTGGTGGTAAAATTCTTCTTGATGGTGTTGCAATCGACAAGTTGCAGCTAAAGTGGCTAAGGTCACAAATGGGACTAGTTAGTCAGGAGCCGGTCCTCTTCGCTACCACCATTAAAGAGAACATATTATTCGGCAAAGAAGATGCATCCATGGAGGAGGTTATAGAGGCTGCTAAAGCTGCTAATGCCCATAACTTCATCACTCAGCTGCCTCAATGCTATGACACTCAGGTACTAATTTTGCTTGCCTTTACAATTCTTGAGGAATATTATAACTCAAACATGATGGGCTTATCTAGTGGGAAGTTTTTAGTGTTTGGGAGCATCTGGTTACACCTATTATTATTGGATATTGATATGATCAAGATAGGATATTTTGCAAGTGGAAAAATGACAACCATCTAGCATCGAAAACTGCTTATGATCCCATCTTATCTGCATATACCAATTTGTAATATTCTCAAATGTTTTGACATTCTAGATGGATTGTGTTCAGGTTGGGGAGAGAGGAGTGCAGATATCTGGAGGACAGAAGCAGAGAATAGCAATTGCTAGAGCTATTATCAAGGCACCTAAAATTCTCCTACTCGACGAAGCCACGAGTGCACTAGACTCAGAATCCGAGCGAGTGGTCCAAGAAGCTCTCGACAAGGCAGCAGTGGGACGCACCACTGTTGTCGTAGCTCACCGTCTCTCCACCATCTGCAATGCAGACCTGATCGCCGTGGTCCATAATGGTCATGTCCAGGAGTCGGGTTCGCACGATGAGCTTATGAAAAACAACCAAGGCCTGTTCGCTTCCTTCGTTCAAATCCAACACATTGAGGATACTAAAGAGTACATGGATACCAACACCACTAGCCCTTCATGCATTTCAAAAAGCGACATACATAGCGCTAGCAGTAGAAGGGTGTTGACAGCCAGTTCATCAAGCTCAACGAACTTGGCTGAACCGGGATTAGAAATAGGAAGCACGCCCAATGATCGAGCATTGCCAGCGCCTTCGTTCACAAGATTGCTGGCTATGAATATGCCGGAATGGAAGCAAGCAACGCTAGGGTGCATAAGTGCAATACTGTTTGGTGCTATCCAGCCTCTGTATGCATTCTCGATGGGTTCGATGATATCGGTCTATTTCCTGCGCGATCACGCAGCGATCAAGGAGAAGACGGAGATGTACGCACTGTGCTTCGTCGGGCTCGCAGTCTTTTCGCTCGTGATCAACATCTGTCAGCACTACACCTTTGCTTCAATGGGCGAGAACTTGACAAAACGGATCAGAGAAAGAATGCTGTCAAAGATCCTCACTTTTGAAATCGGATGGTTTGACAAGGATGAAAATGCTACCGGCGCTGTATGCTCTCGACTCGCCAAAGACGCCAATGTGGTACGTACTACATAAGAACATGAAAGAGTGTATCCTATTCGAGTTTAATCATGTTGTAATATTCGATACAGGTGAGATCTTTGGTAGGCGATCGGATGGCGCTGTTCATACAGACATTCTCGGCCGTAATCATCGCCTGCACGACGGGGCTCGTCATCGCATGGAGGCTAGCATTGGTGATGATAGCAGTGCAGCCTCTAATCATAATCTGCTACTATTCTAAACGTGTACTGCTCAAGAACACATCACAGAAGTCCATCAAAGCCCAAAACGAAAGCAGTAACCTCGCCGCAGAAGCCGTCTCCAATCTTCGAACCATCACAGCTTTCTCTTCGCAAACCCGGATTCTCAAAATGCTCGAAAAAGCCCAAGAAGGACCTCTAACCGAAAGCATTCGCCTGTCGTGGCTTGCCGGGATCGGCCTCGGAACCTCCCAAAGTCTCATGACCTGCACTTGGGCCCTCGATTTTTGGTTCGGCGGCAAACTCATGGCAGAAGGCTTCATCGGCGCGAAGTCGCTGTTCCAAACTTTTATGGTCTTGGTAAGCACAGGTCGCGTCATAGCCGACGCTGGAACGATGACGAACGATCTCGCCAAAGGAGCCGACGCAGTCAGGTCTGTTTTCGCCGTGCTCGACCGCTACACCTTGATCGATTCTAACGATCGCGACGGATACAAACCGGAGAAACTCACCGGCCATGTTGAGCTGCAAGACGTCGAATTCGCCTATCCGGCGAGGCCAAACACAATGATCTTCAAAAGCTTCTCAATCGACATCCCGGCAGGGAAATCGATCGCCCTCGTGGGACAGAGTGGATCGGGGAAGTCGACGATAATCAGCCTAATCCAGAGATTCTACGATCCTCTAAAAGGCGCCGTTCGGATCGATGGGCGATGCATCAAGTCGTACCATCTAAGAACACTGAGACAACACATTGCATTAGTCAGCCAAGAGCCAACGCTATTCGCGGGCACCATAAGGCAAAACATCAGCTACGGATCGTCATCGTCAGACAACATCGACGAAGCGGAGATCGTCAAAGCGTCGAAGGCGGCAAATGCGCACGAATTTATCTCCGGATTGAAAGACGGATACGACACTTTCTGTGGCAGCAGAGGCCTGCAGCTGTCCGGTGGGCAGAAGCAACGAATCGCGATCGCGCGCGCCATGCTTAAGGATCCGGCGATCTTATTGCTTGACGAGGCGACGAGCGCATTGGACACGAAGTCGGAGAAAGTCGTGCAGAGTGCTCTGGAGACAATGATGGTCGGGAGGACGAGCATCGTGGTGGCTCACCGGCTGAGCACCGTGCAAAATACCGATAGTATCGCGGTTTTGGAGAAAGGTAGAGTTGTTGAAATGGGAAGCCATAGTTCATTGCTGAGTAAAGGACGTGATGGAGCTTATTATTCACTCGTTAGCCTTCAGACATCTCCTACGATGAATCAAAGTACGTAGTTGTGTTGATTATATCTTGTGTTGTAATGTGTTTTCTTGCAGCTCTAAGGGCTGTTCTTTCTTTTAAAAAAGACTTGTGTACTGTTTTTATACTTATATTTTTGTAAAACATACGTAAGAGCAATAAGAAAGGTCTCTGTTTTGCATAAAAAGTTGTATTTGGATCACATTGTTAAGACGGGGATCCGAATCGATACAAGATCAATACCCAATATGAATACCAAGGCTCTGATACCATGTTATGGTGGGGATTCGGATTTCAACTTAAAACCAATTGATTATATGTGGAGTAGCTGTTCACCCCTTATAAGGCAGGAGAATCCCAAATCATATCTAATATCTAATATCTAATATGAGATATTCAACACACATGTCAAAACCAATTTGAAATTGAAGCCCTTCTCAAAACAATTTTTTTTTTTTTTTGTTCTCCACAAACTCATTTGGTTAGCTGGTTTTTCAGTTTGGTAAGTGTTCTTGTTTCAAAACTCTTATTGTAATTTGCACAAAAACATGAACGCCAAAGAACAATCAAGCATCATACTACCTAAATAGTTATGTGCAAGCAGCAACCGCGGATGTATGGATATGAAATACTATATAAAAACTTCATCAAAAACCCCCAAAGTGGATATAAAATAAACAATGAACGTCGTAGGAACATCTGTTGAATATTGTTTCACATTGCTAAATGTGTGGGATCTCCCTAAGGTAAAGACCATTCCACCTATCAACGATCGATTTTAGGTTGGATGCCCGAATCTCGAAAACCCATACAAAATTCATCAAAATCCAAATCCAATACAGACACTATAGATTCCACACATTTAGCAATGTGAGACAATATTCAACAACCTCAAACTCCTCCTCTCCAAAGTAATCGAACAAATTCAAATCATCAAACTCGAAATCAAAATCGCTCAAATTGAAATTGCACAAATCAAAAAATTGAGATGAAAATCACTCAAATCTATATTTTTAAATAAGAGATATTTTTTATTGCTTTAGAGAAACCAAGATTCTAAGGTAGGAGAGCAACACACAATCTATTGCGCACAAAGATTTCATGTACAAGAGAGCTCTCATTCATGACAGAAATAAGTGATATTGATTCAACTTGAAGGGAGAGAGAAATGAGCAAAAGAGAGAGAAAAAATCACCTTCAAAGTAGCCTCGAGAAGACCTCGACTCCACAAGGCGATCTTCCAGAGCATTGAGATTTTCAACCTCTTATAAAATATATACTTCATTCATCTCACTTCACATATTTATTATTATTTTTTTTATTTTTTATAAAAAAAATTATATATTTTAATTTTATCTTAAAAAAATTAATTTATAATTTTTTAAAATTTAATTATACTTATAATTATTTTTACTAATACATTTTTAATTATTTTACTAATTATATTTCTCCTAAATTTTCTCGTGTCTACGGTAAATCAGACAAAATATACGATACAGATAGAGTAGTATTTAGAGGTCATGCTGTCAAACTTTTTTCCGTTATGGATGCTCTAAATTGAAAAGCTATTATTAACAAAATTTTTTTTTTCAATTTTAATAGGTTTATAATCTTAATTTTAATTTGAAAATTTTATTAACAATGTGACAAATGTATCTATTTTACTTATTTGAATAGTTTTAAAAATATATATGGGTGTGTTTGTTTGGATATTTGAATTTTAAATTAAAATTTGAATAATAAAAATTTTAAATTTGAATAGTAAAAATTTTGGAGTAGCATATATATTAGATTTATCAACAGTATATTTTTCTTTTGATTTTTTAATATAGAACTTTTGCATTTTAACAATTATATTAATTAAATTAAACTAATTAGTTATCTAAATCAATATATTTTAAAATGTGTGATAGAATATCATTTGTAGAAAATAATTCAAACCAATTTGACTGGATTGTTAGAATATATTTTTATTAAAAAATATATAAATTAATTAGTAAAGATATTAATTTAAAGTTCAAACCAATGATATCTTTATAATAAAAATAAGTATTACTCCAATATTTAATATAATATGCCGTTACTTATAATTATCTTTGTGTAACATGTCAATAATGAACTAATAATTAGAGTAGAAATAATGACTCAAATTTAGACTGCTTCATCTTTTGTCTGGATGCTTTTTCATTTTCTTTCGAAAATTTTTTATCGCCCAATAGCTTTTATCTTCAGGTTGAAACATTCGATATCCTTGAAAATACACCGTTACTATAATTACTTTCTCTTTATCTTCTCCACCCATTTCCATAGCTTCGTTTCTTCTTTCTCCCGAAGGTGAAATGTTTTTTCTTTAGGGCGTGTTTCTTTTGATGAGTTTGAAAAAAAATTGATTTGAGTTTGGTACGAAAATAATGTTTGATGGAATGTATATTTTTCTTTTCTATCCATAAAAAATAAAATATTGTTGGAAATTTTGGCCGTTCGAGGCCTCGACAAGTCCTTCGATAAATATTGTTAGATTGTTTATAATCGTGTGTGATTTTTTAGTTAGAGAAAATTATTTTTTTAGGTTATATTAGATGGGGGATTTTTGGGAATGGTTAGTGCGTCGGGAACCATTCAAGAGAAAGAGGGAGAGAGTGAGGGAGAGGGAGAGAAGCCGGTGAGTTTCTCCGATTGGGTTTCGGCGAGTGATTCCGGTGAGTGAGAAGTCTTTCCGAGTACCGATTCCGGTGGTGTCGAGGTTTAGAGTGTCGAGCCGACCTCTACCTTGCGGCGTAGTTATCATAGGCGCACTATGAGGCTGAGCCGAAAAGATTCGAGAATAAATTCACAATAAATATTTTATATTGACACGTAAGCTTACGAAGCTTTTTCTCAAATGGATCACTACAGTTGCTCTTAGTATGGAAAAGTCCCTCGGACACGAAAGATAATTTCTTGAGCACGTAACCAACAAGTTTATAAATGTCTCTAAGAGAAGAACGCCTAAGGCGTCACTGTCCATCGTTGTTCGTCGGAGGAAGTCGCTGGTCGCGGCCTCTGCTGCCTGGGGAAGAAGTCGTCGCTGCCGCCGACCACGGCAATCCCTCCGTCGTTGTCGATCTTGAAACAAGTAGAAACAAGTTCTGGGCATCCAATTTGGAAGAAAGAAGAGGACTACTGTGTGATTGTTAATTTTGTGTGGATCAGAAAATGAAAGAGGAAAGCCATTGTGGCGATGTAAAAATTCAAAATCGATTATAGCATCTTTTATAGTCATTATTTATATATATATATATTTTTTTTATCTCTTTCGTCCATTTTATATTCACTTCGATATTCAAATTATTTTATTTATTTATAATAAATTACCTTCAACCCATTACATTTACTATTTTATAAATACACAATAATTTATTCATTTATATATATTTTATTATGTAATATTCCCTCTATCCTAATACAATATATTTATCATTTTTATCCGTTTCAAAACAATAGTCTTATTTTCATAAATAATCATATCACTATAAAACTACTATTATTTTTTTTTCATTATTATTACATAATTGTCACTACTTTTTATACTAATATACTCACAAGGACAAAAAAATCTTTTACCCGTATTTTTTACCCATTATCGATATAATATCAATATTTCTTAAATCTAGTGTCAAACACAACCCAAATTATAATTTTGAGATGGATGGAGTAATATATATACAAAATATAAATAATATCTAAACATATTTCTATATATTTTTAATATCTAATAATATTTTTAACTTTTAAATATTAATTTATATAAATTTTAATAATTGAAAATATATTCGGAATAAATTAACATATATTAATTAAAAATAACATTAAAAGAATTATAATAATTAATAATATAACTTAAAAAATTATTATTTTTATTTTTAAATCGGATCCAAATAATATATTCAGGTAATAACAAATAATTTTAAAATAGGATAGATAGAGTGAATTGATGAATGAATTTTAAATATATATATATATTATGTTAAATTTATGATTTAAATTTTTGATTTTTTTTAAAAAAAAGTTGGATATTATTTTATTTAACTTTTTTTTTTCTTAGTTTGAATTAGAAATACTATGTCATTGATACATTGATTGTCGGTAGAGACATTTTATTCAATGGGACCATTGTATGTGCTCTAATATGCATATATATTTTTATTTAAATGCTTGTGATTATTATAATATAGGTAATGATATTTTTTTAATTATAGATTTATAAAAAATATATTATTAGTATGATAAAAATAATAATATACAAAATTAATGTCTGTTTTTCTTTTTTATTTATCAACAAAACTATATACTTTTTTATTTATAACAAATACCTTTTACATATTTTTTACTTTATATCATTCAACATTCTATTTATCTAAATATATGCCACCAACATTTACATATGCTATTTATCAAAAAATAAAAATAAAAATTATATCATTAACTCATTAATATATTTTTAAAATATTTACTTTTGTCTCAATAAACTAAGGGTGTGTTTCTTTTGTTGAGTTTTGCCCCCGTTTCATTTTTAATTTAAAATTATTTAGTTTATATTCTTTTTAATATTTTGATTTTTTAAAAAAATAAAATCAAATTGTTATTAATTATTGAGAATTATTAAAATATTTATTTTTTGCTATTTCGATAAGAACAATATATTTTTATTTAAAAATGAATAATTTTTTCATTAAAAAATAATGTAAAATATAAAAGAATAAATATTTCATATGTGCGTGTTTATTATGTTAATTTTTAATTAATTATTATTTTTTCTATACTATTCATTTTAATACAAACACTGTAAAAAAATAGTATATTTGTAACGGAATTATATTCCTAAAGTTCACTTAGCTAACGTAATTCCATCTTTAATTCTGTCTCCAATATCATTAGTAACGAAAAAAGTGAATTTAAGAACGAAAAAATCTTAATTACAAAATTGATATATTTTTTTTTTTTTTGTAAAAGTTGATGTGATAAGATATATATAAATAAATATTACATAAGTTTATTTTGATTTTATTTAACAAATTTAAATCTTTATTTCCATGCCACCTGTGTAAAGAATAATTTATATATATAAATAATAGTAAATTTATTTTATTTAAATATATAAAACTTACTAAAATAAAATATATAAAATTAATAATAAAAAATATAGATGGATATATATATATGTGAGAATGAGAATGTATACAGATAAATATGGAATAAAATATTATAAAATTGTTTTAAAACACTAAGATATATAACTTTTTAAAAATTAATTTTTTAAGTTTCAATAAATTTTTTTTTTTTAAAAAAATCATCATAACACTTATATTAATTGTTTGATTGATTATAAAATTATTTAAATTAAAATTTTAATATTAAACCTAAACTAAACACACCCCTAGGGTTTATTTTATTCGATGTAAATGCATATCTAAAGAACTTCATTTTAATTATAATAGTTTTGAACTATGTACAACTATTACAATATTTTTTTTTCCTCTATATATATAAGTATTATCGATATATTTGTTTTCTATATGTATATATATATATAAATATTAAGTATTATCAATATTTTTTTTATAAAATATTCCTTCTTACTCAAAAACTTTGAACATGAAGATTATGAAAATTTTATTTTAATATTGTTTTTGTATTTCTTGCATTATAAGGGGTTGGTAGAAATTTTATTTTTTTGATTAAAATATATTTAGTATAGAAAATACTATCTGAGGTTTATTACACAAATAAATGAAACTTTATTGGTAAAAGTTTAAGTAATTATTGAATTTTTTTTTTTGATCGGAAGATTGAGTTTTATATATATATAAAATATGATATCAGTTTTGATGGATAAGCTAATATAATAAAAATAACATTTAATTATTTATTTTCATCAAGGCCATACTAAAAATATGTTTTGATATCTTTTGAAATTAAATATGATATTTTTAAATAAAAATTAAAATTTTAATACTCCATTCATCCTACAACTAAGTATCCATTTACTTTTTGCGTGTTGATATTTGAATATTAATTATTATATCAAAACGTATTACAAATCAAGGGAAAATTGCAAAAATATTTATATTAGTGTCTTATAATACTAATATAATGACATTTGTATAAAAAATTATATAAATATAAAGATATTTTTAATGTTAAGTACAATGATGTAAAATATAAATGGATACCTTATTATGAGACGGAGGAAGTATAATATTTTATCATAAAAATATAGAAAAATTTAAAATATAAATGAACACACATTAAAATATTTGGGTCAGTTGTTGAGTACAGAAAATAGATTTTACCCACAAAATTTTATTTGATGCATTGCCTTGGGCCTTAGTGTCTTATTATGGGCCCAAAGAGTATTTTGGACTTTTAGTTATATATGGGCTTTATTTACCCTTTTTCTTCACAGGATCATAGCCCATTTTATTTTGAAATTAACTTACTTTATAATAAATAAATAAATAAGAATTAAATAATATCTACTTCCCTGTTTAGATTTTAAACTAAAAATAAAAAGTGATAAGAATTATTAAGCAGAAAAATAAAAGGAAAGAAGAGTAGCACAAAGAGTAAGTTGACTAAATAAATACATACATATTCATCCATTTAAACAATATTTGGTAAGTTTAATTATTGAGATGCATCTTAATAATAATATTTGGTAATTTAATTATATGAAAGGAAAGGGATAATTAATGTCAACCATTGTTAAAACTTTTACCATTCTAACTAACTAGAATTTTAAATTTCAAAATTTATAAATATCTTAATTTGTAATTCTCTAAATATTTATTTATTTATTTTATTAAAAAGGGTTGATCCTAAAACACAATGCAAATTTAAATTATTGAAATTAAGAAGAAAAAAAAAAAAAAAATCTTGATAGAATTGTCCAAATTCTAATTGCAATCCAACTTTGTCCAATTTATTCAGATGTCCAAAAAGATTTTTATGAAATATTGTCATGATAAAAATGGATTTAAATGGATTTTATGAAAGTTGATGCACACCATCATACAATAATTATATATGAGCATGGAAGATAAATATTGTACATGTATTGAGTAGAGAAATTAGGTTCTTTTTATTTATTTAAGTAATTACAACATCATTATTTAGAAAAACTACATAAGAATTTATTTATTGATCATAAGACATTGTACGTACAAAAAAAAAGTACGAATGCCCGCGTGTTGTATATATTTTGACAATCAATAGAAAAACTAAAAAAAATTCGATCCATGCACGTGTCATAAAATTTACTTTATTTACATAAATCATTCCGAAACGACAAGAACAAACTTTATTACCCCTTGTCTCGACTCTCCACAAAATCTAAATGCTAAAAACCGTTGTGCAACTAAAAAAGTGAACAAAAAAATTCGTCCACGTGTACATTTCAAATTTACGTTATTTATAGTTAATTTCTTCTACCTCGTCGTCGTCTACGTATAAACCTCTGTAAAAAAAACCCTAACTACAAATTTCATACTCCTACGAGAAATATAAAAAAACCATTCCATACTTCATTCTTTTAGTAATTTTCTTCTTCAATGTAACATTTGTTGAGCTTAGTTCATTTCGAAACATTTGAAATTAGGGTTTGGAAAGGGGATTTTGGGCTTCTGAATAAAATTAGGGTTGCAGAAATGGAGGGAGCCCAAACTCTTCTAGAAGCCCAGATGAGAAGATATAGCAGCAGTGTTCGAAATCTGGATGAGTATAAAAGCGGAGAGTCACGTAATAAGAGAGCAAAGATTTCCATCAAAGACAGAGGAAAACTTCAGTAAATCATTTTTTCTTTTTCTCATTGTTGTGTGTATTTTGTTTTTCTCTCCTCACTTTTACCTCTCCGTTTGGTCCCTCTGGGGGCTTCATTCGTGTTGTATTTTACCGAGAGGGAGAGTTTGGGCGGACGGAGAAGGAGAAGATTTCATCAGAATTGCTCAGGATAGTTTGATCTGGTTGTTGTAGTGTTTGATTAGATCTGTTTTCCATCTTTTCCCTTTTCCTGGAGGGAGGAGACTTGACAGGTTGGTCGGTTTTTTGTTCAATTTAGATTATGCAGAATGATGATGGTGTTTTTGTTGGGGGCGGTTGGTTGCTTCACCGATGGATTTTTTGTGTTGACGTTGAAGGTGTTTGTTTTTCTTATGCAGGAGGATGAAGCGATTACGAGATGAAGTTTTTATGAACCCTCAATTCAAACGGCCATTTGGCTCCTCATCTTCTTCTCGCGGGGAATCGTAAACCTCTTTCTCAGTTTACACGCATCTGCAATTCATTTGATGTCCAGTGGTTTTATCCTGTCGTTTGGTGTTGTGTTGTTTTGGTTGTTCGCCAAGTTGTGGTTTAGCATCTGATGTGGTTTTCTGTTCTTTGCTATAACTTGATTAACTTGATTTGATTTGAATCTTGTTGATTGGAAAACGTTTTGACACCATTTTTACTTCATGCATCGAGATTTTTGTCGGGTCGGTTTGCATCCCTTGCCGCCGTTGCAAAGTGGAGGCAACCAAAATTAGGTTAATCTCTTTCGGTGCCTAGGGCTACGGGGAAAAAATTGGGCCTTTTGTGATGTGCTTTTTCTTATTTTGTTTGTTTTGGTGAATTCATTTGGGTCGCGTCTATCTATTTTTCTTCTTCTTTTTTTTTTTGTTTCTTTTTCCATTTGTTTCTGCCTTTTTTTTCTCTGGCGTGATTAAAGAGGGGTTGGGTGGGATGGGTTGGGAAGTGTGTCCAACTAAGCGTGTCAGTTTTATTTTTGGCTGCATTCATAGGAAGGCATCTTTTGGCACAGGCGTTTGTTGTGGAATTCATTGCTTGTAACAAACCTCTGCACTAATTGTTTGTATCTGAGTTACTGAGTAGCATTATGAAATGAATCTGTTTTGAAAACTTGAAATGAGAATCGAGAACTACCTAGAACCCTTTAGGGGCCTTGCATCGTGCATCATTGTTGTTTCGTCGCCAGCTAACATCAATACCTAATTGAAGTGTTATATCGTTGCTTCAAGCTTTACTTAATGCTTATATTCATTCGATGCAGTTATGGGCCTCCTCAGCAGGCGCCTGTTGGTGGGGGCAGTGGAGGTGGAGGAGCGGGGGCTGGAGGAGTTGGTGGGAGTGGAGGGGGGGGTGGCAGCAATGGTGCTGGTGGCGCTGGAGGAGGTGGTGGCGGAGCAGGTGTTGCTACAGCTGGGGGACAGAAGCTCACCACTAATGATGCGCTGAGTTATTTGAAACAAGTGAAGGACATGTTTCAGGATCAACGAGAAAAATATGACAGGTTCTTAGATGTCATGAAAGATTTCAAGGCCCAGAGGTAAATTTCCTCTTTCAGTGGCATGTAGCCAATCAGTGTGGAAAATGTATGGGAATAATGATTGATTGTTCTTAATTTGTTCTTTTCAGAATTGATACTGCTGGAGTCATAGCGCGGGTGAAGGAACTGTTTAAGGGACACCCGAATCTAATCCTTGGCTTCAATACATTCTTGCCCAAGGGTTATGAAATTACTCTCACTGAGGAAGAAGAAGCTCCACCGAAAAGGACTGTGGAATTTGATGAGGCTATCAGTTTTGTTAATAAAATTAAGGTAGTTTCAGTACTTATTTGGAAGTAAATGGTTATGAACTTGTGTTTCCATAAATGTTCTTACCTTGCTCCTTTATCTACAGACTCGTTTTGAAAATGATGACCATGTGTACAAATCATTCCTAGACATATTGAATATGTACAGGAAGGAACACAAGGGTATACAAGAGGTTTACCAAGAGGTATGTATCCATCCTGCATGAGTTAGCACCAGCTTGTTCATTCAAAACATCTTTTAATATTAATGTTTATAGGTTGCGGCACTTTTTGAGGACCATCAAGATCTTCTTGATGAGTTCAGAAGGTTTTTACCGGATACATCAGCCACTCCTTCAGCTCCTCATACCTTTACTGGTCGTCATCCTACTCATCGCTTTGATGAAAGGAACTCTGGCTTGCCCACAGTTCGACCATCTCATGTGGATAAGGTTCTTTATCTGAATTTATTTGCCTAATGTGGTCAGTGCCCTGTTTTTTTATGGTTTCGCGTAAATGATATATATCCTACAATTTTTCAGCACCGACTGCGGCGAGACAGGGCTTTTGATCCTACTGCAGAACGGGATCTTAGTGTTGAAAGGCCGGATATGGATGATGACAAAACAATTATGAAGATACACAAGGAACAGAAGAAGCATACTGAAAAGGAAAACCGAGATAGAAGAAACCGTGATCTGGATGATAGAGATACTGAACTTGAAAACAATGGTGACACTAGTGCACGGCCTTCTGAAAGAAGGAAGGCTTCTCGAAAGACAGAAGACTTTGGAGGAAATTCAAATACGGCTGGCTATGAAGATAAAGATGCATTGAGAAGTGAGTTATGAGCTGCCCGGTTTTTTCAGTTATTATGTAGGAGAGCTTTTAGTTTGATGTTATCAATCTCCATACTGCCTACACTTATGCTCTATGTTGAGACAAATCGTTATTTTTCCCTGAATTGCTACCTTTCTTGTTGCTTTCTATTCTTGAATTATGCCTTTTAATGTGAATAAATTGTTTGATCTTTCCCAGGTGTCTACAGCCAGGAGTTTGCTTTCTGTGAAAAAGTTAAGGAGAGGTTACGAAGTGCTGATGATTACCAGGCGTTTTTAAAATGTCTTCACATATACAGCACTGAGATCATAACAAGAAAGGAATTGCAGAGTCTGGTATGGTCCTTTTGCATTGTATCAGTAGGAATTAATTGTCTTATCCAAAATTGTAATCAAGTGCAACATAGATTTATCTTTATGAATCTATTCACTAGTTCCTTCTGGTATTGTTTCGACATCCATTAATAGTTTGTTCTATTTTCTGCTGCTGTCCTGCATACGCTGTGTATTATTAGGTTGCTGATTTACTTGGGAAGTATCCTGATCTCATGGAGGGCTTCAATGAATTTCTGGAACATTGTGAGCGAATAGGTATTAATTGATTTTCATGTCAGTTATTATTATCGTGATCAACTTGTTCCCCTTTTTAACTTATTGGCTACCTTTCAGATGGATTCCTAGCTGGTGTAATGGGCAAAAGTATGTAATATTCTCGCCACTTGTTAATATTAATTAAACTGTGATTGTTGGTACCTTAATGAAGCTCCTTCTTGTCCTTTGATATCTGATCTCTCGAATATATTCCATTAATATCAGAATCGTCATTATGGAATGAAGGAAATTCCTCAAAGGCTCTGAGGATAGATGACAAAGAAAAAGAACCAAAGCGCGAAGTGGAAGGAGCGAAGGAAAAGGATAGATACAATTTGAAATACTGGGGAAAATCCATTCAGGAACTTGACCTTTCAAACTGCCAGCGCTGTACACCTAGTTATCGGCTTCTTCCCGATGATGTAAGAACTCCTCATGCATTAATTGAAAAGCAATGGTTAAAAGGTATCTGTTTTTTATCAATCTGAAATTGGAATTTGTTTGCAGTACCCAATATTTACTGCTAGCCAGAGGTCTGATCTCGGCGCCCAAGTTCTCAATGATCATTGGGTGTCTGTCACATCCGGCAGTGAAGATTACTCTTTTAAACACATGAGGAGAAATCAGTATGAAGAAAGCCTGTTTAGATGCGAAGATGATAGGTATAGAATATTACCTATTTATAGCTCTTCTAATTTTGGAACTAGTTTACTCATTAAGAAAGATAATTCTCGGAAGTTGTTAATAGATGCTTTGTTACAGATTATTCTGCATATGAACTCAACAATTTTCCTAGTGGATGTGTATGAGCTTTTACTGATATTTCTTCCTTTTGGATTAAGATTTGAGCTAGACATGCTGTTGGAATCTGTCAGTTCAACCGCCAAGCGAGCAGAAGAACTCATAAACAGCATCAATAGTAATTCAATTATGGCAGATGGTCCTCTAAGAATTGAAGACCATTTCACAGGTTTGTAATGATAGATGTTTTTGTGAATAATTGTCTCGAATTCTCTTCACTATTCCTTTTTCCCAGAAAATGTCCTACTAATGATTGTGCTTTATTTATTTATTTACTTTTAATTTTGTGCAGCCCTCAATTTAAGATGCATTGAGCGTCTGTATGGTGACCATGGTCTTGATGTGATGGACATCCTGCGAAAGAATCCTTCCCTGTCTTTGCCAGTTATCTTAACTCGCCTGAAGCAGAAACAAGAGGAATGGACTAAGTGCCGTACAGATTTTAACAAAGTTTGGGCGGACATATATGCGAAAAATCATTACAAGTCCCTTGACCATCGTAGCTTCTATTTCAAGCAACAAGATGCCAAGAACTGGAGTACCAAAGGTAAGTATGTTTTGTATGATTGTGCATGCTTGTATGTATGTCTCTGACAATGTGGCTTTTAAGATTTTCAAGTAACCTATAGTTTTGCACTTGTTTATTATCTCTTGGAGGAAATTTACCTTTGGTATGCCTGGATATATGACATTTCATCATTTTGCATTGATATAATTATCAACAGCTCATATATATATATATATTCCATTCATACTTAACAACTCTCTTTCCTGTTACTGTTTCTTTGGAATTGTCAGGCGAGTCTTTTTTGGTGACATACTGTCTATTGCCATCTGATTTCTCTTCTACTGCCTGGCATCAATGTTTTTTTTTTTAATTTTATTTTTTGTGTGTTTGGGGGGTGTTTGGGGGGTGTCCGTTTCCAAACATATGCCATTCTAATTTATGAAGGATGTCAGTATGTTATTGGTTATTGTGTCGTAATCAGTGTTGAGAATAGATGTGAAGTGTATCAATTTCTACTTTCCTGTAGTGTTTGAGTTCTCATGTTCTTCCTTACTTGCAGCTTTAGTGGCTGAAATCAGAGATATCAAAGAGAAAAGGCAGAAGGAGGATGACATACTTCTCAGTATTGCTGCTGGAAGCCGACATTCTATAATTCCCAATATGGAGTTTGAATATGCTGATCCTGATGTTCATGAAGATGTCTTCAAAATTATCAAATACTCCTGTGAAGAAGTTATCACTTCCAAAGATCAATTGAACAAAGCCCTGAGGTTATGGACAACATTTCTTGAGCCGATGCTTGGAGTGCATGCACGACCACATGGTTCAGAGACTAATGAGGATGCTGGTGCCTCTAAAGGCCGAACTGTGAAAAACTCCTCAAGCGCGATGGATATTGAAAGCAACCCCGTTGTTGATCCTAGTACTTCAATCTTGAAACAAGCGAAGTCTAACTGCAATGGTGACACCAATACATCACCTCCACAAGCAACTGCCAACAAGATTGGTTTGAACGCAGATAGTATTGTCAAAGAAGGGCAACCTGCTGCTTCTGGTGAAAGATTAAGCAATCCAGACACAATTATCACTTCAGGACCTGATGCAAACCATGGTATGGATGTAGGAGAAATTTTGATGGTTCACCTGTAAGAGTTTTGAAATTTTACCATATTTCCCAGCTGAGTGGCTATAACGTTCCACAGATTAACTTCTATTTCTTGATGTTTTTGTTGGTTTTGGCTTTGTTGAAATGCTGTAAGATAATTAGAAGTGTTCATATTCCAGGCCGTGGTGCAAACTCCTCTCGAGTAAGCAATGGTGCCACTGAGGAAGGAAATGAAACCAAGCCCAATGCGGAAGACATGCTCTCTTCAGAGGTATTAGTTCCTGTGCTTGTTTTTGATTTCTGAATTTTAGTTTGAAAGATTTGCTACTTAAATCTTAGTTTAGTTGCTGGTCCCTGTTGTCCGGTCAGACACTACTTTTTCGTGATTTGTTACTGCTCATTGAGTACAATTTATTCTTATGTGCCACAGGTTGGGGATACACCAGGATTGAATCAGTTAGCAAATGGAGAATTTGTAGAAGGATCCAAACATTCTGAATACAATGAAGAGATGGTCGATCCTAGTAAAAATGAGAAAGAAGAGGGTGAGCTGTCTCCTAATGGTGATTTTGAAGATAGTTTTGGCACCTATCAAGACAGTAATCTGCAAGCCTTACCTGGGAAAACTCGTGGCAATGAAGGGATGCCAAGCCAAATGCGGAGCAATGAAGAGATATGTGCTGATGGCAGAGGAGACAATGATGTGGATGCTGATGACGAGGATAGTGAAAATATTTCTGAGGTTGGAGAAGATGTTTCTGGCAGTGAATCTGCTGCTGATGAGTGTTCGCGGGAAGAGCATGAAGAAGAGGAGGATGGAGAGAACGACGATATTGATGGAAAAGCTGAGAGTGAAGGTGAAGCTGAGCATACAAGTGAAGCTCACTACAATGACCGTGATGGTGCATCAGTGCCTCCATCTGAGCGATTTTCACTCACCTGCAAACCTCTGTCCAAGCATGTGGTTTCCCAGACAGGAGGCGAGGAGAAAAAAGGCCGGCGCGTGTTCTATGGAAATGAAGCATTTTATGTCCTTTTTAGGCTGCATCAGGTAAATTTTATGGTGGATTTTTCTTTAATTATGTCTTCATCACCAGTTTTTTCAGAGAATCTTATTATATACCCCGTAGTTTCACATCTCCATATTTTGAGCTGACATGTGTAATGTGTTATTTTCAAAATTGTGTATGTATATATTTCTGTCCTTCCAGGTACTGTATGAGAGAATATTATCAGCCAAGCTGAATTTGCAGTCCGGTGAATCAAGATGGAGAACCTCTAAGGATGCCAGTTCTGATCCTTTTGCAAGGTAGCAACTAGCATATTTAAGTCTTCAAGCACCTATCTAATAACTTTGACTTCTAATTGACTTTAATCCATGTGTTCATTGCAGGTTCATGAGTGCACTTTTCAGTTTACTTTATGGATCTTCTGACAACACTAAATTTGAAGATGACTGCCGATCCCTGATTGGTAACCAGTCATATGTGTTATTCACTTTGGATAAATTGATATATAAGTTGTCCAGACAGGTACTTCAGTTACTCATTTTGCTTTCTGCTGCTCTGCATTTTAGTTTATTGATCAACTGAATACTCTGTATCTTCTTCCAGCTCCAAGCTGTTTCAAGTGATGAGATGGACTGTAAGCTGATTCAGTTGTATGAGTATGAGCAATCTAGGAAGCCCGAGAAGTATGTTGATTCAGTTTATTATGAAAACGTCCATGTCCTCTTGCATGATGAGAGCATATACAGGATTGAATGTGTAGGTTTCATATGATTTTTTTTTATCTTATTATTATTGTTGTTTTTGGTAGTCATTTTGGATGCTAATTTTGTTTCATGCCTGTACAGACCTCCAATCCGACTAACTTATCTATCCAATTGATGGATGATGGAAAGGAGAAATCTGAAGTTGTTGCTGTTTCTGTGGATCCCAACTTTGCTTCTTATCTGCACAGTGAGTATCTTTCAGTTTCCCATGTGAGGAAGGAGTCATCCCCTGTTGTCCTTAAAAGGTAAAGTTCAACAGCACTACTACACTCTAAATTGGAATTATGCATATGCTTGTATCATGTTTTTTCTTTGAGCGCAATGCTTCTGAATGTTCAATATTTGAAATCTGCCTTCAATGAAATACAAACAGGAACTTGGACAAGTATAAAAATTTTGATGAATGCACTGCTCTTGCTGTGGCTATGGAAAACGTGATTGCTGTGAACGGATTGGAGTGTAAGATGGCGGCCGCCACATCTAAGGTATATATGATAATTTCTGAAGTTGGGTTATGATCTTGTCTGTGCTAAATAATTCTTTTATACTTTGAATACTCTTCTAATCAAATTTGTTATTCAGATCTCGTATGTCCTCGACACCGAGGACTACTTTTATCGTCTGGGGCATGAAAAGAAGCAACCACCCGAAGAATCCTTGCGCAGAAACCAGGTTAAGGTGCAAAACTTTCACCAGTTTGTGTCATCTTTCCTGATGTAGCAATCTCTCTACTGCAACAGCATGAGGTTGGTTCCATCCTCTCCCCCAACAATTTTTCTATGGTGCTATTTAAACAAAGAGTGATTATTGATTCTTGAACCTGGCAGGTTTCACTGATGGAACCTCGTGCATTAATGGCGTGCTGAACAAAATTATTTATTACTTGTCGAAGAATACAATAACCACAGCAAGGGAGCAGCTGCGAGATGAATGGGAGATGATGCACCATTGTTCTGTACATATTGTAAGGGTTTGTCCCCTAATCTGTAGAGAATCAATTGTGTGCTTTATTTGGTTGTATTCGCTGTAGCGGGCGAAAAGCACCGCCCTTACCTGTGTTTCTAGATTTCCTTGGTGTTGTTGCTATTACCTTCGTTGTCATTTTATGATCAAGAAAGACCAAAAAAGACTCAGAGGTAGGAAGTAGTAGTATTATCTGCTGTTACTCTTTGACATCCAACTTCTGAACTTCGCTTTCCTAATATGTATAGAGTCGTGGTCGGTTATAGTTTTTATTTGCATGTTATCTGCTGCTGGTATGTTGTTCCATAGTGTTTTGCTCCATTCTGGATGAAATATGAACTTAGTTCTTGCAGGCATTGCGGTTGATTGCAGTGTGTGCTTAGATGCTGTCTGCTGAAGGTATGTTATCCCATAGTACTTGCTCCATTTTAGGATGAGACATAATTGTGTTGTAGATGATGCTTTTAGGTTAATTCCATCGAAATATCGGCTGCCTGCTTGATCTAATGATCATCTTCAAAAAGTGGAACTTTAATTTAGATGTCTTTACTTTGTCCGTCATTGGAGGTGAGGTGGTTTTTCAAAATTTACTTGCAAAATCTTCTTTCTGTCTCCCTCTTCTTTTCCTTCCCTCCCTCCTTTTTCCCTTGTCTTTTATGTACAAAGGTAATTTTTTATTATGGTTTATTCTCCGAGGGCTGCTTCAGCCATTTCAGATTGGGAATCTGCCGGAAGGCACAACCTTTGTAAAGTGAGTTGAATTAGAAATTGTGTCAAAAAAAACTTACAGAAGAACCTCTGATGCCATCCCGGTAGGATTCCTGCGGAGATCGAAAAATGATTTGACTTGGATTTTATTTGTCTTTGATAAGTGAGCAATTGTGTAAATAGAAGCTCATCGACACGTGCGCCTAGAATATGATCTTTAATAAAAGGTCAGTCCCATCAAAATATGGGCTTCCTGATCTAATGAATAATGATCATCTTCAAAAAGTGAACTGTATGCTAAAGGTTGTGTTAAGGTAGAATATGATCTTGAATAATTGTGTAGTAGTCTGTAGATGATGATTTGAGGTCAGTCCCATAAAAAATATAGGCTTCTTGGTCCAATGATCATCTTCAAGAAGTGAACCTTATGCTAAAGCTTGAGTTGTGTCAGAATATGATCTTCAATAACAGGCAGGTGTGTTTCACCCTTGAACAATTTTAATATTTATTAGGATGCGTAAATACACATTTATTAGAATTACTTGGGGGCATGTAATTAAACTGTGGAAAATGGTAGAAAAGTATGCATCTCAATACACCTTTACAATACATCTTCTCAATAACTTATAACAGACCAACAACACAACTTAATTGTAATCTGTTCTCCAAACCTCTCAAATGATGGCCCAGTAACATGCACCTGCCAAAGAAAGAAAAACACCATCTCCATCATCATCCCAAACCCTAATGCATTTTGCTATGGAAAACAAGATGTTTGGCAGTAACATACTACTGACCAGAAAAGCAGCTTTGCCAAATAGTCCCGTTTGGCGTGAAAAACATCATAAATTTCGCTGTCTGGTTCCTCATTGTTTTGTACACTGCCAGCCCCTAGATCGCCCTCGTAACCTGAGTCAGCCACATCTCTGCATATTCTTCTCAATATGGTTTGAGCAAGCTCATGAATAACTTCCTCCACCTCATGTGACGATGGTCGTGATAGTTCAGTTACCTGAGAGGTAAAATGTCCATTAACAGTAGTCAGGGAGAAGAAGTTCAAGATTCCAGGATCCAAGCAGATATACATACATATATATTTATATATATTATATATTACCATGTCCGATTCCAAGGACCTCAAATACTCGAGCAGATTGTTGTCGCTCTTTTTTATATGCTCCATTTGCAGATTTTCATTTTTCTGGGCATAGAACTCCTAAAAGCAACCAACATAATACAATTACATTTGTAATACTAATAATACATAGAAAGTAGGAACCAAAATACAAGTATTTCAAAGGGAATATCGAGTTTTAACATATTCCTGGATTCTCATAGGGAACAAAAGTAACAACCATAGTTGCTACAAGTTCTTACAGTTAATCATTTTATCACCAAAAACAATGCTTAATGCACTTTCTACGGATTCGAATTACACTAGACAAACTACACATGCTATTTGATTTAAACATAATAATATGATATCCAAACACATCCAGAAAGAAATTAAAACCACTCACCTGCTCAGCAGCCGATAACTCCGATTCTAGTTGCTGAATATATCTTATTGCTTCCGGAGACAAATCCCCTAAGCTTTGAAGGCTACTTCTATCTAATGCTTCTGCAGACTTGTTGAGTCCACCACAATTGCCCTCTTCATCTCCTCCATCACCGCTCGGTTCCCACCTCGCTCTCCCGGCTCCATTTTTAGCCTCGAAATTATCCCTTTTTAAAGTATCCGATGATATATCGAAATTCCTCTTCAATGAAATCCTGTACTCCGCATTCCACAATGTATACCTAGAAACAACAAATCAAGGAATTCTGAGTTCAGTAATTTTCATTCTTCTGCAGCAAATTGAACATTTCTGTAGTAAAGACACTGATATTTGCATCTAACTGATGGTATGTGTTCTTTTCGTGTTCAATAAATAGTTATTTATACAAGTTGTTTATCCGCTATTATCATCACTACTGCTCAAGTAAGTGTTAACAAGATTGATCGTTATCAAAATTTCCACAAACAATTATGTTAATTGAAAGGGAGGAATTCTATGAGCTTTTAATTAATTACCCGGTGACGATGGAGGACACAATCAATCGATCCAGGGGGTCCTTCGAAACCCTAACAGTGACGGAGAACTGATCAGACGGCAGCAGTCCAAGCATAGTTGAAATCGTCTGCTTCATGGAATCCTTCGCGGAATCTGAAACCCCCTTCGAAATTACCGAATTGTCGAGTGGCTCGATTCTCCTCAGCATATTAGCTATGACGGCGAATTCGTGCCCGAATTTTCTGGTCGAGACGAACTCGTCGGAGCTTCCGCCGCCTTCGAAGCCGGAAATCAAGCAGCAGATGGCGGAGCTTTTCTTCGGTGCTGGAGGAAGCAAGGGCCGGTGGAGGAGCGGGGTCTGTGGCTGCAGGAACGACGGCTTAAGCGAAAAATATGAGACTAGGATTGCCCTCGCCGCTGCTGACGCCGCCATCAACAGCAATTTCCAGATTGATTGACCTGAAATTGGAGGATTCCGCCGGAGGAGGCGACGGTTGCGCGTCTCGGAGATTCTCTTCTCACCTACACCTTGTAATCTGCGCACGTCTCTCAGCCCACCAAATTTTATTGATTTCGCAGGGTCTCAAAACAAATGGGCTCACACTTCACTTTTATTACAGATTCGCCATTAAAGGCCGATGACGTCACTCCGAGAAAATGATACTGAATACTTTTGTAACGTAAAGGTTAGCAGGTCCTTGGACCTTGAGTCCTTGTAAGTGTTAGTCCACACTCCACACCGCATGCCCATGGCGTGATTAGGAGTGATTGCATTTGCATACAATATATAGAAGTTTATATTGTATATATTATATTTCCTCGTCCGCCTCAGGCACATTCACCTTCTGTGTTATTAGAATTACAAAATGCTAATAAAAGTATTTTTATAAATTTTTTTTCTTTTAATTTATACTACATATTTTGAAATAATTGTTAATATTCAAAGATCTCGACGAATTTGTAGAGATGCTGGCGTGCCTCCCGCCAAGGGAATAACACCTAAAATAAAATGAGATCTTTAGAGATAGAGGGAAGGTAGTATATTGTATTAAAATTATCAATATGATAATTGTTTTATATTGAAATATTAAATTTAAAAATAAGTTTATAATTTTAATAAAAAAATAAAATTAGTAATTTTGATATAATAAAAATAATTTTCAATATTTCAATATATACAACTATCCGAAGTGCGTACTGGATAAATTTCATCGAACCTAATACTCGGCAAACTAGTCCAACAAGTCACATTGGAGGAACCATGTGTGATATGTGAACATGGATGATAAACTAGTTGGGTCATTTGTTTTGTTACCTAACATTAAGCCATTTAATTAGTTTAGTTTAGCCCATTTAGTTTGTTTGATCTGTTGCATATATACATACACTTATATACATATAAATCAGTACAGAGTCTTGTGCGATCAATTTCAGAATAGAAAAAATTTCTCTTCCTTGTTTTCTCCTAAAATCGTCATGGTATCAGAGCGCATGAGTTCGATCGATTACTGATTGATTACCAGTCTTCTATTTCATTTGATTAATTTGATTTGTGATTTTGAATTTCACTGAGATCGGTTAATTCTCATCTTCGTGGTCTGTTCTGCTGCTATTATTTTCGTGTAGTTTGTCTGAGAAATTACACGATAACAACAGATCTGTCACTCTCTTCTGGAAACACAGCTAATTCATCCTTGGAAATCTCTTCCTATTATCAATCTAGCATGAGTCTTGTTCGTCTTCAACTCACGGAGACAAATTACTTGATATGGAGCACAGTGGTCTTAAGAGCTCTCTCAGCAAAAAAAAAAAAAGGGAAATCTCTTCCCATTATCAATCCAGCATGAGTCTTGTTCGTCTTCAACTCACGGAGACAAATTACTTGATATGGAGCACAGTGGAGAAATTAAGCGACCTGAAACGCAATAGCTGCCCTAGAATGGGAAAGAAATGATGATATGGTACTTGGCTGGCTGTTGAATTCGATCTCTCCACAAATTACAGTTGCGTTCAGTCTCATCAAGACAAGTCATGAGGTATGGGAGAAACTCAAACTTCATTATGGTCAGCACAACGGCCCTCTCATTTACCAAAAGAGGAGACAAATCAGTAGGCTCTATCAAGGTAATCTCTCAATGGCTGCATACTTCAATAAAATGCAGAGTTTGAAAGATGAGTTGTCTTGTTTGACACATGTGCCTATTGATAGAAATGAAGTTGATATGTATCTCCACAACCTAGATGCAATTGATTATCTGATGGGCTTAAATGACAATTTTGATGCTATAAGGAACCAAATATTGATGATGGATCCTTTGCCGGATGTAAACAAGATATACGGTATACTCTCAATTGCAGAGAAACAACAAGAGGTACATGATATGTTAAAGGATCCTTCACCCACTGTGTTACTTGCTAACTCAAGAACCAGTGAAAGAAAGCTGGATAAGTCATTAAAAAGGAATTTGGTGTGTGATCACTGCAAGAGAAATGGACATGTCAAAGCTGAGTGCTTCAAACTTCATGGCTATCCTGAGTGGTATAATGAAAAATTGGATAAGAAAAAAAGGGAGAAGGGTGAGGTTACATTGCAAGCAGGTGAGGATACGACATCAACTGCTTTCTATAATGCTGGATTTAACTCTGCATTCAGCAGTACCTCATCTTCATTATCCAATGAAGCCTTAAGCGATCTGATACAAAGGGAGATTAGGATAGCTTTTGAATCCTACAAAACTCCAGTTGAACAAATCAATATGTTCAACACTCACCATACAGGTACTGTTTGTCTCAATGCATCTAATGAGGTGAATAAACTTGGAGGTTGGGTTCTTGACAGTGGAGCCACATGCCATATAGCTAATGATAGACGGTTATTTGATTGTTTGATACCACTTGATAGTCCTATTAAAGTCTTCATGCCCAATGGAACAGTGCAGTTAGCAGAGTGGACAGGCACAGTGAAATTGAATGAGAATATTACTCTTCTTGATGTCTATTTTCTCTCTACCTTTAAATATTGCTTGGTATCCATATACAGATTGTGCTTGTCACCAGAATTATCTGTGGTTTTCAAGAATAACCAGTGTTTAATTCAGGACCATGATCATCATGTGCTTGGAAAAGGAGTGCTTGAAGTACAGTTGTTCTATCTGGAAGGTCACACCGATCAAGCGTGTGCTATCAAGCTGGATACTCCTTGGCATCAAAGATTAGGACATCCATCCAGTTTGGTAATGCAGAAATTACTGTTTAACTTTACTCTTACGAATAAGGATGTTGCACATACTACCTCTCTACCTTGTGATGCTTGCAATTTAGCCAAAATGAGACATTTACCTTTTGGTTTGAGTGCTAATAAAGCTGATTCTTCCTTTGCTTTATTACATCTTGATATTTGGGGCCCTTATCACTTACTATCTACCTGCGGAGCCAAATATTTTCTGACTGTTGTAGATGACTACAGCAGAAGCACATAGATTTTCTTGCTACCACTAAAGTCTTAGGTCTTGAACGTATTTGTTGTGTTCATCAAATTGATTCATACTCAGTTTAACTCCAAAGTAAAGAATGTGAGAACAGACTTTGGAGCGGAGTTCACTTCTCTGGCTTTCAAGAATCTATTACAAAAGAATAAAATTGCTCATTACAAGTCTTGCCCATATACTCCACAGCATAATGGTCGAGTGGAGAGAAAACATCAGCACCTCATCTCCATTGCTAGAACCTTGCTTGTGCAAGCCAATTTACCTACTGAGTTCTGGGGAGAGGCTGTTCTAACAGCTACTCACTTGATCAATCTTCTCCTCAGTCCTATGTTGAATTAGAGATCACCCTATGAGATCTTATATAACAAGAAACCATATCTTGACGGACTGAGAGTGTTTGGTTGTCTGTGTTTTGTTTATAACACAGATCCTACAAGAAATAAATTTAGTAATAGAGGAGTTAAAGCTATCTTAGTAATAGAGGAGTTAAAGCTATCTTCATGGGTTATGAGAAAGGAATAAAAGGTTACAAAATTTTCATTCCCTCCACCAGACAGTTCTTGATCTCTAGAAATGTGGTCTTCTTTGAATCAGTGTTCCCTGGATTAGATTGTTCTGCCTCTACCTCCAACTTTTGCCCTTCCCCTGTGGTTGGGACTGAGGATACATAATTTTTTCCGGTTGATAAGTTCACCTCTACAGACACTTCATCCCTGGTTGCTGAACCGCAGTCTTCTACATTTGGTACTCCCTCAGACACTCCATCCCATATTCAACTGACTTCTCAGGCTTCTCCATCTGGTATTCCTCTTCTCCTGATACAGATACAACAGTTGCACTACCATTTGTGCCACCTTCTACATGGCCCCATAGGGAGGTTAAGCAACCTGGTTGGCTTCAAGACTATGTCTGCATCTGTACTAACAACAATGATGAGCCGATCTCTTATCTTGAAGCTGTGGATAACACCAATTGGATATAGGCTATGCAGAAGGAACTTGATGTTCTTGAGTCAAACCATACATAGGACATAGTTGCGAGGCCCAAAGGAAAAAGAGCTATATGATGTAAATGGGTATACAAAATTAAGAGAGACAAATCAGGAGCAATTTCTCGATATAAAGCTCGGTTAGTAGCCAAAGGCTACCTTCAAGAACAAGGGAAAGACTTCAGTGAAAGCTTTGCACCAGTGACAAAATGCACTACAGTTCAACTGCTCTTGGCATCGGCATTGCTAAAGGTTGGTTTATACATCAGATTGATGTTAATAACGCTTTTCTGCATGGATCTCTTGAGGAGGATCTTCTGGGTACTCAATCCCCCTCAATCATGTGTGCAAATTGAGAAAATCCTTGTATGGGTTGAAACAGGCTCCAAGGGTTTGGTTCCAGACTCTTGCAACGAAGGTTCTTGACTTTGGCTTTAATCAGTCTCCTCATGATCACTGTTATTTTATTCTTCACCGAGGTCCGGATATTCTAGCCTTGACAGTTTATGTTGATGACATTCTTCTTATTGGTTCCTCTGTGGGATTGATTAATGAAGTCAAGACCTATCTCCATGATATTTTCACCATTAAAGATCTTGGTGACGCCAATTTTTTCTAGGGCATTGAGATTAAACAGTCTTCCTCTGGTTTGATATTATCTCAGCAACGGTATATCCTTGACATCCTTGAAGATATAGATATGCACTTTGCTTCAGCTGTTGCCACTCCTTTACCGCCTGGAATCAAGTTATCAGCTTCTGTTGGTGAACCTTTGGATGATCTTGCCTCCTACAGACGACTCATATTGGTCGTCTGTTATATCTCAACTTCTCTCGTCCTGATCTTACTTTCGCGACACAACAGTTAAGCCAATTCATGTCACACCCCACTTCTTGTCATTTGAAAGCTGCCTTGCATGTTCTTCGATACCTCAAGGGCTCGGTTAATTTCGGATTACACTATTGCGCCAATCCTGCATTGAATGTCACGGCCTTTGCAGATGTTGATTGGGGTGCCTGCTTGGACAACCGAAAGTCTATCTCTGGCTATTGTATTTTTGTTGGGAACAATTCAGTTTCTTGGAAAGCCAAGAAACAACCTACTGTCAGTCTCTCTACCGCAGAATCGGAATACCGTAGTATGAGCTCGTGTACGAGTGAACTTGTGTGGTTATCTTACATCTTTTATGCATTGCGCCTTGAGTTCCTTACCCCGATACCACTTCACTGCGACAACCAGGCTACTATTCACATCACAGAGAATTCCGTGTTTCAGGAACGGACCAAACATATTGACATCGCCTGCCACTTCATCCGCCATTATTATGACAACAAATTTCTTATTCCCGTCTTCACGAGCAGTGGTAATCAGTTAGCTGATATTCTCACGAAGTCCCTTCCTCGTGCGACTTTCGCCCGGCTTCGCTCCAAGCTTTGTAATGATACGCTTGGCGTGAGGGGGGTGATAAACTAGTTGGGCCATTTGTTTTGTTGCCATTTAATTAGTTTAGTTTAGCCCATTTAGTTTGTTTGATCTGTTGCATATATACATACACTTATATACATATAAATCAGTACAGAGTCTTGTGCGATCAATTTCAAAATAGGAAAAATTTATTTTCCTTGTTTTTCCCTAAAATCGTCACTTGAGACGTCGAATTTGAACTTACAACCTCATTGTCACAACTTCACTCCCTATACCAGACAATCCCTTGCGGGCTCTCTAGAATCATATTTATTTACCATTAAATAATTTATTCTGAATTTCAAATTTATCGAATTAATACAAAAATTAGCAATAGTAATTTCAAATCAACCAAAAATTTTCGATTTATTTTATTCTAGTATTCAACAAAGCGCCTAAAGTATTATATACCATTAGTATATTTATATAGAATAATAATAATAAATAATAATAATAATAATAATAATAATAATAATAATAGATTATTACATGGTAAAACAAATAACTGTTGCTATTAAATGGGGCCCTTTTGATGTCTCTGTATGGGCCCAAATTATTGTGGGCCTACTCGGCCTACATACAAACTACATGTCCAATTAAATTGATTCGGATGTTGACCTAAAAATTTTCAGACCTCCAAAATATGGAAAAAATCAATTATGGATAAATTTATCAAATCAACCAAAGACACATAAACTAATGCCAAATTGCACGGGTGAGTTAGTACAAAATTGCATGACCACCTGGATTTCGACATCCTATTTGTACACATGCACGTAGGTTTCGAAAAGAGTGTTCATAGTACTCCGATTCAAAGCCCAATTGCTATTTTTGAAGACTTACGACGAAGATTTAAAACTAATTTATTTTATATTATTTTATTTTTTTTAAAAATAGTGCAGTGAAATGTGCAGCACTGACCATATTTTCTTTCATTATTCTTATTTTCAACAAAATTTGCCAATTAACTCCTAAACCAGCTAAATATATCAAATATACACAAATTCAATAAAATATATGTATACCAAATCAAATTCTAATATTAACAAATAGCTTGCAAGCTATCAATATGGGTTACGTACTTTTTCAACAGATTCTTAAAAAACATCCCTTCAAATATTATTTAATTACCGCTAAATTTCCCCAAACAAATCCCAAAGAAAAAGATAATTAATATACTCAAATAACTCAACTGAATTTCAATTTAATAAATAGGATGGAGCAAACAGAGTGATTGGGATTACTAGGAGCAAAATTTTCTCATCATATATTTCAACTTCAAAAGTACACATCGATCAACATATAACCCAAGTCTCTAATTTCAATATGATTGCAATGTTTTAGGATCCAGATTGTGTCTTTTGCTTTTTCTCAGCTTCATCAAACCAGGAATTCCACGCCGAAGCATAATGATAAAAAAGGTCACTTATCACTGCCACAAAAAGAAAAATGACACAAATTGGAACTATTTCAACTTAAAAGATTATAAAAACAACGAGCACTGCTTAAAACCTTAATTATCCATCAGTTTGTCGAAGAAATGAAAAGTGCATGAATATACATGATAATTGCTCTACCAAAAACTTGTTGTTTTAGCAATTTCGAAATATGTGTGGATTATTTTAAAGAATGATAATGCAGAAGATTTAGCTAGAAGAATTGGTTAGTACCTGGATTGCAATACTGGGGACAATACGGAGAAGAGAGATTCTCCACATCCTGAATCTCCAAGTTAGTTTCCTTTTCAAGGGCTACTGTATTCTTTATCTTTGGAGCAAATGGACCGAATACGAAGTCCTTTGAGGTGCATTTCTCATGCTGATCGGTTGATAAGTCATTCTTTTCACAAACTGATTTGTCCTTCCACCATTTTCCCATGTCCATGTTTTCATTTAGTTTTAAACCCTCCGAGTTAGTATTGCTTCGCTTAATTGTATTGGTGACATCAGTTCCAAAGGCTCTTTTCTTGGAACTTTCTATGCCTACCGCAGAAGATGATCCATCTTCGTAGCTTCTTCCCACACCTATCCACTTAAATCCTGGTTTTCCAGTGACAGGATCCCGAGCCTATAAATTTCAAATATGGTGGCCATGAAAATTATTGGTGGAACAAGGCAAAACTAACCTAAACAGGTTTTTCAGATGTTACAGAAAGTCATACTAAACTAACCTTTTCAATGAGATTCATAGATGAAAATACATTAGCAATATCATACAAGCGTCTGATCTTTGCTGCAGAAGTATCCAAACAAAAAGTAAAGACTCAATTCGCTGCACAATTTTAAATAAAATAAAGATAAAAAGTAAATGCAGCAAGTTCATCATTACTTTTCATAGCTATGGGGTCATGGCTACTCCCAAGCAATGCAAATGCAGCAGTATCAAGTGAAATTATGTTCACCTGAAGTGGAAGGTAGATAATTAAATTATATTGTTGCATTCAGTATACTTCTTCAAACAAGAATTGTTGTATTGAATTACTTACATCAGAACAAAGAAAAAGCTTGATAAAATTTCTTGTCAGAAGCCCTAATGATTTTTCCCTCCTGTGTTCTGTAAAATCACAAAACAAAGATATAGTTCAACTTTATCAACTTGGTTGGATAGAATCAACCCCAAATGACTTCAAAGAATAATATTAATAGAAATTCAACAAAAGATGATATTAAAAAAATTAATCCAAACTAGAAGCCAAACTAACTAACAACACTTTCTACCTTTATCTACTCCAGGACTTCCATTGTGTTGCTCAGTTTTCGAGTCGAATGGTAGTCTGTGCTCATTCTTATTTAAAGCCTAGGGAAGAAAGTATAATGATTAAGCAGTATTATCAAGCGAAAGTCCATGTTGATATAATTCTTAGTAATGGCCACTACATTGTAGGCATGGGGTATTATTTCTCATTCTTCATTATACATATTAAAACAGTAGGAAAAAATAATATAAAACAAAATATGTGGCAATTTTGAAAGAAGAATATTTCAAAATCGGCAGAAGAATGAAGTGAATTTACATTTGTAATATAGGCACCAAAATGCTCCTTTTGTCCCTGCTCCTGTTCGTCAAACAAAATATAACAAAGAATAACATCAAGTGACTTAGAACCAATTTAAAAAGGTTGAAAAAAACATATATGAACCTGGAGGACTTCCAAGGCATTAGGAATCGCACCGAAACCCTTCCATGCATATCGATTCTTACCTTTTCTCTGTAATATCTGAAAACATTGACTTGTTAAAACTTCTCACTTATTAAAGAATACATTAAACTTAAATATAAGATATAAACTTAAATATAAGGTATAAACTTAGTACCCAAATGCTCTCCAAAATATTCACAATGTCATATATCCTTCGTCGCTCAACACCTCAATAAAAGAAACAATCTAGTGAGAAGTTTATTTGTACTATACCAAGGTGATTTAATATCTAACAGAAATAAGGGACAACAAAATTTTTGCTTGAGGAAACACATCACAGACTTTACATCATTGGTGGGGAGAGCAACTGTTCCCCTAGATCAGAATTTCAAATAAAAGAAGGTAAGTGATTTAACTTCTTTTTTTTTTTTTTTTTTCAGATTCATATATACTAAATTTGTTTTTAGTCGTTTTATATGGGTAGGTGGTAAGTAATAATTTTAATTTTTTTCATTGATACTACAATCATATGTGGACAACGTGAAACTAGGAGTGTGATACTGTGATAGGTAACACTGTATCGTGTCAAGGTGATTTAATATTTAACAAAATAAGGGACAACAAAAACTTGATGATTCACTAAAGAATTTCCAAACTCGCGATTGGCTTTCCTTTAAGTTCTTTTTTCAGAAAACTCATATTAACTCATGTTACTTTGTAAAAGCATACTAATTTGTTTTACAGAAAATATCGAAATACTGCACATTAATATACACAATATATCAAATGCTAATTTTCTTTACCAGATATCCAATTAAACAACGATTACGTCCAAAATAACAAATCACAAAACCAAAACCAAAATCAAATTATATGAGATGGTCAGGACTAATACCTAATTGAAGAGCAGCAGCATCTAACTCAATCGATTCGACACTATCACGATTATACAGGCTCAAAAAACTGTAAGAAATCAAATCTAAGATCAGTTTTTGACCAAACAAAAAAAAACAAAGTGATATCAACATATATTACATATACTGAAAGAAGCATCACTTGCTGCACAAGACGCCAAGAGATTTCTCTTTTCGAGAGTATGGAATATCCTTTGATCGGGAATCACGATCCACCATTTTTCCGCCGGAGACTTCTTGGATTAGGGATTCTGAATTTGAAGATTGCGTCCATAGCCAACCTGCAGCGATTTACTCATAAATAGCGGGAAAATGAACTTGGATCAACACCAACAAATATAAAGCGACTATTTATTAGGCCGGCCCAATATATACCTACACAATGGGCTTAACATTCTCCCAAATATAATCGAATTTGAAACCCTAAAACTGCGAAAAAAAAAAGAAAAAGAAAATCACTAGGCTATATATATTTGGAACAAAGGCACAAAAAATTATTGGATTTTTTTTCAAAAAAATTAATATATTACATAAATTAAATAAACTTTTCAAAAAGTAGATTTAGGTGTGTTCTTAATGTACAAAATATAAATATAATTTTTCAAAAAATTAATATATTACATATGCTTATTATTTTTAAAGTAAAAATTAATATTAATCCTAAATAAAATTATTTTTTTTATTTTTAGTCTCATAAAAAAAATAAATACCTTTGAAATTTCAACGGATTAAATTAGCGTGACTTTAACGAAAGTTGAAGTGTCATTTGATTCGGATCAAACATGGCCATTATATACACAACCAAATATAAATATTTATTTTTGTGTTGAAACACAGACGTGTTTTACTCGACACACTCGTATTTTGAATGTTCAACAGCCTGTGTTTTCGGGTGGTTGTTAAGGATCATCTTTTGCCCTCGTCTTTCTTCGCAAAAAATCTTAGAGAGGAAACTGCCAGTAGACATCCAATTCCCAATATAAATATATATATAATTTGTGTTTGTGTGGTTGTCCATACTTTCTTTCTCACGAATCGCCGACACCGTCGTCTACCCACCGCTCCGACCAGCTTCCGTCCGAAAAATTGCTAACCATCGTTGGCGACGAATCTCCACCACCAACATCACCGTCGCCTGCCCACCGCTCCAACCAGCCTGCTCAGGGATGACTACATCGTTCTCCGCAATCAGCATCGCAGTCACCTGTCCATTGCTCTGGCCAGTCTTCACCCGACAAACCGCCAACCATCGCCGACGACAACGTCGTTTTCCACCGCCAGCATCGCAGTCGCCTGTCCACTGCTCCGGCCAACCTCCGCCCGACGAACTTCCGACCATCGCTTGCAACGTCGTAATGGGCGACTCGCCTTGGATCTGAAAATAACATATTTGCAGCCAGTCGAAAATAACCGAAAAATCGCTCAAAAACCACCAAATCTGATGTCCATCCATCAACCGCATTTAAGCTATTGAAATAGTTAATCTTTTTGCGAATAATAGATAAAAGAGAAAAACACACAGTGGTAGGAACTACTGCATGAGAAAAAAAATTGCTATAAGATACACAAAACCAATTCAACATTTCATAATGCATAGTAAGTAAACTCAACATTCCATATATACATTAAAAATACTCACATTATCGGTTCATTACCAAAATATGTCAAATTCAATTGTCGATCTCATTCCTTGATCAGTTCTTTGTCGGTTTTTTGGGCATAATTATTTTCAATCTCAACTAGCACCATATACTACATGCATAAAAAAAAAATATAGCATCAATCTATTTCTACCATAAGCATCCAATATTCCATGTGTTAACATTTCAAATATAATCAATAATCATCTTCAATACAAATGTTAAGCACATGTAAATATATACTTACAACCATGTTGGAGAATACAAAATTTGGACATTGAAACACTTATTCTGAAATCTGATTTGTTTAGGAAGGTGCGAAATGCATCAACCACATTGCTTGCACATCAAAAGAGGATTGTAGACTCTGGATATCATGCTTGAATATATCAGTGATTCCATCCGAAAAAATAATGTCTCCCAAATCGACCGCTGAGGTGCGATGTAAATAAAATGTCCATTTAACGGTTCTTTCTTCCTCTTCACTCAACGTAAACTCATAAAAAATGCTGAAGGATATTTCATATAAAGATCAGATAACTTTCTAGGGCATTCGATTCCGATGAACTTTAATTTTCTTTTTTCTTTTTTAACTTGGGAATAGAGGACTCAGTGCACTCGGGTAATTTTGCACTGGAGATTGAATCTTTTCACGTTCATTTGATTCATACAATACAATTTCCTTGCCAAATAAATTCATCAATCTTTAAAAAAGTTAAAAAAAATTAGTTTTACCTTGCAAATCCACAGAGAAACCTTGCTTGGCGAACTTCCCTCCGAATGTCCAACAATATTTTTGAACTCTTGTATTAAGCCAAGTGAAAAAAGACTCATTGGATTAACATTAACTTCTTCATCACACTTTTGGGAGGTCCACACCATTTCCTCAATTTGCACTGCCGTCTCGTTTTCAATATGTTCCTATAACAATGATCAAGACATATGTTCTTAAGTAATTCAAAATATAAAGGATATAATGTTTACTTAACAATGATCAATGCATATACAATTAAAAATACTTGTTCAACATTTTGTTCTTCCCGGACATCTTACTTTCGCACGGGCAAATCGCACTGAACAAAATCCTATGACAATAATCAAGGATAAGTTTACATACCATTGCAAATCTACAAGAAAAACAATGATATATAACATAACAACATTCAATATATAAACTGATACAATTAAAATCACATTCTTAGCATTCTTTTCGTGAAGATCTTATTCCTTTGCTCTTTCGTTGCCATCAACAATTCCATCCTCATTGGCAGCTTCGTGTTGCTGATCACCCTTAAAATTCTTGTTGTAGTCTTTCTTTAAATTGTAAAGAATTTCTGAAACCCGGAAAATCTCACTCTTGTACCATTGTTCCATAAACACTACTTCAGCATGTCGACAACTATTAGTTAGCATATCATATAAGAACAGTAAGCAGACAAAACAAACAATCAACTCAACATATTCAAAGCTACACGTTTAAACTAGAATACAAATTATAACATATGTATATCATTCTCCTATGTATCGGTCTATGAAGCAAATCAGCATTCCAAAAAATATTACTTCACCATGTCGACAAGTATTACTTAGCATATCATAGATGAACGGTTAACAGGCAGAACAAATAATCAACTCAACATATTCAAAGCTACATGTTTCAACTAGAATACAAATTCTAACCTTCAAGGATCAAACACTTTGGGGGCTGAAGACCTTTAAAATGTCATGGAAAGTCAGTTTTCGTGTGATATGACATTAAAAAAAAACGCTCCCACATTTCTAACTATGGAACTTATCAAAAAAATATATGCTGAAAATATAAAAATAGCATATTACACAAAAAGAAAACACAAAAGTAAGCAAAGAGATTACAATATTTTAATTTGCCATTAAACAATGCATATCTCCAGACGGCCTTCCACTAACCAATGCTTTCTTCTTGAATTTCTTCGATATCGCATACAAACCCTCAACAATCTTATCTCTCACATATCAAGCCCAGTTGAACTCACTTGCTAACTCCTTAGACTCAAGGAATTGGAATATACAATGATTAATATTCGAATTAGATATAGGCGTCAACAGATTACACATGCAGTACATGACATATATCATCCAAATATCAACATCATTTCTTAGCCCTCCACTGTCCAGTAAGTCCTTTAACAAAGGCTCAACAATATATTTCTTATTCCTACCTATAAGTTTCATATCTAATGCAAATCCATCAGAAAAAGTGCTAAGAATCAGACTCATCCAAAGAAATCGGTTCCTTATTTTCCCCGTATGGCAACCCATACACAACAGCAACACCGCAATTCGCAAAATATACCATTTATTTTTATTAGATAAATGAAATTACTCAGCTATCCTGTTCCCAAAAACTCAGTAATTGCATAATAGGAGCCACAGGAATAGGCATTGGTTTAACATGGAATAGTCCTTTGAAACAACTAGATTTAACATACCTCCTAATCGTTTGACGAGAAGATTGTTGTAAAGACTCGTTCAGGTGTGCAACTTTCCTAAATTGCAAGGTCAATCATGAATGAAAATTAAAAAATAATAACAGAACACAATGCAATCAGACTTCCACTATAGCAATAATGGGTACATCAATGTTCCTCTCTAGATAATCCTAGAGCTGTCAACCAATAACTCCTCGAGAATACAATTCTTGGCGCAACAAATCTCTCACCCAATTAAATACTTCACAATAATCATAAAAGAAAGATTAACCTCTGACATCATCTGAAATCAAGAATACAACTTGCTCAAGAATTCAGGAAATTAGCCAGGAATTGCAAACTCAAAATATATGGCAAAGTCAATAATCTTTAATATTTATTTAAAACAAATACTACAATCATTATAACACATTATTCCATAAATATCCTCAACAATCTTTATATTTTTATCATTTTTCTCTTAATCGATCTAAACCTCATAATGAAATATCAGCAAATTTCAGTGACAGAAGGTCCATATATTCACGAAATCGAAATAAGTAGAGAATAGAAGAATACCCCAATGTTGCAGAGTTAAGTGTGCAAAAGATAAATTAGCAGCAAGAGCGACTGCGAGATGCTCCAAAATTGCGAAGCACGACAGAGAAGGAGAGTAAAACTGTTATCCAAAATCTTGGATTGTGAATCGCTCGGAGCTGATCAATTAGGATCAACCGTATTTGGAGCTGGGAATATGAAATTTGCAGAGAAATGAATTACAACCATAGAGGGTAAATGAAGGGTGTGTTTGTTCGGGGGTTTGGATTTTGTGTTGGGATATGAATAGTAAAAATTTTGAATTTGAATAGTTGTATGATGTGATATAAATAGGGTTTGATGTGATGTTTTGAATGTAAAATTGATTTTTAGTATAATATAAAAAATGAAAAATAAGTGTTTGATTTGACGTTTTGGGGGAAAAAAATAAATTGGATGAACAGGGGAAATCTATCAAAATCCTTCGAACAGAAATGTCCAAAATAAGCTGGCCCAATTTATGTCCGCTTTTAAATGGGCCTAGCATTTGGCCCAAAGACAAAATCTATTAGTTGACTCGAGAGTCGAGAGTGACCTTTATGGTTAAAATTGGAAAATTATGGGGAGAGTTTTACAAATTGTGAAAATTTAAGGAGTAAGAAAATAACTGCTGTACAAAACTGTGTAGGCAAATATATTTTGGGAACAGCGTCACCGGTGGATCATCGGCGGCATGCCATTCTACTCCCGACGCGGCGCCGGCGGTTGGGTGCAATCGCTCCTTCCCATATCCAGGCCAGCCACCAAGCAATCTCGGAAGCCAAGGAGGCGGACTGCCGTCGCATTTCGCGACTTCATCTTGTCTAACTTCTTCACAATCGGGGTCTGCTTCACCTTCATCGTTTTCCTTTTCATTTTATTTCGCTCGGCCTCCGTCACGAAGTCCGTCCAGCTCCGCTCGTCTGCGTCCCGAGCACGCTCCTCCCGGCCTCGAAAGCTTCCTTTGCATAAGTCTCCCAACGTGAGTGTCTTGGCGGCGGCTGTGGATATTACGACGAAAGATCTCTATGACAAGATACAGTTCTTGAATGAGGACGGTGGTCCTTGGAAGCAGGGATGGCGAGTGAGTTACAGAGGCAATGAGTGGGATGAGGAAAAATTGAAAGTGTTTGTTGTGCCACATTCGCATAATGATCCTGGATGGATGCTCACTGTTGAGGAGTATTATGATCAGCAGTCCAAGCATATTCTGGATACTATTGTTGAAACGCTTTCCAAGGTTACATATCTTCTTGGATTAATCTCTAGGTTTCTGTATTAACACTGATTTGTAATTTTCTCTGATTAACATTATCTTATCAAGGTTAGCTTTTGTGTCCATTTTTATCTGTGTTCTTATAAGTCAAAATGGATTTCTTTCATATGTTGGTGGTGATTGTGTTGAAATCGATGGTTATCAGCTTTGTTATGCCAATGGATACTATACGGACTTTCATTTAGTTTATTAGTAGAGAAGTATAAACCTACTGTCATTAGAGGCTCTCAAATAATGAAATAATGACTGAATTTTGATGCATTGCGTAAAATACACTTCATCTAAGCATTAGTTTGTTACTATTTTACCACGTTTGGTTAAAACTTTCTTGGCCAAGAAATTGAAGGGTTTTGAGTTTTTAATCAATGTGGAATTGATAGTTTGAAGTTGAATTTAGGATACTCGAAGAAAATTTATATGGGGAGAGATATTTTATTTAGAGAGATGGTGGAGGGATGCATCAAAAGTGAAGCAAGATTCCTTAGTCAATTTAGTGCAGAATGGGCAGCTGGAAATTGTTGGCGGTGGATGGGTGATGAACGATGAGGTAATATCAATTCTTGAACCCATGTTTTTTGTAGCATTCCACCTTCTATTCTGCATTAATATTACATCCATTCTATCTATTTGTTTCTTATTTGATTTATTTTGATTTATCTGTATGTTGGAGCTGTGGGGTTTCTATAGATGTATTCTAGTTCATTGCATTTGATCTGAACTACCTGATTAGATTTTTAATAAGAGTGGCGTTTATTTAGGGTTTGATATTCACTGGAAGTGCATATATCAGTTGTAGTATAGCTGCAGTTTAACATTGATTGCAAGCTTATATGTCAACTGTCATATATTATTCATTAGCCTGTGAAATTAAGATTGTTGCCTGCTTAATTGCTCCTCTAAACCCTAACACTCAGTTGCTCTGAATCTCCATAATTGTGACCCTAAGTTTGTTGTTATGTTCACCTTTGCTCTAGAACAATTGCTGGGATCCTATCCCGTTAGCTAAGAATTCTTTTGAAACTATGTTAGTCTACAAATTAAGCAAAAGAGATAAAAGTTTGGTTAATCCACTGCATTACATAAATTAGGCTGCAAAAAGTGTCTTAACAAAGTGTATAAAGTTAACAAAGTGATCAACAAGATAATGTGATTTAAGGCTAATGAGAACAATTTTCATCCTTAGTTATAGTTAAGTTCCATTACTCCTTACACAAATTTCTCACTTCTAGATTTTATTCTTGTGTGATTATGCTGCTTTTGTTTAATTCGTTGTTTAAAGATTTCTTCTGTACCTGTACTGAATATTTTGTGTTTGAGGTGGTGGTAAGGCAGTTATATTTCTTGATATTTAGGGTGGCCAAATCTGATAAGTCCTTTTTGTTTTTTCTTTCTGCAGGCTAATTCACATTATTTTGCTATCATTGAGCAGGTACCTTCTTTAACTGATTATAATTTTGGTTAAATGTTAAATGACTTCAATATAGCATACACTGCAGCAGAGCTCATGGGTTTCAACAAAAAGTTAAAAACAAGACAAAGAACCACAAAGAACTCAAAAACCTTCTTATGGTACTCTGATAAATGAAACAAAATGTTGATGAGCAGTCATATAACTATGTTACTCCTTCAATCGAAATTGTTTCTTGCTGTGGAAGAGAAATTGAATTTTTGGAGTGGGAGGGGGGACTGCTTTTAATTATGTTCTTGGACTGATGCAATTTTTTATTCTACTAGAGCCTTTTTGTTCTAATCTGATATCTTTTGATGTATATTTACATTGTGCGCACAGATGACTGAAGGTAGTATGTGGTTAAATGAGACTGTTGGATTTATTCCTAGGAATTCTTGGTCAATTGATCCATATGGATACTCATCCACCATGGCTTATCTATTGAGGCGTATGGGCTTTGAAAATATGCTTATACAGAGAGCACATTATGAGCTGAAGAAGGAGTTGGCATTGCACAAGAATTTGGAATTTATATGGAGGCAGAGCTGGGATTCTGAAGAAACATCTGATATTTTTGTCCACTTGATGCCCTTCCGTTCTTATGATATTCCAAATACTTGTGGCCCAGAACCTTCTGTTTGCTGCCAGTTTGATTTTGCTCGCATGCGTGGATTTGTATATGAGAGTTGTCCCTGGGGAGATCCAGTGGAGACTGATCAAGAAAATCTGCAGGAGAGGGCACTTAAATTATTGGATCAATATCGGAAGAAATCAACACTTTACCGAACTAACACACTTCTTGTTCCCCTTGGTGATGATTTCCGCTACATCAGCATTGATGAAGCAGAAGCTCAGTTCAGAAATTACCAACTCTTATTTGACTATATTAATTCTGATCCTAGCTTGAATGCTGAAGCTAAGTTTGGGACTTTGGATGACTATTTTAGTACCCTTCGTGATGAGGCTGACAGGATAAATTATTCACAAACTGTTGAAATTGGCTCTGGTGAGATTGGAGGTTTTCCTTCCCTATCTGGTGATTTTTTCACTTATGCTGATAGAAATCAAGATTATTGGAGTGGCTATTATGTCTCTAGGCCATTCTTCAAGGCTGTTGATCGTATATTGGTCCAAACACTTCGAGGTGCAGAAATGATGATGGCTTTTGTATTAGGACATTGCCAGAGAGGACAATGCGAGAAGTTTCTTACTAGTTTTTCATACAAGTTAATTTCAGCTAGACGTAACCTAGCTCTATTCCAAAATCATGATGGCATCACTGGTACTGCTAGGAATCATGTGGTTGAAGACTATGGGAAGCGGTTGCATATAGCATTAGAAGACTTGCAGATCTTTTTGTCCAAGGCTTTTGAAGTTTTGTTAGGAATTCGCCATGATAAATATGATATAAGTCCAGCTATGTTCGAGCCGGCACAAAAAAGTTCTAGATTTGATATGCGGCCCATGCATAAAGTTATAAATGCTCTTGAAGGAACTGTGCAAACTGTGGTCCTTTTCAACCCACTGGAGCAAACAAGAAATGAGGTTGTAATGGTGGTGGTCGAACGACCAGATGTTACAGTACTAGACTCAAATTGGACATGTATAAAGAGCCAGATTTCTCCTGAATTGCACCATGACCAAAACAGTACATTCACTGGAAGACACCGTGTTTATTGGAAATCTTCAGTTCCTGCTATGGGACTACAAACTTATTATGTGGCTAATGGATTTGTGGGATGTGAGAAGGCCAAACCAGCAAGTCTGAGGATCTTTTCTCCATTCAAGCAATTGGTTTGTCCCACTTACTATCCTTGCTCAGATATTGGAACTGACATAGTTGAAATCAGCAATTGGCATCACAGGCTCACCTTCAACGTAAGTCATGGCCTGTTGCAGAAAATAAGTCATAAGGATGGCCACGTGAATGTTGTTGGTGAAGAAATTGCTATGTACTCTAGCACTGGGAGCGGAGCCTACCTCTTCAAGCCCCGTGGGGATGCTGAGCCTATCACTCAAGCTGGCGGACTAATGGTGGTCTCTGAGGGCCATTTGGTGCGAGAAGTTTACTCATATCCAAGGAATGAATGGGAGAAAGCTCCTTTATCCCACTTTACGCGGATATATAACAGTGAGAGTACCTTACAGGAATACATCATTGAAAAAGAGTACCATGTTGAGCTTCTGGGACGGGAGTTTGACAATAGAGAGCTGATAGTTAGATATAAAACAGATGTTGATAATAAGAGGATCTTTTACTCTGATCTAAATGGTTTTCAGATGAGCCGTAGGGAAACTTATGACAAGATACCTGTGCAGGGAAATTACTATCCAATGCCGTCTCTTGCATTTATTCAAGACATGAATGGAGAGCGGTTCTCTGTTCATACCAGGCAGTCTTTCGGTGTGGCTAGCTTAAAAAATGGGTGGTTGGAGATCATGCTAGATCGTCGATTAGCTGCAGATGATGGGCGTGGTCTGGGCCAAGGAGTGATGGATAACCATCCCATGAATGTTCTTTTTCACCTCATTGTGGAATCTAACATTTCGAAGCCCAGCAATCCTAGTTTGAATCCTGATCCTCTTAGCCCCTCTCTTTTCTCTCATTTAGTTGGTGCTCATTTAAACTATCCTATGAATGTATATATTGCTAAAACTGCTGAATCGATATCTGTGCAGCCACCCCCTAGACTGTTTTCTCCTTTAGTGACTTCCTTACCGTGTGACTTTCATATCGTGAACTTCAAAGTTCCTCAGCCTACGAAATACTCTCAGCAGCCCCTCAGCGAGATCAGATTTGCCCTCATTGTCCAAAGGCGACAATGGGATTCTGCATATTGTCATAAAGGCAGATCACAGTGTTCCACAATGACTGATGAGCCAATAAGCCTGTTTAATTTCTTCAAGGGGTTTACTGTTTTGAATTCAAGAGCTACTTCTATTAATCTCATACTTGAGGATACTGATCCTCTTGGCTATAATGATCACTTTGCAGCCGGTGCACATGAGGGACACGTCCTCATCTCCCCCATGGAAATACAGGCTTACAATTTGCGACTACAGCCGGAGGATATATTCCGTTGACAGTAGTTACAACTGATGTTAGCTGAGGAATTACCAGGTGAGTTTCTACTACAGCTATTAATTTTGCAGCTTGTATCAATGGAGGGTCTAGTCAAGTATTTTTCTTGCAACACAGGCTTGTCAGAGTTTTGTAGAATTAGCTCGCAAGGTTGAGGAAATGTTTATTTGTTCCTTAACTTGCTCCTAAGGATACACATGAATAACATTCTTCGATGCTTTTGTTGTTCTGTGCAAGATCAAATCATTTCTTGATGAATTGTTAGGTCTAATAGGACTGTAGGATGGGGCAGTGATGATGGCATGTTGTAACACTGTAAAGACTGCCTTTAGTTGATTTTATATGTAATAATAGCCGTCACAAATTCTAATAATCATTGTAGAATCATTTCTTCCAAAAACTCATTAGTTCTGTGCAGCCCTCACTCTCTGCTCTTTTATTTTCATATTTTGTGATCCAAAACAAGATGAGGCAATAGAACAACTTTCTTAGCTTAAAGTTTATATGGTTAGCGTGAAATTACAAAATTGAATTCACTTATAATTTATAACTGAATACAGTTTACAAAGATATGTAAGCGCCGCCGAATCATCTCAAAGTTTATATGCCGCTTCTGTAAATAAAATGCATGAACTTCTTCACAGAATTATTTCTTCCTGCACACTTAAATTAAGCGTCTTGTTCGGAAGAACTATACAGTTTATCACGACCACCTCATCCTCAACAGTCACTGATTCCCCTGCAAGAAGTAAATTGTAATTCTCAGTTTACATGATTGATGATTCAATCTGAAGATCGGTATGTTTAAATCAAGGGTGTACCCAAAATCGTAATCCCCAGCTTTGTGTTGTAGTCTCCATCAGCCTGTAACAGCAGGGAAACTATTTAACCATGAAACTTCAATTTACAGGTACATCACTTCATGTTCTACTAATTTTCCTTGAGAAGCACATGAAATACATGGGACTCTGTTATTGCATTAGACAGAAATTTGTTTTGAGTTTAATTTAGATTTATCCATGCTTTTTGCTATGTGTGGTTGGTGGTATGTTTGAAAGAACATTCGACTAAAGAATTTTCAGAATTCCACCTGGACTCGGGACCATCTCCCAAGTGATGACTTCCACCCAATAATTGCATGCATCACAACTGCATTTTCCTGTAGATGAGATAATAAGGTTAGGATTCTATTACAATTATATAACAAACTTCTTGTAAACAACTAACATACCATAATTTCTATGTCATCCAACACGATACAGTTCCTGAGTCTGACACCAGCAGCAATACGAACATTAGCTGATATTGAGACGTTGGGTCCAATCTGTTGTACATCCAAGACTGAATTAGTATAGTGTCAAGGGAAATTATTTCTGACATAAAGTTACACCTGGAAACCTTTGCAGTTGGGTGCACTTTTGCTGATGGATGAATTGAGACATCTCCAACAATGGTAGCTGTCCTTTTCCCATCTCCACTTGCTAGCAAATGTGGAGATGTAGATCGGAATTGGGCAAGATACAATGCAGAACACTTGATAGACATCCTGATGAATTAGATGAGTCAGTAAGGAAGGTCCGAGTTTCCACATCATAGAAGAGAATAATACACTGAAGGAAAAGAGACATACCCTGGGGTATTGATCTGTTCCCAAAAGTCCATGGTCTCGTATGTGTACAGCCGCTTCTTACCAGCAAGAGGCGACAATATGTCCTGGTCCAGCCTAACAAAATCTGTAGGAAGAGACCTAAATGAAGAATCGATCAACCTGGGACTCAATGTAAAGCATGAACTCTAGCTTAAATGCTCATAGTTATATAAAATAATATCTGTCAACGAAACGTGCGTCACTGAGAAATTAAGCATTGCAAAGTACATGGCACTCATTTGACATTACCCAGCCAAAGATTTGTTCCTTTTAATATAGAGTTTACACAAAGGACTGAAAATATTGAAATGGGCAGTTCTCCAATGATACCTTGTCGCAAATTGCTGGGATTCGTAGCTAGATACTTGACGCACATCAGCTGCAATTAGTTAAAGATAATATAAAGATCAATCAGGCAATCCAAATATGCGATGATGCATTACTTGCCCATCGAGCTTATCACCTTAAATTCTAGACTTTAAAGCAATGCTTAGGTATCATGGTTTGAATCAGGTGAGGATATGTGATAAGGCCTCAATATATAGCTCTGAGAAATATTTCAATAATATGACCCTCAATTCAAATATTGCAAGAATGAAACAGTTCTTTAAGCCAGAACGAAGTGACAAAGAGAACTTGATGTGCGCTTTATCAAAACTCCTTGAATAACAAGTTCTCATCCAGTTGGCACAACATTATAACATTTTTCCTAGAAAGTAAGAGTACTCTTCTTTAGAAGAATTTGTATGCAGAACCATGGCACGACAATGGCATCTATGCAACACAACTAACCTCTGTCTTTTCTGAGCAAATATACCTCCTCGATGACAATAAAGATTTCAGGGGTAAAGACGTAAACACCGCAGTTAATCAGATCACTCACCTGTAATTGTGATTAAAAGTAATGGCATTAGAATGAACTGAAAAATAATCACCAGTCAACAGTATAATTGTTTGTTTACGTGCTGTACGTACAAAAGTCTCGGGCTTCTCAGTGTAATGCAACAGTTCTTTAGTGGTTGGATCCGCAACCAACTCACCAAACTGGTTGGCTGATTCAGCAGAAACCTGTGCAATTACATTCAAAGAGTGCATGATAAAATGACTATGATTTCATGGATGGTCATCGAGTCTGATTTCCAGTGCAAATAATCTTGCTTGGAAAGTAAGAAAAGCTTTTGAAGGGAACCTTACTTTTATAACCAGCAATGTGCCGACCCCACCATACTTTTTATGGGCATCTGAGTAAAGAATAAGAGAGCGAATTACATAAAATAGCCATGATTTGTGTTACAGAAAAATGGAGAGGACGCTAAGATCGCACTTCAGAGCACATAACAAAATATTAAGTACCGAAATCAATGATGAAGACGACAATTACCAAGCATGCTGGGCAGCGGAAAGCTGCAGCAGACATCACCATTCAACAAAAATATATGTGACTGCACAGCCAAACCCAGACAATTGCATTCATGAGATTAGGAAAGCTGTTTTATCTGATAAGGATGTTGCAAACCATATGCAACAAGATTAGCTTCGATAAATAAAGTGTGGAAACTAGAGATCATCAAGAGCCACATCTATTCGCTGTATGGTTAAGTTGTAAAAATCTCAAACAAGAATTGTAAAAAGGCATTTCATTATACAAAAACATTGCCGAAAGAACAGGGAAACCTACAGGGGATTCTTCCATTATTCGATCTCTGAAGTGATAAAGGCCGCCTGCCGAACCATGAGGTTTGTCCTCTTTCAAATATCTGAACAAAGTAAAATCTAAATGGCCACAACCAAACTAATTTACATTTGTAAAGCTAAAAGAATCGAACAATATAAATCACTACTCGAGGGGAGATCAGACATCAGCGTTCACCTTACAGGCACTTTGAGCTCGTTGGATATGGAAGAAACATACAATGCAAATTCGCGCTCCTCGTAGAATCCGATCAGAAAAATTTGCACCAGGTTGGGAATCTACACACCAGGCATGAAGTAATATTAAACCTAAAAACTCCAATTTTACAATTAAACTGGTGAATTACCCAAATTTCTGGCCAATAGAAGAAATTATCCAAATTAAACAGGAGAAAAACTAAACCAGTACCCTTTTGCAGGCGGAGATAGGGTGATGAACCATGGGCTGGCCGGCGAGCGGAAATAAAGGCTCTGGAGTATTGAACGAAAGCGGCCTAAATCGAGTCCCTGGACAAAATTGAGTATCAAAAAATTGCAGCAATCCGAATCAAACACAAAATTTGGTGGGAGAGAAGCTAAGAGTGAGAAAAGGATTACATTCAGACCTTTACTAGGACCGCCCACCAGGATAACGGCGACCACTTTCTCTTCCGTGTTCTCCATTTGTGCAGTTAATTTGCAGATTTCAGAGCCCTCTGAATATCCCTAAATGCAAGAGATTCAGGGAGGTCTCAGTTGCAGCAGAGGTTGATTTCCGATATTCAGGAGGCGGAGGTGATAAATATGTAATATGGGCTTTCATTATTGGGCTTTTGATAAGCCCATTGAACTAATTAATTGGGCTGATAAGGGCCCATTTTGGAATGGAGCCCACGGTCTCTATGATTATTTTGGCAGGTCCCGGACTCTGAGGAATGATTGGTGTTAGGTACGACACTAGACACCCGACAGTATAAAAGCCTAGATCTATCCGGCGTGGAGGTCCAGGACTTTCGATAGAATCACTTGATGGAGACGTCATAGTTATCTGTGGCAGTTCTCGGGGAATGAAAAGGATTGTCCCCGCTTCACCATTTTTGTGCAATCACGAGTCCGTTAAGTTGGAGACGGGAAGACGCGAACATCGAAGGCGTGAGCCGATCGCGTGTAAGCAAAAGGAACGGGAATCTGGAGAGCTGAGTTTTCTATATATGTATGTAGAAACGCCCCTCAGCGATGCTTCAGCTGTAGCGCAACTTCTAATCTGTTAAGCGGCAGAGTGGAAACAGAATGGCAGTTAAAGTGTTCGTTTATTGGTCGGTCTTTCTTGTTTTGGGGTTCGTCCACGATTCTGTAATTGGGCGGCCATTGCTGATACCGAATGCCAGAAGACCTAACCCTGATGATGCGGCGTCGTTTGCTCGGTGGCTGGTTTCTCAGAGTTCATGGGGAGTCCTCAAGTAAGGCTGTGTCTTCTCTTCCTCTCGCTATGCTTTGTATTAGGCTTTTGAAGGAATTGATTTCGGGTTTTGTGTTTTGTGCTACTGAGATTTGGGATGATGATTTGTTCTGTAGTGTTTGGTATAAAATCAAAGTGTTGCTGGTGTGATCTGTTCATGATTCCCGAATTGAATTGTAGATTGCAGTTCTTGGTCTTTCAATTGCTCAACTGGTTTTTGCCAGAGAAATGCAACATTGCTTTAGACCTCATTTTTTTGCAGGTTTCTATAATGTTTTTTCTGTGTTTGGCTTCATCTTGATTTACTTCTGCTTTAGTTCAAATTCCAGTGGATGAATTAAACAAATATATAACAACATTTTCAAATATTTATACAACAATTCATTGAACATGATTGTAGATGTTTAAATGCTCCTCCTGTGTTATAGTGGAAACTAATACATTCAGTCTATATTGCAGCACTATATCGAACGAATGGGGAGGTGCGCCTTTTGGGTACGTTCAATCGGATTCATTTCTTACATTCTGCACTTGAATATTACATGTGAAATAACACCTAAATTCTCTTGTGTGTTTGTTTGAAGGATTTGTGAAGATTGGTACTATTCATATCATTTGTTTCCCCCAAAAACATCAAATCAAACACCTATTTTTTATTTTTTATATCATACTAAAAATCAATTTTACATTCAAAACATCACCTCAATTTCTATTTATATCACATCATACAACTATTCAAATTCAAAATTTTTACTATTCAAATCCCAACTCAAAATCCAAACCCCCAAACAAACACACCAATATAAATGTATCTTGTGGGTTCGGACATTGTTAGTTAATACTCTGTAAGGTTAATGATCTTACTTGTTGGTTAATTGAAGTTCGATGCAAAGGGACGTGTAAAAAGACACTAGATTATTATCTCATATGTGTGAATAGCTTTACGATTCTTTTTGTAAAATTGTTAGACTTGCACTATGTATAGCTATGATGTGCTTGTACAGTCCCTTCTTCAAGTGTTTGGTTATCGTTAACTTGTTAATGAATGTATGTAAAATACGATTCTGCGCAGAAATGTGGTTTCATTCAGTGATGGCGAACCCGACAAAGGCAAAGGCATCCCATACTTTTACCTGACAACCCTTGATCCAACTGCAAGTAATGCTTTGAAGGATCCAAGATCTTCCTTAACAATAAGCGAATATTCACTCGGAACTTGTGACAAGACCGACCCCGAGAATCCCAGCTGTGCAAAAATTACTCTCATAGGAAAGGTATTCGCCATTACATACTTTTGTCTCTCTTTATAAGATATCACATAAGCCTATATGTAACTTGCATTCTATGGTTGTCGTTTCAGTTAAAATTACTCGATGGGAAGTCCAAAGATGCAGAATTCGGTAGATCTGCATTGTTTGCCAAGCACCCCGAGATGAAAAGTAAGCGAATGCTTCCCAGCTTTTTTTTTTTCTCCATCCTTATGACACAAACATGTCGGTAGTCTAAATTGTAGTTTGAATGGGAACACGTACAGGCTGGCCTCCAGGGCACAATTTCGAGGTCTACAAGCTGAACATCGAAAAAATATTTATGATCAACTGGTTTGGCGGGCCGAAGCCTCTCACGGTGGAGCAATACCTCCAGGCCAAAGTGTGAGTTGCCTGCTGAACAGATTATGTAATAAAAATGGCTCGTGTTTATGAAATAATGCTAATCTGGTGCCAGAATAGATTATTTGTTTTTTTTTTTTCTCAAATATGAACTCATCACTCTTTGTTTCCTCCAGGAGTGCAGAGGACATAACTTTCTGATCATAATGCTCTTGTGGAAGTTGTTGGATTTTGTTGAAATGAATATTGTAATGAATGTTGTGTTATATTTATATGAAGATATGTTGATGTTAAAACGAATAGGGCATTTGCAGAGGTTTGTGCTAAATATGGGGACTAAAATGCAATTTAAGAATGATGAGAATCCAGTAATAAAAGTGTAAAACAATCCGAATCTTCACAGTATTGTGTAGCCAGACAAAAAAGGTAAGAAATGTGCACGCCTATGCTATGTGACCTGAAATAATTTATTATTTATTATGAAAGTTTGGGTTTGTTTTTCGGGATAAATATATCATATTTTATTTAGTTGTCCATTAAAGTATTGTATAATTTATTTATAGAATATATTTTTTCTATTTACAATTTTATTATATCATATTTTAACAAATTATAATCAATTTGCTAGTAATTTTTTTATTTACTCCAAACTTCTCAAATCTATATATATATTATTTTATTGCACATAAGCTAAATAATTCAATGATTATTGTTTACCTAATAAGTAATTAAAAAATCTATTAGTGAAGATAATTATGATTTAATAAGAATAATTATAATTTGATAAAAATAATTATAGATAAAGATTAAATGACTAAATAGTCTAATTAAAATTTTAAAAAATATAAGTAATGAATTTAAAAATGTGATAAGTGTATAATTATATTTTTAAAAAATGACAAATTATATGGACAGATGAAAATAAAAATAGTGAAGAAATTAAGTGGCACCGAATGAGTATGATATATGATTATTAATGTATTTCATTAAATTAATTCTATGAATTAATGGTGTTTTTTTTTCAAAGATTTTGTTATATTTTTACGATTCATCATTTTTTTTTCTTAAAAAATATCAAATTAAATATTTATTTTTATATTATATTAAAATTAATTTTACATTCAAAAAAATCATATTATTCAAATTTTAACTCAAAATTCAAACTCCAAACAAACATACCCACTAACGGGTCATGCGGTCAATCAAATATTTCACTTATTCCGTGATCACAATTTAATGTAGTACAAGGGAATAAATCGTCTCCACATGGATGGTGTGATTCACTCTTTTGTGTTCTAATGCATTAAATAATTAGGGGGAATTTTTTTTTATTATCTAATAAAAATAAAATAACAAAGCAATTAAATTAAGGGAGAACTAGCTGGATGTCTGGCTCAAGAGATAATGGAGTTATGGCACATATGTTTTATCATTAACTCAATAAAGTTAGTTCTTATTAAAGTATCAATAAATTGGTTATAATTATCAACTAACAACCAATGTTTCCTTACGGTGTAGGTAATTAAGGTACGACAGTTAACTACTTCTAATTAAGCTAATAAACTTAGGTGCGCCCATAACAAATATTGTCTAATTGTGTTCTAACCTAGAAAAACCCAATTCAAAACAATTACTACCTAAGAGAAGCAATTAGATCCGATTGTCTAACCCTCGGAAAAGAACTATTCAACCCGGTTGTCACCTATTCAAGTGCGAATACAATTACGGATATCCTACCTGAATTGACTTAGATTATCAGATTAATTTAAATATCGTATCAAAATATCTATTAGTCAAATATTAATAATTAAAAAGAATTTTTATAAAGAAAATCAAGAATCACCAAAAACACAATAACTAAAACATTATCATCCCTTAAATCAGAAAAATATTTACTACATAATTAAATAACAAAGCACGAGAAAGATAAAATCATAGTGGGGGGAAATCTTCTCTGTCGATTTGCTCATGCGCGATCTATGAGTCTGTCAGTCTACTGATCTGGTTGTTCTCCTCTTTTGTCTGCGTGTGCCTCTCCTCATTTTATTCAATTTTTGCCAGAATTATTTTGTAGTTGGATTTTTGAACCTTTAATTAAATTGTCAGGAGGAGAGTGTAGTTGGTCATAGCCATGACTAACTAGGCGGTACAAATTTGATTTTTTTTTTTACTTTTTCTATCAATTACACCAAATTTAATATTTACCCTCTTGTACACAACAAATAAAAAATACGCATATAAATTAGGTAGAATCTAATCAAAATCACTCAAATATGGCATATGATATGAACATAAAACGCATACGATTCCTAACTATCACCCATTATTGCTGAAAAGATAAAAAAAGTTGCTAATATAAATCATATTTAATCCTGATTAATACTTTTAAATTATGTTATCAATATGTTGCATTTTATTTTATTTTATTTTTAATTATAATAAATCCATAGTAAGTACTAAATTGAATAAATAATATTATTTAATTTATCATGCAAATTTGTGTTTCTTTTTGCCACCAAAATTTAAATCCCAAAAATACCTATATATATATATATATATTTTTTTTTTTTTACAAAATATCTTATTATACATTGTTTTAATATCAAATTCAATCCAAAATTTCAAAAACTAAATCAAAAGAGAGACATTTGTAGATTGTGTAGATAACATAACATGCAATATTGAATCTAGTTATGATAATTGTCTATCTAAGAGTGATAGCAGAGGAATGCATTGAAGATACTCTATCAATAAGGCCATATCATACTGTTTATTTTACTTTAGATCTTTTTATTTTTATTTAATATTCAATTTCATATTTTTAAAAATAGGAAAAAAAAAAGAAGAAAAAAAACATCAAAGTAAGACTATATTTCTTTTGATGTAGTTTAAAAAAAAAAAAATTGTTTAAATTTAATTTAAAATATATATTTTTTTTCGAAAAAATGTAGAGTCTAAATAATAAAGAATAAGATTTTGGATTAAAGAAACAAATTCATATATTTATGTAGGGTTTCTTTTGTTCATATTACACGTATAGGACATGAACGCATTATTTGATAAGAGTCAAAGGGGCAATGTATGTATTTGTCAGAAAGTAATTCCACAAATTTGTCTTAATTTCCCAATTCTCAAACATATCTTCTTTCAAGATTATCCTTTTTGAAAACAAAAAAGTAAATCTAAAAACAAATTGTATTTGAAATAATTGTTTCTTTTTTTTTTTTTTCTTTAAATAAATTTATTGTACGAATAATACTAAATTTCACAAATATATTCAGACAATCGTAATTATTAAAAATTTCAACGATAAAGATATACACTAATTCTCCCAATCAAAGAATGCGACTGAATATTTCGTACTCGACAAATTAAATTCAGCTTATAATTAGAAAAGGGAAAAAAACCGAAGTTGCACTAAAAGGAGCTTTTCGTGATAATTCCGGTCGGCAGTGTGAAGGAGCTGACTCCCAGACGATCATCGCCCCTACATCCAGAAAAGGTCCACAACATGGACGGTGCAGATGCATCAGGATCTGAGCTCCTGGGAGTCGCTTGATTGAAAATGCTTTTTGTCCTAAGACAGTGCAGCTGAGCAACGCAATGATGGTTTAACCTAAAGCTGGGGCTGTGTTGTGTAGTGTTGTAATGAAAAAGAGAAAGAGACTGCACGAAAAACCATTGTTAGGGTTTTTTATTTTATTTTTTGTTTATTGAGGTGTGTTTAGTTTGGCATTTGGATTTTGAGTTAAATTTGAATAATTAAAAATTTTGAATTAAAATAATTGTAAATATAAATAGTTATTGATGTAATATTTTGAATATAAAATTAATTTTTAATATAATGTAAAAAATAAAAGATAAATATTTAATTTGATATTTAAGATAAAAAAATTTGATAAAGAGTAAATATTGAAGAATCTTTCAAACAAACACACTTCTCCAACTTTATACATACAGAAAAACGTGTATGTATATATATAGGTTTTGTGTGTGTGTGTGTGATTCAGCGCTGCGCAGAAGTCATGATTTGATGCGTTTACCAGTGCAGGTGCAGGTGCAATTCCTCTTCTCTCTTGCGAAAACCGCCATCATTATTATGCCAACATTCACGGCGGCCTTTCATCATCACCATCATCATTATCATCGTCGTCTTCTTCGTGGTGGTGATGATTATTGGGTAAGAAAAAGGAGGATCGAATTAAAAGAGGTGATGATGGTGTGGATCGATACGGCGTCGTTTTGTCTGCTGTGTTTCTCTCTCTCTCTCTATATATATATATACAGACTGCGACGAATCGAATCGAAGAAGACGAATATATGATTTTGGATTGGAGCAGTTTGGCAACGGAAAGGCTGAGGGATTGGATTAATTGAGGTAACCTAATTTACTCATCATCAATCATCCAAAATACCTACTACTGATCTTATCCTTCTTTCGATTCGTCCTTAATTCTGTTCGTCGGGGAATCAAGCATCATGGTCCGATCTCTCTCTCTCTCTCTCTCTCTCTCTCTCTCTCTCTATATATATATATTAGTAAAATAGTATTTACCAGCACTTTTCTAGGTTAGTTGTCGATTTCGTGATCTTGAATCTGTGTGCTCTGCGAGTTTGGAACGATATCCAAATAAAGATCTCGATATGGTGGTGGTTTGATATAATTTTTCGAATTTGTCAGTCCGATTTAGGGTTTGGTGTGTGCTTTGGTGATGTATCTGCGTCGTCGTCTTCGTGGCTGCATATTGTACGAATCGATAAATATATACTCATACATATATATATATATGTGATCTATATATGTTCTTCTTCATTTCTTCTCAATTAGCTTCCTGTGTGATGAAATGGCAAAGACTTGATGGATATGGAGTATATATTTATATGTTCTTCAAAGTTGTTTGTGTGCACTGTGTATTGATTGTTCATCATCAATTAATAGGGTTTGGGAACTGGAATCATTCATTCAGCCATGGATCTGCTTAATTATATATAATTAGGGTTTGGTCGATTTGGAACGATAAGGTTGTGCTGTAAATCATGAAATGGATCTCCCTCATATACGATTTGCCTTTAATTTGCAGATTCCACATGTTTTCGCAGTTGGTCTGCATATATATATATATATATATATAATGATCTATATTCTTCTCTGTAATATGCTATGCTAAGGAGGACTAGCTAGTTTATTTTCGGATATTATTTAATACAGTATTTTTATTAGATTTTACAATATCATTTAATTAGTCTTATCGGGTTTAGAATAATTAAGAGGATGGATGTTTAGTAAGACTATATGCCAGAGGATTTTAATACTACTATATATATTAACAAATTCATAAATCAAAGTGTTTAAGTCATATATATATATATATATACACATACATACAGAGAATAGTTACGGTGCTGATTATCTTAACTTATATAATATGATGTCTGTAATACTCCCTCCGTCCCATACTGTATTTTAGGAGAAGTGTAATTAGTAGATAATTTAAAATGTATTAATGAAAATAATTATTTTATAATATAAATAATTATAAATTAAGATTAAGATAACTAATTAGTCTAATTAAAATTTTAAAAAATAAACTTTAAAAATTTAAAATGAGATTAGAGTGTGTAATCATTTTTCAAAAAGAAAGTGACATGGTATGTGGGACGGACAAAAACGGCAACGTGAATATGGTATTTGGGACGGAGGGAGTAATATTTTATATTGTCTGATGTGTTTTTTAATATAGGATTGAATTTTAAATTCAGCACGGTAAGCGCTACGGCGCATATATATATATATATAGTTAACAAAGTTAAATATAAATTGATAAGGTAATTAAATAGCCAAAGTTTTATAAATATTGATTAGGTATATATATTTTACAAACACACACATATATATATATATATTTGTCATCATTATTAAGTTGAAAGTGATTACTCGAAAATGATCTTTGCTCTAACTATTTTATACTATTAGTCAAGAAATTAGTTAAAGTAGTTTCCATTACAAGATGAATTCAATGAAATAAAGTATAATATAGATAGAGATAAATGTTGTTAGGTTTCTGAATGTGTTGTAGATATTGTCAACGGATGGAATGAATTCATTCATTTTTGGTTGAATTTGAATAAATTATGCCAATTATTTATTTCTTTCCTCACGTACATATAGGGTGTGTTTGTTTGGGGGTTTGGATTTTGAGTTGGGATTTGAATAGTAAAAATTTTGAATTTGAATAGTTGTATGATGTGATATAAATAGGGTTTGATGTGATGTTTTGAATGTAAAATTGATTTTAGTATAATATAAAAAATGAAAAATAGGTGTTTGATTTGATATTTTTGGGGAAAAAAATTGGATGAATAGTAGAATTTTGTTAAAATTCTACAAACGAACACACTCATAATTAGTTTCAAAATAGTAAAAAAGTTAAATAGAATATAAATGTACCAGATAGTATAAATAAATACACCTTCTGTCCCATCACAACGGACACCTTTCTATTTTTGGTAAAAATTATTAAACCAAAACATATTTAATAAATATAAATCAACTTGATTAACTACATAACATATAACATTGTAAATGACGAATGACCGTTCAAAATCCTTTTATTTCTACATCTCTCTCTTAAAAAAATAAATATTTTTATCTATATTTAAAATTAGACATCTTTTATAAAATTGATTTATATTAATTATAAATAAACAAAAATATTTTTTATTTAGAAAATTTTATTCTCTACAAAAATGATATACATATTGCATATATTTTTTAATTACTATATAATTTTTAAATATTTAAACATATATTTTAATTTTTTTAATCATATATATTAAATTTATTATTAAAATATAAATATTATTAATTATACATAAACATAATATAATAATATCATAACTAATTATTATTAACTAATTAAACATTCTCAAATACAGTGTTCATAATCAAAAAGTTCAATATCGGTGGAACGGAAAAAATACTTTATTGTCTGAGATATTTATTTCACTTTAATTCGATATAAAAATTAAAAAATAATACTAGTAATTTAATATATAAAAATAGAATACTTAAAATGATGGACTACTATGGTAAATGTTTTAAAATGTTAATAAAAGGTAATGAGATAAAATATATATATATATATCTATATATATAAAAGAGCAAACTAATTATTATTTATTAAAATAAAATTAATAAAATTGTGATAGGATAACTTTTTTAAAATGTAAATGAATTATACTCTCGCCATCTACGTCAATGGAATTACTTATTTTCTATACATAAATTTTATAATAATAATATTATTTATTGATAATAGTACAAGAAAATAGAAGAATAAAATAATCTTTTTTACCCCTAAACTCAATTTATTTTTCAATAATATTGTCTGTAATATTATGTGAAGGCGTGGGGATATTTTGTACTTAATTGAAAAGCACAATTAGTAAAAAAAAAATGAAATAAATACATATTAAATTGAAATTTGAATAGTAACAAATTTATATTAGAATAATAATACAATGTGATATAAACAAATATTGATGTAATATTTTACAGGTAAAATTAATTTATAGTACAATATAAAAATAAAAAATTTGATATTTTTTAGAAAAAAACTTTTGGTGATTAGTAAAAATTAAGAAAATTCTTTCAAATGAATACACCCTAGAAGTGGGCGGATGAAGTATATAAGTTTAGGCAATGAATAAAAAAATGCTTTCATTAAAATACTTTTTTCGTACTAAAGCAATAGTTTTATTTTACTATTTTCGTTCATTTCAAAATAATAGTTCAATTTTTATTTTTATAACTAACTCTCAATTTTTTTACAAAAATATCAACATTTTTTTCATAATTATTACATAAAGTAATAATATTTTGATCTTTTAAAAATACTTTTATACCGACTATTAATATAATATTATTATATTATTTTAGGACGAAGAGAGTAATAATAATAATTTAAAAATGTTATGTGATATTTAGGTGTAGTTTTTAAGATATAAAAAAAAAACCTGTTATTTAAATTTATTTTCGTTTTTTAGTTAAAAAAATAATATTTTTCTCTCTTTTTTATCATAAAGAGATCTTATTTTTATTCATTTTTAAAAAAAATTCATGTCAGATTAAAGGAGTATAATTTTACATGAGTGTATTTAATTGTGCGATTTCGATTTTATTGTTTCAATTTTTTTTAAAAAAATAAAATATCAAATTGAACACTTATTTTTCATTTATTATATACTATACTCAAATTTAATTGTATAAATACATATTTATATCATTTTAAATAATTATTATAAACCAAAAGTTTATTATTCAAAACTAAAAATCAAATCCAAAATGGCATAAATAAACACACTTTGTGTTTGGTATATTTGATGAATTATTGAATATATACATATATATATATATATAATTAAGATGAATGAGAGAAGCAGCCAAACCAAGCCAAGCCAAGCCAAATTGTCTGTATTTTTAGAGCAATTTTTTCAAAATTTATTATTTAAACTTTGTATTTTTTTTAAAAAAATAAAATTATTTTACAAAATATCACATTAAATATTATTATTTAAACTCTACATTTTATTAAAAAAATATTACATCAAATATTATTATAATACTATTTTTTTTTTTACCAAAATTTCCAAAATTCAACAAAAAGAAACACATATTCCAGATGTAATAATTGCATATGCTTATTTGGATCCCCTATACTTAGCTCCCTAACTCCCTAAACACCATCATTGTCCTTCCTGCATGCCTACCTACCCCTCTCTCTCTCTCTCTCTCTCTCTCTCTCTCTCTCTCTCTCTCTCTCTCCATCCACCATGATATCATATCATTTCATATATATATATATATCTCTGTCGCCTTAATTTTGTGCCTATATTTATATACATACACGTACACTAGGCACAGTTGTAGTTCCTAGTATAAGTGCAACAACTAAATTAAAAATTAATTTGAATTGAAATCAATCATTATAAATAAATAGTTTTACAACTTAGGCCATCCGCATCCGCATCCGGATTTTCTTCGGTGCGGATAAATTTTCACGTCAGTTTTCTATTTAAAAAATAAAATCAAAATAATGATAAAGAAATTACAGCATGGAAGTAGCGCTGCTGTGCGGTTGTTCTGCCCAGCACTTCTCCGTTGCTTTCTTTATTTTGGCCATGTATCCCATGGGACATGTCAAAAGATTTTAATGTATTTTATTTGAATTGTATTTGTGTATATTAATATTTTTATAAAATAATATTAATATTGAGAGTATTTTTATTTAATTAAATATAATTAAAAAAATAAATTCAATAAAATTAATGTAAAGTGAAAATTTAATTTTGTAGTACAATTTTATTAATATATTGATTAATTGTACTATAAAATTGAACTTTTATATCATATTAATTTTCGAATCAAATAATAATAATAAATATTTGTTATTGTTTATAAATTAAATTATTAAATAAATAAATATATATTAGATAAAAAATTATTATTATTAAAATTATTTTAAAAATAAATAATTTAATAATACGATGGAAAGAAAAATTAAAATACGTGCAAATAATTTAAAAGATAATTTTAATGATGCGGATGCCTTACAAAAAATGGGACATTGGGATGTATATGCGTATGTATGGAAAATTCAGGCTGTCAGACATATTTGACTAGTCTCATTATGATGGAGTATATTTCCTTATTTGGTCATAGAACCAAGACAATTTCTCATTACTCCTCTGCAACTAATAATCATTTCATACCACCCAACTTAACCATATTGCTATTTGCTCCACATTCCATTTCCATTTTATATTTTTTTTCTGCCCCAAAATTAATTAAATACTGATATACTAATCAATTTACAATGGGCCAGCCCATTTCCTTTATCTATTTGGGCCTTAATTAGGCCATTGGATTTCTATGCATTGAATTGATCTTCTTCAAATTCACACGTCACGGCAGATCGACCGTACAGCTACAATACAGAGCAGAAATGGTGGGAATGGAATTTGGTATTTTAATTCATCACCAAGCTTTTACAGATGGCGGCGGATTAGATCCGCCGGTGATGATTTTGTCTCCACAATCCTTCGCAGTTCTCAAAGCTAAAAGGTTGTTGTTACTTAGTTTACCTGGATTCGTCGCCGACCTGAGCCTGAGCTGCGCGCACGAATGATCCGCCGGAAACCTGTGTTTGAGGCAGATTCTGACGCGGCAGCTCTTACACGTGGCGACGTTCGAGAACGTCAGAACCTCCTTGCACCGCCGCACCGGACATTTCGGTTTTTTGTTGTTCTTAGGATCGCAGTCTCCTGATTCCGAGTGCTTCTCTAGAATCTTCTTCTCCTCCTCCTCGTCCTGACCGGTCGTTTCGATCGCATACGAGCAGATCTCGCAGACCAATACTTTGCGGCTACCGATTTCGGAATTAGGGCACTCATGCGCCTTGTACGATCTGTGCTCTAAACAGAACACCTGCTTATGCACATATAAATTAATCGATTCAGAATCGACGAAACCAGTCGGAATAACATCTAATCGATTCTAACTTTCTAACTCAAACATATCGATCGATTGATCGATCATGATTTACACTGCTAGCTACGATACGAGCGTACCTTGCGACAAGCGTTGCAGGTGAAAGGTAGAAAATCGAGCTGACGGCAGTCGAGGTGCTGACAATGGCTGCCTAGGTCTGGAAAAGCCTCCGTTCCTCTTTCCATTGAATCGAAATTGCAGTGTTTGCTACGTTGAGAATCAGGTAAAAGCCTCTGCAAATATATAGAAAGGTAGCTTGGAGAAGAAGCCAAGTCAAATCCATGTTCATACCCGTTGAGAATTCTTGCGCGGGAAGAAAGTCGAAAGATAAACAGTAACCGGCTTCTTATATATATACTCGAAGCTTCCGGAAAGTACTAGCCGGATGATGGGCCTAAATTATGAGTTTGGGCTATTTCGAAGGCCCATTTTAGCCTATTTTGTATTACTTATTTTTAGTTTCGAAAATATTGAAAAAAATACCACTATCGTTAATATTTAATGGCAATTGTATTACACGCGCACTGACTGCGTGTGTTATTGAAAATTCACCTATCAGAAAAAGAAAATTACAAAATTACCCTTCTTTCTCCGTTTCATCTTTCTCCACCTTTCCCCCATTGTTGTTGTCTCCTGCTTTATGGTCCTCTCAGCCATTTTTTTTCTTGGATAAAAGCTTGGTACAAAAATTAGACGCGGCGGTTTCCGATTGCTCGAATAGTCATCGAGGTTCAGCAGATCCAAGCACGATCTCAATAGCATACTGAAAAAATGAACAAACAAATAAAACGAAATAGATGCACCGGCAGAAAAGAAAACAACGACAAACTCAGATTTCTTGAAAACAAGGCAACACTCGGGCAATATGCATCTCTACAATAATGGCGGTCGACCATTCCTGAATCTTTGCAATCTACAATAATGGCGGTCGACAATTCCTGAATCTTTGCAATCAATAGTGGATTGGGGTGAGCTTGGAGAAAAATAAAAAGAAAATCAATCTAATATGTAATCCTGGGAATTGAGATTATAATTTGACGTGAGGAAAGTAGCGAAAAAAATAAGTCTGAAATATTAAAGAAGGTGATGTTGTTAATGGCTGACAGACAGATAAAGAACGGTGGATTGCTGACCGGATATATCAATTTCATTTTTTTTTTCTTTTTTCTTATAAAATAAAATTACTTTCTTAGGGTGTGTTTGTTTGGGGTTTGGATTTTGAGGTAGGATTTGAATAATAAAAATTTTGAATTTGAATAGTTGTATGATGCGAAATAGGTGTTGACGTGATGTTTTGAATGTAAAATTGATTTTTAGTATAATATAAAAAATAAAAAATAAGTATTTGATTTGATGTTTTTAAGGAAAAAAAAATTGGATGAATAGTAAAATCCTACGACCGAACACACCATTAATAAAAATAGTTAGGGGAATATGCTAATTAAGCTATCGCAATTGAATAATCGAATTTGAGTGAAATCGCCCAAATTAGACATACTTTTCTTAAATTTAGGTCAAATTCCAAAATCTCCAAATTTAAATTGGTAAGAATATTAATAATTTGAATGAATACAAAAAAAAAAAAAACAATTAGATTCAAGAAACATAGATTAAAAATAATAATAATAAAAAAAAAAGAACAAAAAAGAAATTGAGACAAGCGGCAAAAGAAGAAATAGAGAAAGAATATATATATATATATATGTAAAGAAAAGAAGTAATAGAGGTGAAAAAAGATTGGTCAAATTCCTGCATGCATATGAGGGGTATAACGGTCCAAACATATAAAATATTGACATTGTTAGTTTAATTTTGAAGGGAGGGATGAGTGTACAATATTTTGAAAACCACAAATAGGTTTTATGAAATTTTAAAACCAAAGGAGGTTTTCAATACATTCGAAAAACCACAGGAAATTTTATGCTATTTTATCGAAAAAAAAAAAGAATAAAGAAAGATAAATAAAAATATATTTATCTTATTAGGCTGTTTTAATAAGGGAAATCAAAATTGAAAATAAATTATATCTTATTATTTATTTTTATCCAATAAAGGGAAATAAAAATGAAACAATGCAAAGTATGTTTATTTAACACTCCCTCATCGGATAAACTTGTGTCTATTTGACCCGGTACGGATCATATTCACATCGTTAAAATACGAGGTATTAGTCGTGAGAACCTCATCCACATGGGGATGTCCATGAAGAATCCGACTTAGCTACATTTATTAACAGATCAGTCGACGGCCTCACACCGTTGGGATACTTCAAATAAACTGGAGTACATATGGGATACACCGGGGTAGAGTTGTAAAACAAACAAACAGTTCACAAGCTTGACTTGGTTCGGCTCGTTTGAACTGATTAAGAGCTTGTTCGTTAAGCTAAACGAGCCGAATACGAACATAAATTTTGGCTCGTTATGTTCACGAACGAGCTCGAGCTTGTAAGCGAACGTTCGATAGTATTTATTAAAAAAATTAAATTGATAATTTTATATTTCATAAGTATATATCTTTATAAATATTATATTGCATTCTATTTTTTTATTTAAATTTATTAATAAAAATTATAATTATTATTAACTAAATTTAATTTTTTAAAAACATAAATAAATAAATAAAATAAAATTTCTCTTAACGCGTCGAACATGAACAAAAAGAATTGCTAAACGAGCCGAGCTCAAACAAAAATTTCTACTCGTATCTCTTAACGAACGAACACGAGCCTAACTCGAATCCTTAATATTTGAGCTCGACTCTATTTGGCTCGTTTACAGCTCTAACCGAGGATGATCATGATACTCCTAAAAAATCGAAATTCTTGATCAACGGGGGAAAACCCTTTTTGTTCAATAGGATATCATTGACTTATTTCTATTAAGAAAAGTGGGTAAAAATAGAAATTTTTTATTTTTATTGTAAAAAAAATAGAAAAAGTGGTACTTTTTACTAAAAACAGAAATGAGAATAATTTTGGATAACAAAAAAAAAAAAGAAAAATAAGAATAAATTTGGATGATAAGAAAGAGTAATTCTTTTCATTAATCTTCATTACTCTCTTCGTCCTACATATGATGCAATATTTGGTTTTCGACACGTAAATTTAGATGAATAATATTAAATATACTTCATCCGTCCCTTAATAATCTATACATTTTTTTCATTTTAGTCTGTCTCATAACAAAGTATCTATTTTATTTTTTAATAACTGTACTATCTACCTAACATTACAAATACCCTTTCAATTTACAATATATTACAAAAATGTCATTACTTTTATATCATACAATACTAGTAAGGGTAGTTTAGTCTTTTTACATTTATTTCTACAACATTTCGCTGTAATACTAATATTTCTAAAATTCTGTGCTAAAAGTAAATGGATAGATAGATATGAGACGAAATGAGTAATAAATTGTAAAATATGTGATTTGATAAGAGACAAATGTATATTTAATTTTTTTCTTATTTGAACGATGTGATAGGATAAAGTTTCGTTAATTATTTTTTATTTTGAAATATTGCAGAATATGTATAACAAATCAAAATGAAAAATATTGTAGGATATGTTTGTCCACTAATAAACATCTCATTTGTTATTTTAGTTTGTCCAAAATCAAAACTTCTCATTTTTCTCTGAGAAAATTAACTCTCAACTAAATACCAAAATATATACTTTTTACTTTTCACATTATATCTTTCAAGGGTAAAATTGATATTATATTACTTTATTACACGATATATCTATAAAACATTAATTTACCATAATCCGCATGTAAAAATCAAATAAAAAATTTACTAATTGACGGAGAGAATATAATACTATATTTGTTAGGAATTTTGGTCGTTTGAAATCTAATTCAACAAGTCCCTCAAAAATATAATAAGTTGACCTACTCCTTAACCTGACCCATACCCATATATCATATTCTTAGCCCGTTAGTTTGTTAGATTAGATTTGGAGAAGTTTTAGAAATAAATATAGAGAAGAAGTTTGGGGGTTTTGGGTGAGTTAGTTTCTATTAGTGTAAAACCTACATAGATAGTGAGGGGAAAATAAAGAGAAGAAATGAAGAGAAAGCAACCTTTCGAGCACCTTTTGGTGAGGTTGAGAGATATTTTGGAGATGTTTGAAATGTTTTCTTTGTGTCACTTATGGAGGATGTCAAAGTTGAGAAGCCGACCTCCATCTTACGGCGTGGTTACCTCAGGTGATTATGTACTTTGGGCTGAGGCAAAAATCAAAATCCCTTAGTCTCGGTGAAAGATCGAGAAAGATTGGAGAATGATCGGTACTGTAACAGCTAGAATTGTCGCTGGAGTAAGTTCGATGAGAGCTGTTGTCGTTGGTGTTGTTCAGAGTCGAGCATGCATTGCCAAGGGAAGAAGCCGCTGACCGCCGCCTACGCTATCCGTCATTGGTCTGCTGGTGAAGTCTTTGTCGGTGTTGAATTAACAACTCTAGGTTGTGCAATTGAAGAAGGAAAATAAACACAGTGCTGAGTTGTGTCTCCTCCGAATCAATCGTAAAGCAAAGATTGATTCAGATGCTTAGACCGTAGAACTTTGTACTTAGCCTGTAGAGGTATGTGTTGGAGCGGTACAATTTAGTGTCTAAGATATTATTTGTGTTTATATTTGAGTGTTCTCTAGTTGACGTAAAATAAGATAATATTCCTGTTTTGTATCCACGATATTGCTTTCCTTTGTGAATATGCAAATGTGTTGCTAATTTGTGTAGTAGTTTGTGTACTCATTTAGAATATGTAGGTACATTATATTGAATCCGTATAAAATTTACTTGTATGTTTGTTTTCGTAGTATTTGTGTGTACTATGTGCTAAGTTGTGGTATGATCATTATAGGTGCATGTTAAGACTTATATGTGTGATATGTTTTGCATGTATAAAATTTGTTCATAATGCAACGAGGGACAAATGGCAATGCTAAAACCCATTGGTTGCAGTTAAGTCTAATCTATGTAAATATGTATATATGATTTGGTTAAATTACAACCAAAATACACGGAGTATGTTCAAAATTTTGGACGTTCAAGGTCTAATTCAACAAGTTCCTAAAAAATATACTCTCTCCGTCCCACTTACCATGTCTATGTTGTTGTTTCTATCCGTCTCACATCTCATGTTACTTTTATTTTTTGGAAAATGATTAACCATCTTAATCTTATTTTAAAATTTCTAATTTAATTTTTTTTAAATTTTAATTAAACTAATTAGTTATCTTAATCTTAATCTATAATGATTTATATTATAGGTTAATTATTTTTACTAATACATTCTTAATTATCTACTAATTATATTTATCCTAAATTCTCGTGTCTACAGTGATCAAGACACCCAATGTGGGACGGAGGTAGTAATATTTTCGTTCGTCTCTAAGGGTCTCATTTACTTTTTGTGTGTTGATATTTGAATATTAATTATGATATCAAAACGTAATACAAATTAAGAAAAAATTAAAAAATTTATTTCTATTAATGTCTTCTAATACTAATTATAGAATATTTGTACAAAAAATTATACAAATATAAAAATATTTTTAATGTTAAGTATAATAACACAAAAGATAAATGTGACCCTTAAAATATAGAGGGGACGGATAGAGTAATAAATTATCTCACTTCTTAGCTTAGCCCACCATTCAGCCCAAAATTTTAAACCCAAACCCATATATTATATCCTTGTTGTATACGAACTGTACACAATGCAATGACGTTGATAATTTGTGGCTGTCTTCTTGGTTAATCTCTTAGCCTCACAATCACTTCTCCCTTTACCTATATATATATATGTATGGCTTGTATGAATAAAAAATCATCCACTTTATTCTCTAAAAAATCTCTTTCTCCTCTCTTATATATACTTACACATACATATACTAATATTATTGCATAATACATATACATATAGACGTATATATATTTATATACTTACCTATTTAATATATTATTATTTTTATTATATAACAATCCTTAGCCAATTAATTTGTTATATTAGTTTTAGAGAAGTCTTAGAGATAGATATAGAGAGGAGTTTGGAGTTTGGAGTTTTTAGGTGAAATTGTTTATGTGAGTGTAAAACGAATATAGAAAATGAGAAAAAACAGCGGAAAGAAGAGTGAAGAGAAAATAACCTTTGGAGCACCTTCGGGTAAGATTGAGAGATATTCTGGTGAGATTCGGAATCCATTCTTTGTACCCATTCTTCTCTGCCTAAATGAATATATATATTTTGAACGATGTGATAAAATAAAATTTAATTAATTGTTTTTTATTTTGAAAATATTACAAAGATATATGTAACAAATCAAAATAAAAAATATTGCAGCATAGATAGGACCGATGGAGTGTTTTTTAATACTTCCTCCGTCCACCAGTAAATGTCTTATTTACTATTTAAGTATGTTAAAAATCAAAAAAATTTATTTTTTATTTTTTGGAAAAGTAACTCTTAAATAAATACCAAAATATCTATATATTTTTTTATTTTTTTTATATTATTTTTTGAAAGTAACATAAATATTATATTACTTTATTATATTAAATATTTTTTATAAAATACCAATTACCTTCGTACGCGTGAAAAATCAAAAAAAATAATAATTTGTCGTTTGAAATCTACATATAATAAGTTGGAGGAAGTCCGGCGAGAGCTGCTGCCGCTGGTGCTGTTCGGAGTTGAGCAGGCACTGTCCGGGGAAGAAGCCGCCAACCGCTGCCTACGTCGTCCGTCGTTGGTCCGCCGGTGAAGTCGTCGTCGGTGTTGAATTAACAAGAAGTCCGGGCTGTGCAATCGAAGATGCTGAGTTGTGTCTCAGCCGAATCTATCGCAAAGCAAGGATGGATTAATGTTTTCCCTTCTTGCAATTCCATTCCCAGTTCACAATTTCTTTGCATAATTTAAGGCGCTTTTTTATTTTTTATTTTTTTATTTTTTTTGACTTGAAAACTTGCCGCCCTCACTCGAAAGTGTGCATAGGTAAACCTTCGATTGAATATAATACCCTGCAAAGTAGACTCGAAATTCATTGTTCCTGACCCTGCTTCACCTTAATTGTTATTTGAACAAGTAAAAGTTCTGTCTTGATTCTGGTTCGAGTGAGGATAGCATTTCTCTTTTATATGTCTATAGAGTTTTAAAAAATTCAAACATAGATCGATAGAGAGGTACGAGAGAGATGTAGGAATTTCTCGAACGAACTGCACTTTTTCGTATACGTTAAGAGTCCATTGATAAGACGAATCATGTGGCAGGTGGACACGTGGGGTGTGTTTGTTTGGGGGATTTGTCCCTAAATCCACTGTTCATCCAATTTTCTCCTGAAACATTAAATTAAATACTTATTTTTTAGTTTTTATATTATACTAAAAATCAATTTTACATTCAAAATATCACATCAATACTTATTTATATGACATCATAAAACTATTCAAATTCAAAATTTTTACTATTCAAAACCCCCAAACAAACACAACCGTGGAAGTTTAAACTTATGACCTCACGATGACGAGTCTACTTCCACACATCAAATTGATTTGTTGTTAATTTCGATTCGATTTAATATTAATTTGATTTTATTCAAATTAATTTTTTGGACCAACTAAATACATAATTATCTCCAACCGACCAATTTTATTTATGCAGTTTAACTTAAAAAATATAGTTTGCATGTTATTTTTACTTTTAAAAAGTATTATTTAAATATTTTATTTTATATATTATTTTAAATAATTTTTTATATTTATAATTAATATTTTCTTTAAAAAATAAATAAAAAGAATTATTATACAAAAATTTTAAATATATATATACACACACCAATCCAATAAAATAGAATCGTTTGCACTATAGCAATCATCATTTTTTATATCAAAATTGGTGTGCAGGTTGGAGAGTGAAAACCCAATTTATGGGGCCGCAGTCATCAAAATTTCAACCCCATTGCCCGTTGGAAATGACCTAATAGTATTTTTCTACATTTCTCTCATCCAATCCAATCCAATCCATCATCTCCTTTTAATCAATTCTGTTTGTTTAATATTTTAATTTAAATTTCTTTTGTGATAGTAATATAAAATAAATAATACTTTATCTTAAATTATTAATTTTTGTTAAAAAATAAAATCTACTATAAACTTTACATATATTGATAATCATATAAAAAAATAAAATAAAATTTAATTGAATGAACAAATTCTTGTTTTCTACTTTTTTTCATTTTATTATTACAATTCCATTTTATACCATAGACCTAATTTCTCTATATACATACGATCCACGTGACATGCACAAGACATCACGACAATGAAGGCATTATTTATTGCAGCAACAACCTATTATTTGATAAACTATGAACCTGCTCGTTTGTAAAGACTAAAGGTGCGTGCATGGAGGAATAATCCTCTTTTAGTGGTAGTGATTATTATCATCATCAACAAAACCAAACAATCCAAATGTCAATTGGGATTTTGACTTAATCACGACTAATTTGTAGCTAATAATTATGAGGAGTGACATCCAGCTTAGCACACAGAAACTTAGCAACTAAGTTGAAGAAACACAATCATTATAAAATGTGATCATATATATATATATATATATTGCCTGATTTCATGCATATGCAGAGACCCTTTTTGGCCCATATTTCTTACCAACTTCCTATTAGCTTTCCGAAGAACTATGACCAATTCTTGCACCAAATACGTACCTTAAATTCTGTTGCATCCGTATCCTTTGATCAGTGTTCTTCATCCTCTACATGTGATCTCTTTTTTCTTCTGCAGAGGAAGATTGTCAATGGTGAAGAAGCACAGATGGAAGATTCTCTTCCACAAGTCATCACCGCCGCCGCCGTCGTCTCCAATTCCGGCGGAATTTCTGTGCCCACTGTCAGGTACAATCATGGCGGATCCTGTTATTGTCGCCTCTGGCCACACTTTCGAACGCAATTGCGTCCTTGCCTGCGTTTCCCTCTCCTTCGTCCCCATTCTCCCCGCCGGCGCCGCAGCGGATTTCTCCGCCGTCATCCCCAACATCGCTCTCAAGTCTGCAATTCTCAACTGGTGTCGTCTCCAGCACGTTGAGCCTCCGAAATCGATCGAATTTCACTCAGCTGAAAAAATTGTGCGGAATCTGATTCACCGATTTCCGGCGACCGAGTTAGAACGAACTGTGAAGCCTCCGGCTGATCGGAGTTCCTGTACGCCACCAACGATTCGACCTTCGTGTTATTCCTCCTGTTCGTCGTGTGAAACAGAAATTTCCAGCCCTAATTTATCAGAAGAGGAAGAAATCGTCGTGAAATTGGAAAATCCCCAAATTCACGAGCAAGAGGAGGCGCTGAATACACTCCGGCGACTGACACGAACTCGGGAGGAGACGCGCCTCCGTCTCTGCACGCCGCGGCTGCTCTCGTCGCTGAAATCGCTAATCGCTTCGAATCATCCGTCTCTTCAGGCGAACGCCGCCGCGGCGGTGGTGAACCTCTCCTTGGAGAAACAAAACAAGGTGAAAATCGTCCGATCCGGAATCATTCCACCGCTGATCGACGTTCTCCACGGCGAATTCCTCGAATCAAAGGACCACGCCGCCGGCGCGCTCTTCAGTCTATCCCTCGCCGACGAGAACAAAACCGCAATCGGCGTGCTAGGCGCTCTGCAACCGCTCCTCCACTCACTCCGTTCCGAGTCCGTACGCACTCGAAACGACGCCGCTCTGGCTCTATACCATCTCTCTTCGGTGCAGATCAACCAGGCGAAATTGATTAAGCTCGGAGCAGTTCGGAATCTGTTAAACATGGTGAAATCCGGTCATATGTTGAGCCGCGCAATGCTAATCTTACGGAATTTGGCTGCCAATGCAGAAGGAAGGACGGCGATGCTCGAAGGCGGCGCCGTGAAGTGCTTCGTCGCCTTACTGAGTGACGGAAAGCTGGAGTCGCCGGCGGGGCGAGATAGGTGTTTGGCGGCGGTTTACTGGCTGAGCCGCGGCGGATTGAGGTTTAAGGCGCTGGCGAAAGAGGCGGCGGCAGAGGAGGTTCTGATGAAGCTGGAGAAAACAGGGAGCAAGGTCGCCGGAAGAATTCTGGAGGCATTGAGAGAAAAAGTAGAATTTGATGAAAAGGATGAAGAAGAAGTGAATTGGGTAGAGTTGCTTGGTTTGGAGGAGGATGGTGTTTAATTTGAAAACTGCAATTTCATTATTACATCACTATCACTGTAATTGTCACACCACAGTTGATATGTTAACTTGAAATTGTTGTTTCGGAATGTTTTATGGTTAAGCCTATCTCGATCGGACAATTTCATTTATACAGTTATAATTATAATATAATTGTTACAGTAATTTAACTCTAATCCACGATTCTATAACTCCAAAAAGAATATTCTCTAAATATTTTATTTTATAGTATATTATTTTAAATAACTTTTTATATTAAAAAAATATAAATATATATAATTAAAATATAAAAAATAACGGATTGGTCTTTATAGAGACCAATTTACAATTTGTAAAAATTAAAAAACACCATAAATGATATTGCTACAGTGCAACACCAAAAATAGGAATGAGAATAAAGTTACGTTGGAGAAGCATATTTCCAAATATGAAGCTGCAACGCCATAATTAGCGTTACCTAGAAGAAGGCCTAAGAGCAAACAACAATGAATCTAACTTGGATGGCCTCCCACCAAAAGACTTCTTGTATATTCAGGTTGTTGTGTTCTGTTATGAATCTTATGTTTTTCCTATTGAAATTTTTTTTTTCTTTCAAAAATATTAAATCAAATCATTATTATTTTTTATATATTATATTACAAATTTATTTTATATTCAAAATATCATATCAACCTTTATTTATATTATATGAAATAACTATTCAAATTCAATTTTTTACTATTAAAAAATTCAAACTCAAAAACTAAAATTCACAATCAAACACAATAATAGAGTTCATCTATGAGACATTATGCATGATTTTGATTTAATAGGTTGGAGAACTCGACCCGCAATCCAAACTTTTTAATCCGGCCCGATTCTAAAGTCATGATCCGATCCGGCGCTCTTATATCCCCTTTTCCTCTTCTCACTCTCTGGTTTTTCATCTTCGCGATTATTCTCGGTGAGTTTTAAGGATTTTTTTTCTTCGCAATCATTCTAGTTCGATTCATTCCGGTAAGTTGTTCCTTTTCATATTCTTTGTGAGTTCTTGGCGAAATCGGTCAGGACTCTAGATTGAGTCCGTAGGTTTGGGGTTTTGTTTGAAGGCGGCTGAATTAATCCCTAAGTGATTCATTAGGTTGTAGATTGAACCGTCAAAATAATTTCCCCAATCGTACTTATTGAATTGTTTTGGGAATCGCCGGAGGAGGTTTCCAGAAGAGCTATCGAGCTGCTCTTTGCTGGAGGAGGACATCGCTGCTGCCGGAGGAGGAAGAACTGCCGGCTGCCACTGTGTTGACATTGTCGATTGAAGTGATGTCCTAATTTTGGAATTGGATCTCGGCCAAACAAACACACAAACAGGAAAGTGATTTTTTGCTTTCAATCTTAGTTTTCTTTGTTTTGGGCACTTAGCTCCGGTATTGTTGTTTGACAAATTAGAATAAAAACACAACAAACACGATCAACTTTAAGGCGTTTTTGTCATTTTATTTGCTTTTAAATGTTTTTAATTACATTTAGGCTTTAAATTCTTGATATTATATCCCATCAAACTTTTATTATTTTTTAATAAAAATAAAAATAAAAAAATCCCATCAAATCATCTTTCATTCTAATTGAGAGAGGCATAGGATTCCAATTAGTGGCATTGAAATTGGCAGCACAAGCAGCAGCTGTAGCTGTATGTATGTATGTATGTATTATTGAAGTTCTTTCTTTCAATGCTTTCTAACAAAACCTAACAAGGACATTAAATTTTACACACAAAAGGGTGCAACTGTTGCAGACAGTATAAACAAATTATTAATTAATTAAGGGACCGGACCTACAAATAAATGTCGATGTTGATGTCAATTACCATAATCACATGAAAAATAAATAGATAGAAAAGTAACGCCTCAATACCACCACCATCTTCGACCATTCACCAATATACAATCCACATATAATGTATCAAATAATTAATTAATTAATTAAAAATGAAATTAATCTCAATTATTAAAGGCGTCGCACCTGCGCCGAACCTCGCCCCTTCTTCCGGTCTTGACGCCGTACGCACTGAGCTTCTCCATGGCTCTCGCAAATGCCTCAAAAAATGCAGTCTGATTTCTGGAATACAAATCCACATACCTTCTGGTTCTCCAATCCATGCTCAACGCGTGATCCGACGACAGCAGGCCCAATCCTTTCTGCACATTGCTGTAGTACATGTTGTCGAATTTGTTGGGAGTGATAACGTCGTTGAACACCGATAGCGTCGGATTCCTCCGGTAATCTGCGCACGCACTCCGCAGGGACTTGGCGAATTCGCTATAATACGCCGGATCGGACTGCGATGTGCGGCTGTAGTTGTAGAGGATGGAGCTGAACTCCTTGCAGTGCGAGAATCCGATGGTGTGAGCGCCGGAGAGAGCAACCATTTCCTGTACGGAGAATCCTTTGGTTTGGAATATCCGAACCATCTGATCCATCGACATTGCTGGCCTCGGGATGTTGCCTTCGACATCGGAAGCTCGGGAGGTGAGCGAGTCCTTGCGACCTAATCGGACGGTGTAGAACGGTCCGCCCATCATCACCACCAGATTGCGCGTCGCGACGGCGAGGATGTCGGCGCAGGAGACCACGCCGGGGCAGGTGAGTTCGAGAGCGGTTTTTGCGCGCACGACGACGTCGAAGCCGTCGCCGGGGAGAGAGAGGTTAATTTCGGCGTCGCGTTCGGCTTTGCTGAATCGCGTTGAGGAGATGAGTACCGACGCGTCGCAGCCTAGGACGAAGCAATCGTGGAAGAAGAGGCGGAGAGCGGCGGCGGCGGTCGTCGGCGATGAGATCTGCTTGTTGGTGGTGGTGTCCTGCACGATCTGCTCGAATCGGGGGCAGGATCTGCGGTAGTAGCCTGTGGTGAGGAGCGGGCGGCGCTGGGCGTGGGCGGCGGGGAGTATGAGGAGCGTCAGAAGCAAAATCAACGGCGGAGACATGGCAGTTTCCGACTGTGCTCAGCTCCGCTCTGCTCAACTCTGCAGCTTCAGTGGAGATGGAAGAAGAGCGTAAGTTAAAAGTTTTAGGGGCGGTGTGCATAACGCGCCTGTGTTTGTTAATGTGGTCATGGGCCGTTTTGGGTTTATGCCTGTGCTTGTGCGCTTGAGCTGTACGTAGGGCCCACGTGGCTACGTGGCGAGTCGGTGGTTTTATGCGTTTTGTGGTGACTGCCCTGCCCTGCCCAGATACTTCTGCCCCGGCTTTAAAATGACCTGAATTTACAAAACTATCCATAATTAATGAAGTTCTATATTTTATACTTAATTATTATTATTATTATTTATTTATTCTTTTAGAACATGATAAACTCCGATCCAACTTACTATTCCGTAAACTAGATCCGACAAGTTACACTAAGGGTGTGTTTGTTTGAGGTTTGGATTTCGAGTTGGGATTTGAATAGTAAAAATCTTAATAGTTATATAATGTGATATAAATAGGTGTTGATGCGATGTTTTGAATGTAAAATTAATTTTTAGTATAATATAAAAAATGAAAAATAAGTATTTGATTTAATATTTTTTAAAAAAAATTAAATAAATAATATAAATTCAATCCAATCCCTCAATCACGCCCTAGTAGAACTGTATGTAACATTTAAATCTGAAAGGCATCTGAATTTGAAACAATGATCGAACACTATCTAACACACTATCACGTCATTTAATTATTATAAATATTATTGTTTTGAGGAAGTCGAGAGATGCCCTAATTAAAGTGAACGATGTTTCCGCCAGATCACATGCCCATGTCTTATTCCTACAGCACACTTATATATTATTATTATTGTTATTTATATTTATTTATTACAAGGGTCAAATAATTCACACATATCGAAGGCGGATTTTTCCGTCTATCCCATACAAATAGATTGACTAATGCTCATTCATCTCTATTGATGAAGTGCTAGCAGTAGTATGGCACCAATAATTGTTTGGATTTATTTTTTCATTATTATTTTTATTAAAAAAAAAACATTATTTCAAATTCTTATTTTATTTTAAATTGTATTTTTATTTCGTAGGAAAAAAAAAGGTACCAATATGATGTTGAATTTACGCCTCATTCTATACAAATACAATATAAGATTTATAGTATGTAATATATTCCTATAAAAAATATATAATATATGTTTCAAAGACGAACATACAATATATGTTCTTATTAAGTATTAAGTAAAAATGTGCTATTGCAATTTTTTTTTTTTTTTGGATGATGTGAGAACCCGCAATCGCTACCCAAAAGTGCGCATGAAAGTCACACTAGGCGAATCATGTGTGGCAGGTGACCTGAAGCGTCGGGGGTTTGAACCCATGACCTCACGGTCACAAGTCCAACCCCTACACCACCAGGTTTGCAGGATGTTAGATTCGGCCGAGGGTTTACCTAGTGTGCACTTTCGGATAGCGACTGCGAATTCCTACATATATGAATTAGGCATTCAAAGTGATATATACAATATATAAATATATATAATCTACATATATATATACTAGAACCCGGCGCGCGCGATGCCGCGCCGGTGTGTACAATAAAAATAATTTCGTATAAAATATATACATACACATGTAAAACAAGTAAACAAGTTCGATATGATTGTAACAAAATCAAAGTAAAACAACCTCAACATTTAACTTAAAACGTGATGCAAATTTTAGGTCGCTTACTGTACTTGGAGAGATCAGGAATGCCAGTGGCTGGAAGTGAAATTGAAAGTAAAGAAAGCTAAGCCTAAACCATAGACGCCCATTTCCAAAAAATGATTTCAGCTAGAGCTTTTAGCTTATTAACAGCTTTTAGCTGTTTGATCAGTTAAAAAGCTAATTTAGGTGTTTGGTAATTTAACTTTTTTAAAGAGCTTTTTGGATCCAAAAAGCTCGTGGGTGAAAAACTCATTCACCCAGCTTTTTGAAAGAATTTTTCATTTTAATTTTGGTTATTCCTTATTTACCTTTAAAACTTAATTAATTTTTTTATACATATAAATATATATTTATAGTTGTATTTATTAATTATTTTTAATATATTTAATATTAAATTATATCTTTATTTTTGTAAATTTAAAATAATTACTATTATTAATTATTACACATAAATTATTTTATTTGTAAAATATATAAATTTTTAAAACTAAATTAAATTAAAAAAATAAAGGTTATTAATTTATTTATATATATTAAAACAATAATTTAACATAATAAAATATATATATATGAAAGATTTATTATTTTATATTTTACATAATTTCAATAAAAAATTATTATTTTTTAGTAAAAATAATTTTCTCAAATCTAAATAACAAAAATAAAAATAAATATTTTATAATATATTTATAATTTTCAATAATTAATAACAAAAATTTTCGTAAATTTTAAACCAAAATGAACAAAATTAAATATTTTAAAAAATAACATATCAATGTCCTTAATAGTCATTTTATATATGAACAGCTAATGTCAAACAGTTATTTTATCAAACACTTTAATACAAACCACTAATTGAATCAGCTAGTCAAACCAGCTAATTGAATCAACTAACTGCTAAGAGCTAATTGAATAAGCAGCTAAAATCTATCTGCTAATTGCTAAACGCACCCTAAGTAAAATAGGAAGACAGACATCTTCTATTCCAAAAAATTTAAAACATGCGGATGACAACGAAATGATCTTTTAGTAAATTCCACAAAAAAAAGATATGTTATATGATTATTACCAATCTTCTTTAAGGTGCGTTTGTTTGGGGGATTGGATTTTAAATCCACTGTTCATCCCATTTCCAAAAAAAAAAATATCAAATTAAACACCTATTTTTTATTTTTTATAGTATACTAAAAATTAATTTTACATTTAAAACATCAAATCAACACCTATTTATATCACGTCATACAACTATTAAAATTCAAAATTTTTACTATTCAAATTCCAACTCGAAATTCAAACCTCCCAGACAAACACAAATGTAAGTAATGAAACATCTACAAGCATCAGTAAAGTCATAATATATTCTATGTAAACCAACTACATGTAATAAAAAAATATTATGGTTTAAATTAATTAGTTACTAACCATGTAAGTAAAAAAAGGCAAAAATGCATAAGACCAATTTTACCTAACCACTTAAAATCATTTCTCAGTTAAAATACCATAGTAAATCTAAATTACTAACAAACACATACAACCTTAAAAGAAGTATTATTCATAAAGTCAAGGTATCAGTTCTTTCTTGAATCGCTTTTTTCTGTTGGTGTCATCCTCACTCGTAAATGATTAGTGTCCCTTTCGAGGTTAAAAGCGGTAGGTAGCCTTGTTCCTATAGGAATCTATACGCTTTGATTGGAACTTGAAAAGCTAGAACCTTAACTTGAGATTTTAAGAGATGTAACCAATATGAGAAACATTAGAAAGTGAATTCAAATATTGAAAAACATAACTTTAGAACAATGTTAGCAATTAGTATTGTTCTCAATATTAAGCAATATAACCAATATATGCAATGGATGAAAAATCACCATTACTCGCATATTATTGCATTATGATGTATGATATTGTATTGAGGGTAAAAAAGTCATTTCCCCTAAATGTGTGTATACATAGGAAAAAATGAAACAAATTGTAAATGTTCGATAACAAATATGTGTGTTTGCTTAGGCAAAAATATAAAATTCAACCCAAGAAACTTTTTGGGACATAATATATGTGAAACAAAACTCAACTAATTTTTAGATTTGGATATATAAATATATATATAACCTGACTTATTTGGACAAAACGCTTAATCAGAAATCGGAAACTTTGAAGTTTCCAACAGCATCCAAAAGAAAAGTTTTATGGCTGCACCGTCAAAGGTAATCGTTAAAAAGGTTCAGCATATGAATTTAAGTATTACTGAAATAAGTTAGCAGCCGCATGAACTATCTTTATATATCTATAGAAGACTCCCATGTTGACTGCTATGGCAATAGAAACAGCATTAATAAGCTGATGAAAATACTCCCGCTTCATCTTCTCGCATCCTTCTATGGTTCACCTTCATAGTACAAATTACTATTTATAAAAATATACTTTAAAAATCAATTTTGACTAACATGTAAACATAGTTCTAAAGAAAATCTGCATAGGAATATATATATATATTTTGTAAGTATTACATGGTGTGCTCTTAATGTAATACTTAGTGAGGTTATGAAGTGCAAAATTACACGTTCAATGAAAATGCAAAACGAAATGCTTCAAACTCTGAAAAATGGTTTAAAATCACAAGCATACCATCTGAACTCCGGCCTGAATGTAATCGAATTTAAAAATAAAATAGCAACAGCACACTCCAGTGCTAGCGTAATCAAATTTGAGAATAAAGTAAAACCATTATTCCAAATTTGAGCTATCGCCAATCCGTTGCACTTCTAGATTATCTTATTCCTCACATCTGCCTAATCGATCGTTCATTCCCAAAAGCAATAACCGTAAGTAAATTCTACAAAAAATATTGAAACGGAAATCTACATAAAGGCTTGAAGTTTCCCTTGGGGGAGAAGGCGATGGATGGGCCAATCTTGGAGGTGAGAAATTTCGCCAATGATCTGAAAGCAATAGCTGATTCTTGGCGACTACTGTCTTATATATTGTGAAGGCTACGCCATGCTATAAATAAGAAATAGTACTTCATTTCAGTTTTGAGAGTTAATAAAACATTCTATTTTGCCGGGTGCATTTATAGTGTTCTTACTTTAGTGTACATTAGAGATGTGTACGAGACTGCACTAGCGAGTTCTCGAAGGAGTCTAAGAATTGCTAGACCGACGGGAAGGTGATCGATGAGGAACCATCCCACCCGTTACAAGTGGACAGTGGGGTGAAAAATGGGGTTGAAAGGAAAAACTTAGATGAAGAATCATTTTGTCGAACAGATTGTGAGCGTGAACCAAAAGCCAGAACTTCGACAAAGGTTCGAGTAAAGTGGACGCTGACGAATCCATATCCGCAACCAAAGCTCATTAAAATGAACTTTATCTTGTTTCTGTCAAAATTGGGGGAATTTTGAAGGAAATGAAATATGTTTATGTTTTTAATTTATAAAATTACTATTATATTTCTAATATTATATACTTCCTCCGTCCACACGCAAAGTAAACATTTACTTTTGGCGCTGTGTTTAAGAAATAATAGTAGTATTTTAATTATAGTGGGTAGTTAAAAGTAGTAAAATGACATTTTTGCCCTTATTTTTTTGTGTAAAAGTAATGATGTGATGTAAAGTAAGGATATTTGTGGAAAAAAGTGAAGTATTTAATAAAATATTTATTTTGTAATTGGACGTCCAAAAATAGAAATATGTATACTTTCTAGCTGAACGGCGAGAGTATTACTTTATCTATATTTAATTATACAAAAATTATACTCCGTCCGTCCCATCGAAATTGAATCCTTTGATTATGGACATGTTATTTAAGATAAGGATTTTTAATTAGTTAATAATAATTAGTTATGATATTATTTTTTATATAATTAATAATATTTATAGTTTTAAAGTAAATTTAATATATATGATTAAAAAAATCAAAATATATGTTTAAATATTTAAAAACTATATAGCAATTAAAAAATATATGTAATATAAATATCATTTTGTAAAGAATAAAATTTTCTATAATATACGTAAATACAAAAATATTTTTCTATTTATAATTAACATAAATCAATTTTATAAAAGATGTGTAGTTTTAAATATAGATAAAAATATTTATTTTTTAAAGAAAAATAGAAATAAAGGGGTTTTGAGTGGGTCATACGTCATTTATGATATTATATGTTATGTAATTAATTAAGTTGATTTATATTTGTTAAATATATTTTTTATTTAATAATTTTTACCAAAAATAGAAATGTGTCAATTATTACGGAACAGACAAAAATGAAAATAGTGTCAATTATGGTGGGACGTATTTTATAATTAATAATTAGTTATAATATTTTTAAATTTTATAACGTAATTAAATTATAAAATAAAAAATTTTATATAAGGTGAAAAGTTAAAGGATGGATGAACGGCGACGAGGCGATCACGGCAAAACTTCAATTTATATGTTATTTTTTTATAGGTTGAAGGGTAACATTGTCAATTCAAGTGGCAAAGGTACAAAACTTCCATTTATATATTATAATAATATAATATACACATGTATTAAGTGGGGTTGGGTGATGTTGGGCAATTTTAATGTTAAGGATCTGATGTTTATTTGACACTATTTATTTTTTAAAAAATATTATTTTAAATATTTATTTTTATAAAATATCAAATCAAATATTAATTTTATATTTTTTCAAATTCTAAAAGGCTCTGTTAACACCCCTATCTAAATGGAGCTATAAATTGTGTGTTGGCTATGAGATTATGGCTTTTCCTAACTTTATAACATATATATATTTATGATAGTCCATCAAGAGACAAAACATTCTATGGTATATTATTTTAATACAAAACTCAAACCAATTTTTTTTTTTTTTTTTTTTTTTTTTTTTTTTTTTAAACCCATCAAAGAAACATACCCTTTCCATTGCTTGTTAGGCTTAGGTACAAGACAATCAACACCACATGGAGCTGTTATATATTTATACGAGCGGAATACCCATGCGTCGGAAATCAACAAAAAAAATTATAATTATATATTTTTTATTTAATAGTAATTTTTTTATATATTATATATATTTTTAATCAATATAAAAAAATATAAAATAATGTCAATGAATTATAGTATCTTCGTCTATAAAGTAAATATTTAATTTTGTAGCAATTTACTTTTATTGAATATAAGATTATAATATAATAATATTAATTAAAATAATTTTGAATACAAAATAAATTACATTTTAAAAATTTAATATAATTATTTTTATATCTTCTTTATAAACGTAATTACAAATAAAAATTATTTATCAATATATACTTTGTAATTCTAGAATAAATTTAAAACCTAAATCTATCATTATTAAAATTCATATATAAAAACAAAAGAAAAAATATATATACATAGCTTTTTTTTTAAACATATATATGTGTTTACATAATTATTTTTAAAATTAGTAAAATATCTGCATTTACCTTTGGATAGTACTATGCATTTATTTTAAATTTATAATAAAAAATATATCCAGAATCTACACAATCTTTCCGATAAATATCATACAATAAATTAAAAAATAAAAATATATAATCCAACAATACTCTACAAAACAAATTTCTTATTCTACTGTTTAAAAAACAAAGGAAAAACAAATAAAATCTTCACTACACCTATAACAACAATTTTAAACAAATAAAATCTTCACTACACCTATAACAACAATTTTAACGCATCTTCTGATCTGAGCGTCGCGCAAGCTCGAACTAAAAACATCATCATCATCTACCATTATCCACTAATTATCGGCCAAACACACGCACCAAATAGAGTCGACATCAGTCCACTGTTCGAGCACAAACTTTTCCAAGAAATATGTAATATAACTAAAATAATTTAATGTTAAAATAACAATTTAATTTATTATGAACAAAATCAATTAAAAAATATATAAAAACTATACATATATTTGGAATGAGAATTTAAATTACACTTAAATGTATAATAAAATAATTTTTATATATTACAAATTTAAAAACCAGCACTATCACTAAACACCTCCATTTATCTTTTTTTTTTTTTGTCTTTTCTTCTTTGTTCCCTTTTTTTTTTATGATTTTTTTTTTCTTTAACATTCATATCTTTCTGTACCTGATGCTACGACTTAAAGCAGATCACTATAGGAAGAAATTAAATACAAAATGAAAAAAAATAATCATAAATAAATTCAAAATTTCAATTTAAATGTCTAAAAAAAATATTGTCTAACTGCAGTAAATATAACATCGTTGAAATAAATCAACAAATCTAAACAAAATCAATTAAAAAAATAAATAAAAGCTATACATATATTTGGAATAAGAATTTAAATTACACTAAAATGTATAATAAAATAATTTTTATATATTAAAAATTAAATCACCACCAAACACTATCACTAAACACCTCTATTTATCTATTTTTTTTCTTTTCTTCTTTGTTCCCGTTTTTTTTTTTTCTTTTCTTCTTTGTTCCCGTTTCTTTTTTTTTTCTGATTTTTTTTTCTTCTTTTAACATTTCTCTCTTTTTGTACCCTGATGCTATAAGTGAAAGCAAATCGCTATGGGAAAAAATTAAATACAAAATGAAAAAAAAAATAACCATAAATAAATTAAATTTTTTAATTTAAATGTCTAAAAAAAATATTGTCTGGCTGCAGTAAATATAACCTCGTGAAACCATAAAAATAAATCAACAAAACTAAACAAAATTTAGGAATAAAAGCTAGCGAATCCTCCGGCAAACAATTTAGAAAATAACTTTATTACTCTCCACACCAAAATAAACAATTTAGAGAATAACAAAATAAACAATTTAGAGAATAACAAAATAAAAAAACTTAAATTATAGAAAAATTTATTGGATAATTCATCAATGAAAATTTATTGAAAAATTTAAATTATAAAAAAAATATATATATTGGATAATTCATCAATGAAAATTTATTCAAAACTTCAAATTCATTGAAAAATTTACTTTTAAAAAAATAGACTTCTGCTGCTCCTGGTTTTTCTTGAAGAAAATTTTTGTAAAAAAGTCGGGGCTAAAAAATTATACAAAAATTCAAAAAAAATGTAATTAATAAAAATAAATATGAATAAAATAACAGGAAAATATAAGAATTTACTTCAAGAGGAAGACGGACTTCTGCTCCTATTCCGGTGGCAATCTTTTCAGTAGAAAAATTGTCTTCTACCATTAAAAAAACAGGGCTAAAAATTTATAAAAAAAAATTCAAAAATATAATTAATAAAAATGAATATAATGAAATAACTATAAAATATAAGAACTTGAGAAAGAAGTAAAAGTTTTTGTCTTCTGCTATAAATTAAATTTTAGAAAAAGAACAACACCGTGTAAAACTTGCCTGAAAAATCTTCTTATCTGGTGACAATCTTTTTCTGTAATACAAAGAGATCAAGTAAAGCAGGGCTAAAAATGTATATGAAAATTTAAAAAAATATAATTAATAAAAATGAATATAAGAACTTGAGGAAGAAGTGAAAGTTCCTGGTTATGCCATAATTTAAATTTTAGAAAAAGAACAACACTCTCTGAAACTTGCTTGAAGATCTTCTTCTCTAATTTTTTCTCTAATACAAAGAGATAAATTTCATATATAACTTCACTATAAAAATACTCTCTGAAAAACTCATCCACTTATAAATTAACTTTCAAACTGTATGTCATACAAAACACTGTAAAAGAAAAAATCAAATTAAAAAACAAAAAAATCTCAAAATTCTGAGATTACAGCATTTGAGAAATATTGTAAAAAATGAATCTGCATTGAGCTCTTTTATATATATATATATATATGATGATGATAGTGCATTTGATATGTCCATTTTTCATGTCACATTTGATATGTCTCAATCTAGTTCAATACTCCCTCCGTCTCTAGTGTCGTGGGTCACATTTACTATAAATACGAAAATTTAAGAGATGTATAGTTTATAAATAATTAAAAATATATTAATAAAATTAATTATAATAATACAAAAAATTGTAAATTAAAATAACTAATTATAACATTGTATGGGATTTTTTTTTTTCTCTTTCTTTATGATGTGGAAGCAGAGCCGAACCTAATATCTTGCAACTAGGTCTGACAAGATCTTCTTTGTTCATGCTACCATTGTCCCAACACAAGCACACGCTATGTATATGCTTAAGTGAATCACTACAAAAAAATATGTGAATGCGGCTAACGTCACTGTAGTAAAAGTCAAAATTGTTAACACGTGTCGATAACAACAATATGTCGTAAACATGATAAAGTTTCAACCTAATATGCAAAAATTGGAATTGGTAGAGGCTTCAATGATTGTATCGTCACTATCATTTTTTTCATCTTGCTCATATGCTCGGTATGCCCTAAATGGAGCATTAGGGCCTAAGAATGGTGCAAGAGATCTTGAGGAAATGTAGGTAGGTTATGTGTGTTCCTAACAAATTGACAAAATGTCTAAACGAACTTCATCAACTACAAAGCAAAATAATAATCCTCAATTAAGATATATAGAAACCAAAAAAAAAAAGGATAGATAAAGGAAAGAAGAATTAGTTGATGAGAAATGAAGCATAAGTCATAAATGGACTATCACAAAGTAAAAATTGCTAAATACCCACACCTGTTTTTGCCCCACATCACCTCTAAAGATTATTGGGACTTGCAGAGAATTTCAACATTTTGTTGTTCAACAGAACTCTCCCGAACTGCAACATTTACTGAGAAAGGGCGTAAGGTAGACAGACAAAAATGGGACATAAACAGCAGAGAAAGATTGCCAAATCAAGAGACCTTTGGAATGAAAGTAAAAGACAAAAATACAAGAACAGTAACATTTACACAGCAATTTTCAATCGTTCAGAGGGTACAGATTGAATAATTTTATAGTTTAACAGTAATATAATGAACTTCAAATGAAAGTATTACTTATAATGGAGCTTCAAAGCAAACTTCAAATATATATATATATATCTGCCATCTGCAAGCTAATCAAGACACAACAGAATTCTAATTCAAATACATGTATAATCAATCCAAGATTCTTCCACAGTAATCAAAATTCAACAAGAAGCGTTTCTTAATTCAACGGTATCCTACTACCAGTAGACTATATAATTCAGAGACTACCAACATATTATCAAAATAATTAATAAATATCAAGGGGATAGATCATTGTGACGTTCGCCAGGTGCTTCTTATCTCGAGGCCAGTTTCACGAGGGCCATAACAAGGTACATCATCAGAAAACAACGACGGAAGATTGTGACGGTAGTTGAAATACCAATATAAATAAAAACAAACACCAAATTCTGTATTTGTGAGACATTCTGAGATATGTAAGTACCACTTTGTTTAGGTTAAAATCCTTTGGGAAGATTGCATATAAGTAAAACCTGAAATTGTGAAATAACACCAAACGTTCTGAAATTATAACCTCACATCTCGACCCTTGCCTGCGACGGCGATTGTTGAGCGCTGGAGGAACGGCGGCGGTGCTGCGGGTCGGCTTGTTGAAAACTCCGTCCGTTCGTGCATATACGAGCTGCTGCGAAGCAGTAACTGGCGACGAGTCTGCAAAGACTGGTTCAAAATACGTGCAGTGTCGTCTCGCAGCGACGATACGACGGGGGTGGGGACGGCGGTGGGCGCAGCGTGAGGTTCACGGTACCAATGTACGAACTGCAAACTGTTTGGGTTTTTAACTTAATAAGTGGCATGTTTTCACCCACACATATCCTCAACCCAAATTTACTTTTTTTTTTTTTTTTTTTTGTATTAATTTATTACATCAACTTTTTATTTAAAGGTGTGTTTGTTTGGGGATTTGGATTTTGAGTTGGATTTGAATAATAAAAATTTTGAATTTGAATAGTTGTTGATGTGATATAAATAGGTATTGATGTGATGTTTTGAATGTAAAATTGATTTTTAGTATAATATAAAAATGAAAAATAGGAGTTTGATTTGATATTTTTTGGGAAAAAAAATTGGATGAATAATGGAATTAAAATCCAATCCCCCAAACAAACACACCTTTTATCTTGTTATCTTCCAATATTAGTTATTACTCTCTCTTTCTTACTAGTAGAGTTCCATTTTTTATTTCCGTATGTTTTAAAACAAGGATATCATTAGAGCTGTAAAACAAACGAACAGTTCGCGAGCTCGGCTCAGTTCGACTCGTTTATGCTCGCTAATAGCTCGTTTGTTAAGCTAAACGAACCGAACACAAAAATAAATTTTAGCTCGTTACGTTCACGAACGAGCTCGAACTTGTTCGCGAACATTCGATAGTATTTATTAAAAAAAAATTTAAATTTATAATTTTATATTTAATAAGTATATATCTTTATAAATATTATATTTCATTCTTTTTTATTTAAATTTATTAATAAAAATTATAATTATTATTAACTAAATTTAAAAAAATTTTAAAAAATTAAATAAATAAAATAAAATTTTTCTTAACGAGTCGAGTGGAGCCGAACACGAACAAAAAAAATATTAAACGAGCCGAGCTAAAAAAAAAATTAGCTCGTATATCTTAACGAACGAATACGAAGCGAGCTCAAACATGACAAGCTCGGCTCTGTTCGGCTCGTTTACTGCTCTAAGTACAATTCTCTAATTTAGTAATTGTATTACCTACCTATCGTAATAACTATCCTTTTTACTTACAATATATTACACAAATGTCACAACATTTATATTATACAATACTAATAAGGGACGGAGGGAGTATATCAAAATGTAGTACAAATTAAGAAAAAATTTCAAAAATACTTCTATTAATATTTTATAATACTAACAAAATGATATTTGTAGAAAAAAAATATACAAATATAATAATATTTTAAATATTAAGTAAAATGACGCAAAATGTGACCTTAGAGACGGACTGACGAAATACGTTTTATTATTAGGGTGTGTTTGTTTAGGGATTTGGATTTTAAATTTGAATTTGAATAGTAAAAATTTTGAATTATAATACTCGTATAATATAATATAAATAGGTATTGATATTATATTTTAAATCTAAAATTAATTTTAGTATAATATAAAAAATAAAAAGTATTTAATTTAATATTATTTTAAAGAAAAAAAATGGATAAAAAGTGGATTTAAGGGAAAATTCCCCAACAAGCACACCACTTCTCTTATTCAAACAAATAAGAGAAATGATATCATTTTTATTTATCTGGCCTCATTTTTCTGTACCAAACACAACTTCATTTCTTTGTACCAAACACAAATTTAAAGAAATGAAGTCAGAGAAATATAAATAGTATCATTTTTCTTATTTGTTTGAGTCAGAGAAATAGAACTTGAGAAATAAATCATTTCAATTTATCTGTTTTCATTTCTCTCCCATACGAAGAGAAATGAAGAGAAATAATGTTGCAGTATATATATATATTTTAATTTAATTTTTACGATATTTTAAAAAATTGTACTAAAATATAATCTTAAAAAACATTGTATATAATTTATAATTTTTTTTAAGAAAAACTCTCTTTTTATCGTCTTAATCATTTATTTTTGTCTGATCATTCATATATCTGCATTTTTTTTTTAAAATTTTCAAATCTCTGTTTTATCAAACAAGAAATTCTCATTCTCTATTCAATTCAATTTCTCTCCAATTCTATTCTCTATTCTCTACTCTCATTTCTCTCCAATTCCATTCTCCATGCAAACGACCCTAACTACTCCCTCTGCTCAACGAGCTCTAGAAATACAATATTTAAAATACTGTAGATTAATAAATTTTTAATAAAAAATAATGGTATTATTTATGTTTTTATATATAAATAATGTTGTTGAAGTTTTTATATTTTCAACATCTTAATAAACTATATATAATACGAATTAATTCAAAACTAACTTATTAAGAATTGAGGATTTTAAATATAAATATAAATATTTGTTTATAAAATAGAGAAATAAAATTTAAAAATTTTTAAATGAATTTACGCGTAATAAATTAAAATTTTAATTAAATGGATTTATGAAACCGATATACTCGTCAAATCATTCCTATTATTTCCTCCAAAACTTTTTCGAATTTTTCCAATTCTTTTTCATCTTTCTAAATGTGCTTTATAATTTCCATTTTTCTAAAAGAAGGTAAAGATAAAATAAAACTATCAAATTGAAATGGAAATTATCACTTCGAAAATTATATATAGAATTACAACTAACAAGTTTTTATATAGTAATAAATTTATTAATTTTTTTATATTTTTACTACTAAATTTTTTATTTTTTATTTTCTATTTTAGTCTATTTAAATCAAGATTTTTTATTTAAAAAAGTAACTCTCAACTAAATACTAAAACATTCATATTTTTATTTTTTAAGTTACTAAAGGTGTGTTTGTTTGAAGGATTGGATTTTTAATCCATTATTCATTTCATTTTTTCTCCCCTAAAAAACATCAAATCAGACACCTATTTTTCATTTTTCATATTATATTAAAAATAATTTTACATCAAAACATCACATCAATACATATTTATATCACATCATACAACTATTCAAATTAAAAAAATTTACTATTCAAATCCCAACTCAAAATCCAAACCTCCAAACAAACATACCCTAAGAGTAAAATAAATATTATCTCATTTTATTACATTATATATCTATAAAATACTAATTTACTTTAATTCTTGTATAAAAATCAAAGAAAAGTTTACCACAAGAAAATATTATTTTATATAATTATATGAACCCTATACAATATTTACGTACTAATCAAATTATAATTTTTTATTTAAATAATAATAATAAATAATGCTTCATATATTTAATAGTAAATATAGTAATTATGTTGTATTTGAGTTTATATTCAATTTATTTATTATATATTAGGATTTATATATGATTGATTCTAATGTTTATTGAACTTGAAACAATAAATTAATTTTTTTATTTGAGCATTTTTTTTATATAATTAAAATATACTTTCACCGTTCAAGGTCTTAATTAAAATTTAAAATTTGTAAAAAAATAAAACTTAAAATTAACATTTCATATTTTTTTACTCAATTTTTTCCCTCCTAGGTAAAATATTATAATTGGTACAGTAAATTTTAAAAAATATAATAAAAATTTACTTTAATCTTATAACTTTTTTTTTTGTATCTACTATGTAAAGATAATTTACTATGTATTTTTATAATTAATATGATCAATTTTTCTTTTGCAAGTTTTCTTTGATAAATTATTAACAATAAAATTAAAATTATAAAATAATTTATTTTTATGTATTTTTAATTAAAGATATATATATTTTATTTATTTCAAAATATTCCTAACATTAAATAAAAATAATATAAAAATTAAATTAAATTATAATAATTATGTGTATAGCACAGATTTAACCGCTAGTTTTACTGTATATTTTACTGTCAACTTTAAGGTAGTTGTAAATGACTATTTTTGTGGATTATCTTAGTGTATATACAGGACAATAATCTCATAACAAAGTATTCATTTTTTCATAAGAAAAAATATCAATTTTTTTTTTAAATAACTGTACTATCTACCTGACATTACAAATACGCTTACGACTTACAATATATTACACAAATATCATTACTTTTATATCACACATACTAATAATGTTAGTTTAGTTATTTCTACTTAATTCCTACTATATCTCAATATAATACTAATATTTTTAAAACTACGTGCAAAAAGAAAATGGATATCTAGTTATGGGACAGAGGGAGTAACAATAAATCGAACTTAAACTGTAAACTTTAAAGTTATACTTTCTCCGTCCAGCTACAAAGCATATATTTTTTTATTTTGGAACGTTCAATTACAAAGTAACCATTTCATTAAATACCTCACTTTTTTCCACAAATACTCTTACTTTACATCACATCATTACTTTTATACCAAAAAGTAAGAACAAAAATGTCATTACACTACTTTTACATACCCACTATAATTAAAATACTATTATTTTTTAAACTCCGCGCCAAAAATAAATATATACTTATTGCTTGGACGAAAGGAGTATTTATATCATTTATATACTTTATTCGTCTCATTTAATTTGTCTATTTTATTTTTTTTTCGCTAATCTCATATAATTTGTTCTTTTTTTTTAAAAAAAAATATAATTATACACTTTAATCATATTTTAAAATTCGTAATTTATAATTTTAATTTTAATTAAACTATTTAGTCATCTTACTTTTAATTTATAATTATTTTTATCAAATCATAATTATTTATACTAAATACACTTTTAAATTACTTGTTAATTATACAATATCTAAATCTCCGTATCTAAGTTAAAATGAGACAATTTAATTGAGGCGAAGAGTATTATAGATGAAATTCAATATTCAATAGGTAATTGATGATATTAGCCAACTTTCTTCATGTATGTCATAGGCTTAGCAGCCTCTCTAGGCGTGACAATTACAACTATCTCAACAGCTTCTTTACTTTTTATTTATTTATTTATTTCATATTCAATCTTCAATTTAAATTTCAACGCTGTTTTATGGAAAAAAATATTAAATTAAAAATATTTAGAACGCGAATTCAAAATATTTTTAAAAGTAAAATCTTATACTCCCTTCTTCCCTTCGTTTCATAATAAATTATCTATTTTTTTATTTTAGTCTTTTCTATAATAAAATATTTATTTTATTTTTTAATAACTGTACTATTTACCTAACATTACAAATACCCTTACAACTTACAATATATTACACAAATGCCATTACATTTATATCACACATACTAATAAGGTTATTTTAATCATTTCTACTTTATTCCTACTATATCCCAATATAATACTAATATTTCTAAAATTACGTGCAAAAAACAAATAGATATTTAATTGTGGGACGAAGGAAGTAGTATTGTTTTACTAACGTTGTATCTACACACAATTCTTTAGTTTTTTATTTAAATTTTTACCCTTTTAAGTATAATTTATAAAAAAATAAGTATAATTTATAAAAAATAAAAGTAAAATTGTCAAAACAAAAAAATACTCCCTCCGTCCCATTGAAAGGTTATCATTTTCTATTTTCGTCCGTCCCAAAATAACGTTACAATTTCCTAATTTAGTAATTGTAACTACATACCTAACATAATAAATATCCTCTCAACTTACAATATATTACACAAATGTCATTACTTTTATATTATATCATACTAATATGAGTATTTTTATCTTTTCATTACAATCCAATATAATACTAATATTTAAAAATCTACGTACAAAAAACAAATGTCACCCTTCCAATAGGACGGAGGGAGTATGTTAAAATTACATCGGTGCGTACTTTCGGGTAGCGGCTGCGAGTTCCCACATCATAAAAAAAAAAAAAAAAATTTCCCTCCATCCCATTGAAAGGTTGCTATTTTCCATTTTCGTCCGCCCCAAAACAATGTTACTATTTCCTAATTTAGTAATTGTACTACCTACTTAACATAATAAATATCTTTTCAACTTACACTATATTACACAAATGTTATTACTTTTATATTGCACAATACTAATAGGGGTATTTTCGTCTTTTCCACTACAATCTATTATAATATTAATATTAAAAAATCTACGTGTAAAAAGTAAACGACAACCTTGCACCGGAAACGGAGGTAACAAATAAATAAAAGGACATGCAAAGAGACCTACACCCATGCCCGGCATCAAGAAATAGTTTTGGCTCTCTTTATTTGTAAGATTTTATCCATTATTTTATTATTTTAACTTAATTTTTTTTTTCAAAAATATCAAATCAAGTACTCGATTTTTATTTATTTTATTACATTAAAATCTAATTTTACATTCAAAATATCACATTAATATATATTTATATCATATCAAACAGCTATTTCTAACTTAAAATTTTACTATTAAAATCAAAATTTTTTTCAAATACGGCTAGAAAATTAATATACAAAACATATAAGACAAATTAAATAATAATCAAACAAATAAATAAATTTCCAGAACACGTGCCTAAATAAAAGTTAAAAAGTTTCAAACTTTTTGATGGTCCATCATCCGTTCAATTCAAGGCCACCTTGTTGAAAAATCCTCTTTCTCGATTAAAATATTAAAAATATGTTTCTTGTACTTCAATTATAGTACTACTTATAATACTTATAATGCTGACACGCGGACACGTGAATTTTATTATTATTTTTTATTTTTTTTAAAATTTATTTTCAATTTTATTTGTTTATTTTAAGTTTTTTATAGAGTCTAATTGAAAAAATAATTTTTTAAAAAAAAATTAAATTCACGTGTCCGTCAGGTGTCGCTGACCCAACGGACATGTGGATTCTGGCAAGTCACGCGGACGTCTCCGGCGTCGAAGGACTAAAACAATGAAAATTTTCCACTTATGAGAATAGTTTGCAACAAACTCTACTTATGAGACTAAAATAACAAGGAAGTTCAGTTACGAAACTAAAAAAAAAAACAGTTTACCCAAAAATAAAATAAAATGATTGTAACAAAAACGTCATAAGTTTGTTGTTTAAATTGACGTAAATAGCGACCGCACATGCTCTTACCCTCAACGGGTAATTACTTGCTGAATCAAATTTGTACAAACTTAGAATACATACATACATACATACTATTCAACTAACTTCTTCTTATTGCCGCCTCAAGTCGTCTATAAATAACAATACATACATAATTCAAATTTCACACATATATATATTATTCAATTATATAAATTGATCATTCAATTCACAATTATTTCCATCGTTACAGTAAAGTGCATAATCATGTCATCCTCTCTCAATTACATTTTTCTCGTAAAGCCCTTTAAGTTCTTCATTCTCCACGACTTCCATGATCTTCTCCCCAAAATGCCCCTCCTCGATCGATTTACCTTCCTCGTGAGCACATACATATATATATATATATTTATTTATTTAAATATTTGTGTTTATAAATTAATTTAATTTATTATGTTGGTCGCAGATTGTTCATTTAATCGATAGGGTGGGGTTATGGCACAGGCTCCCGGTGTTCTTGGGTTTGATATACCTGGTTCTCCGGCAGAGCCTTCACCGCCGCTACAACCTCCTCAACGTCGGAGACAAGCCGCCGCTAAGAGACGGCGCCGCCGGAGACGGCGGCGCTGGGGCCTTCTTTGGGAGGAACCTCATGCCGGTTTCTCAGAAAACTACTGTACGTATAATCTGAATATTTGCATGTACGGCCTGCCTCAATTGGCTCTACTCAATTTAATTTCCATTATTGCTGTACTGATTATTTATTATTAGCTTCGTTAGAGTTATTAAACGAACCGAGCCGTTCGTGAGCTCGACTCGGATAAAATTCGTTCATGAAACGAGCCGAGCCGAATAATATAAACGGACTCGTTTGGTTAGCGAACGAGTCTAACGTTAGTTAAAATAATATATTTATTTTAAATATTATATATACATATAAAATTATAATTTATAAATAAATTAAATATTAATTTAAATAATTTTTTTTAATTTATATATAAATTAAAAAAAGTGAGACAAACGAGCTCGAACAAATTTAATTGAGCCAAACATGAATATGAGCTCAAACAATCAAAATCTTAACGAGCTGAGCTTGAATGCTACGAACGAGCTCGAAAGCTTAACGTACGAACACGAGCTTTGTTCGCGAATGTTAACGAACGAACACAAACACTTAAAATTCGGCTCGGCTCAACTCGTTAACGCCTCTAATCCTTAGTAAATAATTAAGAAATGTATTAGTAAAAATAGTTATAGATTAAGATTAAAATGACTAAATAATTTAATTAAAATAAAAAAATTTATAAATTTTAAAATTTAAAATATATATAATTATATTTTAAAAAAAAAATAACAAATTATGTTGAACTAATTGAAATAGAAAGAGTGGACAAAGTTTAAGGAGTACTAATAAGTTTGGATTATAATCAAATGAATTATTGGTAGATCATATGATATGTTTATTCTTAAAAAAATATTTATTTAACTTTTAGAAAGTATAGTTTCAATAAATTTTATAGAGTTTATTAGATCTTTGTATGTCTTTTATAGGATATAAATAATAGACTGATTAAACATGATGGTTTTAATATAAAAAAAAAAAAAAAACATTGAATATTATATGTTTGAAAGAAAATAAAAAGTTCAATAATAAAAATAAGAATGTACTAATAAATTGTTGTCACTATTTATTAATTATATATATTTTTTTACATGGTTTTTTTTTAAATAGATTTATTTAATGTAATGATTGATATATACAGCTCATTGTCCTTTCGTGGGTGTTTTGGACGTACAGAATGGATTAAATCGATGTAACTGAGTCCTACCCTACTATTAGTATAGCTATATTAATTAATTAATTAATGTAAAAAAGAGAAAATAATACAACCAAATTACTACTCCTATTTAAATTTCATTGTCCTTACCATGGGTGATTTTTATTTTTTATTTTTTAAATTTAAAATTTTTTTATTTGAGTTTGATATTAAATAATATATTTTCAATATATTGTGATATATTTTTTTAAGACTATAAATTCAAATAGTAAAAAAATATATATATATTTAAAGTGCAAAGAACAAGTTATTTATTTTAAATTTTTTTAATAACGTATAGAAGTGCTGCCCTTCGGCAATATGGAACCAATTTTCAATTTTATTGTTTTACTTCAATTTTATATATTTTTATTTTGATATTTTTAGAATAAAATAATTTTTAAAATAAAAAGAGCTAAATAGAATATTTTTAAATATAAAAATTAAATAGTACAATGAAATAAATCCTAATCTTGTATATTGAAAACATATAATATTAACAATTAAAATATCATTATATTTGTATAAATTTTTTTTTTCTTTGCCTTTTTGTTATTCTCCTTTAATTTGTATTATATTTTTATAAAATAATTAATATTAAAAAATTAATATATTTGTAAATAAGATTTTAGAACCAAACGGATGTAGTATTAAAAATTTATATTTAATATAATATTATTTTTATTTATCGAAATAATTTTTTATATAATATATAATATTTTATATTAAAACGCTAAAGAAATATTATAAATTAAAAACATATATTTTGTGTTGCTTTTTTTTTTTTTTTAAAAAGAAAAAGTTAAATGAAATTGTTATAAAATAAATACTACTATAACATATTGAATAATATTATTTGAACTTTATTTTAAAATATTATTTAAATAATATTTAATATTAATTTTTATAAGAGATAATAATAATGATAATAATAAACCTTCAAGTACCGTTATAATAAAATACTTAACTGTGCAGCTAACAAGGCCAGACCCAATGGTGGTGGCATCAAAGCTCCTGTCGAGAAGGAAGTTCATCGACACAGGGAAGCAATTTAACCTAATAGCAGCCTCCTGGATTCAGTTCATGGTCCACGATTGGATCGACCATTTGGAGGACACTGATCACCCCCAGGTCTCTACTTAATTGCTGCTGCTAATGATGATGATGACTGACATTGACTCTCTTGTTATGAGATTTGGCAAATCGAGGACGATGAATAATATGCTTGTTAATGGCGAATTGAATGTACAGATCGAACTGAAGGCACCTGAAGAAGTTGCCAGCCAGTGCCCTGTAAAGTCCTTCAACTTCTACAAGTCGAAAGAAATTCAAATCAATACCCATGGCGACGACGATGCAATCAGCTCTGGGTTTCTGAACCGCCGGACGCCCTGGTGGTAAGATAAGATTGATAGCCTAGTGTCGAATTTAATTAATTTGGGGATGGAGGAACAGAAATTGGAAACCCTAGCTAGCTGATTAAAATTGAGAAATATGCGTAAAACGACGTCGTCTCCTGTTGGATTTAGGGATGGGAGTGCAATATACGGCAACGACACAACGACGATGCAGAGAGTTAGAACTTTCAAAGACGGAAAACTGAAGCTCTCCGGCGACGGTCTGATCCCTCTCGATCAGAATGGGATTCCGATCTCCGGCGATGTTCGCAACATATGGGCCGGCCTCTCGGCGCTGCACTCCCTCTTTGTCCAGGAACACAACGCAGTCTGCGATGCACTCAAGGTATATATATATATGTGTGTGTGTGTGTGTGTGATTGTTGATGTAATTTGGGGCTTCCAATTTGATGAAATAAGAACAAAATTGTGGCCTGAATGTTGCAGAAGGAGTACCCAGACCTGAAAGACGAGCAGCTCTACCGCCACGCACGGCGGGTGACGGCGGCGGTGATAGCCAAAATCCACACTATCGATTGGACGGTGGAGCTTCTCAAAACCGACATGCTGCGCGCCGGAATGCGAGCCAATTGGTAATTACTTACCACAATTTGTCGATTTGATTCCTTCGTACTAATTGATTAAATCAATATGGATTTCCTAAACAGGTATGGATTGCTGGGGAAGACGATCAAGGACAGATTCGGACATCTCGGATCGTTCTTCCTAAGTGGATACGTAGGTATAGGTCAGACGAACGACCATGGAGTTCCATACTCGTTGACTGAGGAATTCGTCACTGTTTATCGCCTACACTCGCTCTTACCCGACACCTTCCAGCTCAGAAATACCGACGCTGCTCCGGGACCAAACAAATCCCTTGCCATGGCGAAAGAGTACAGACTCTATATGATTCGTATTTGGGCAATTTTTTTTAATAATGAATCTGGTTAAGAATATTGTAATAAATAAATTTGCAGAATTGGTATGGAGGAGATGATCGGAAGGGAAGGAACAGATAACTTGTCGAGAATTGGGTTAACGAAGCAGATAGTGTCGATGGGTCACCAATCTTGCGGCGCACTCGAGCTCTGGAACTACCCCGTCTGGCTCAGGCGTCTGATTCCCCAAAACACCGACGGCTCAGACCGCCCGGCGCCGGTGGACCTCGCCGCCCTGGAAGGTAAATTAGGGTTTGGAATAATTTGATTTGAGTGATTGTATTAATTAATTGAAATTAATGGAGGAATTGGGGGTGGGGGTGGTGGCGGTGGCGCGTGCAGTTTACAGGGACAGGGAGAGGAGCGTTGCGAGGTACAACGAGTTCCGGCGATCTCTGATGCTGATTCCGATCAGGAAGTGGGAGGATCTGACGGACGACGCGGAGGCGGTGGAGACTCTCCGGCAGGTGTACGGCGAGGAGGTGGAGGAGCTGGACGCTCTGGTGGGGATGATGGCGGAGAAGAAGATCAAGGGGTTCGCGATCAGCGAGACGGCGTTCATCATCTTCCTGCTGATGGCTCCCCGGCGGCTGGAGTCGGATCCGTACTTCACCGGCGAATTCAACGAGGCGACGTACACGAAGAAAGGGCTGGAATGGGTGAACACGACGGAGAGCCTCAAGGATGTGCTGGACCGCCACTTCCCGGAGATGGCGGCCAAGTGGATGAACTCCGGCAGCGCATTCTCCGTCTGGGACGCGCCGCCGGAGCCGTACAACCCCGTCCCGCTCTACCTTCGCCTTCCCAAATGAAACTCTAAAGTCTCAATATTATTTAATTTGTATTTATACATAATTAATTTATGTTGTTTGTTAATCTTTTCTATAGAATTAATTACATAATTTACATGTATTGTTGTAAGACGTGTCTATTACTCTTTCAATCTCACTAAAATTATAATTGAGATAAAATATAATTAGGGTGTGTTTGTTTGAAGGATTTTGGTAGATTTTCACTATTCATCCAATTTTTTCCCCCCAAAAATATCAAATCAAACACCTATTTTTCATTTTTTATATTATACTAAAAATCAATTTTACATTCAAAACATCACATCAAACCCTATTTATATCACATCATACAACTATTCAAATTCAAAATTTTTACTATTCAAATCCCAACTCAAAATCCAAACCCCCAAACAAACACACCCTTAATAGGTAATTGATAAATGTATTAATAAAAATAATTATAAAATAAATTAAAATAAGTAAATCATTTAATTAAAAAATTATAAATTATAAAATTTAAAATATATAATAGTATTTATAAAAAATAAAAAAATAAATTATATGGAATAGAAAATAAATAAATGAATAAACACCGGATGAAGTATTAGTTTGGCCCATGTAATAAGAAATTTACAAATCTATTAACCCTTCCCTTTATTCTATAAATGTAAATTTAAAACTCTTGGACATTAAGATTAAAAGAAATATTTTAACATTATTTTTATACTTTTCACAAGAATATGGTAATGTGATATTTGGATTAGAGTAGAATGAATATATAAAAGATATGACATTATTTAGATATTTGTATAACTAAATACGAAAATATTAAGTCTAAAATAATTATATATTTTTTTACTAAATATAATTTAACACATTGAGAGACAAAAATAATAAAGTGAAAACATTGATTTTTACCATACCAACATAATAAATTCTTAACAAATAGGCATTGTTTGATTTAATTCATTAATAAGCAATGCATAACATAACATGGATGCATATATTGGAATTAGTCACTAGTGAATAAAAACTCCTACAATTATGGACAAGTAAGTACTTTCCGGGGGGCCGGAATGCTCGAATATCCCTTGAAGCTATCAGACGGAATGATCGGCGAACTCCTGATGGTGGGGGCCGGAAATAAAGTCGAAGAATATCCCTTAAAACTACTAGACGACATCATTTGCGTATTCGGGACCGGAATGATGGGAACGCTAAAATGTCCCTTAAAATAACTATTAGTTGGCGAGCACGGGTTAGAATATCCCTTGAAACTACCAGACATCTTCCCTGGAAAACACGGGACAAAATTAGAAGATTCTTTGAGAATATTAATCGGCATCCTTGGCGGACGTCGTGGGACATAAATGCCATTTGTTGTCGCGCTAGAAGATCCTTCCACATTACTAGTCGGCATGCTACTATCCCCATCGGCATCGGCGTTCTAGGTATCAATTATGCAACACATTAGGCTCAGTAAAAAAAGAGTACTGCTAATAGATAATACTCCCTTCGTCCCTTAACAATCTATTCATTTTTTCATTTCGATCCGTCCCATAACAAAATATTTTTTTTTATTTTTTTAGTAATCTAACCTTACAAATACCTTTTCAATATACAATATATTACACAAATATCATTACTTTTATAACATACAATACTAATAAGGTTATTCTAGTTCTTTTACTTTTATTTCTATTATATCCCAATATAATACTAATATTCCTAAAACTCCGTACAAATAACAAACTGATAGATAGATATGGGACCGAGGAAGTATCATAATTAAAAAAAAAAAAAAAAAAGCGTAAATGCATAAAAATAGAGAGATATATAAATGAAATGAACTTACAAGTTGTGTAAGCAAGAGAGTTGTGAATGGTAAGACGAGAAAGAGCAGAGGTTTGAGAGCCATGTTGATATATTATTATTATCTTTTGTTACTCTCCTAAATTTTTTACTCTGATGTATTGTTGTTACTGCTATCTTTTCTATGCCTAAATAATCAAATATATATAGAGGGAGACATGAATAATAATATATGCAGAAGAATGTTACCTCACTCACAGTAATAATAATTATTACTATTCACTGCCACGTACGGTTGCGGTTAGGGAAGACGACAAACGTTGTTCCGCCGTTTTAATTAATTTTGTCCGCAAAAGATAGTGCATGTATGTGGACGGGAAGACGACGTCGTTTCTATATATGTACTGTACAAAGTAATAGGACCAGTTCCAGCCCATCTATGAAATAAGTTATGCCCCAATTACTGGTGGGTGTTCAGATCTAGTAGTTCGGGTCGAACCGACCCAATCCGCTTCGGGTTAATCATTATTTTGTTTCTCTTTGTAGAAATATACTCTTTGATCGTTTATGTGATCATTTGATCGGAGATATATTTTTTAAAAAAATAGGTAAAAATATAATTTGTTTTAAAAAAATTGTATTTTTTTACTTTAAAAAAATAAAAATAAATTTTGATGACAATAAAAAAAAAATAAAAAAAGAATTAAATAACATATGATTATTATATTATAAAAAAAAAATAGATTTTGGGTTTCCAATCAAAAAATCGGTTAGGTTTCGCATATGAATTTATGAAACCCGAGCGAGTACGTGAATTTTATTTTTTATTTCTAAATATTATATTTAATGATAAAAAATTATTTTAATTTAGGTTATTATAATAATGGTAATTGATAAAGATAGATCATAAATGTTATTTATTCGTCCACCAATTTTATTTTTATGTCTTTTTTAGTTCTATCTGTTAAATTTACTCACCACTAATTTTGCAAAAAGTCTTCAAATCAATATTTAATTATTATTTTTATTTATAACAAATACTACTATTAATGCCCCATAAGAAAAATATAGTTTATATTTGTCATTATTATATTTAATATTAAAATTATTTTTATATTTTTTATAATTTATTTTACAAATGTTATTGTATTTGCATTTGTTGACATACGCTTGAATCTAATTTGCCACTTCTTTGAGTTTTCATGGGGTCTCGCTAGTATGCAGTATTAGACTTTGGAGTTGGTATTAGACTAAACTTGTCTATGTATTCTCTTAGTTTATTTGAATAGACGGTAATTTGTAGCGCAGTCGTCCTCAATAAATTTGTTCTTCATTTCCAATCGTGCGTGTAGTCAACACGTTGTTGATGAATCACGTATTTTCTTTAATAACTAATCATAATCGGTCACAACAATATTATATTATAAATAATAATAGAAATTTTTTTATCATTTTCTTTTGATTTAAACTGCATGTTAATATAATAATTAATATTAAAATATTTACGCGCAAAAAACCAATAGTATTCTTCTTTTGAAAGTGGGGTAGTATTATCTTTATTATATTATCTTTTTATTTTATTTAATTTTTAAATAAAATAATACTCCTAATTATAATGTTATTTTTATCATTTTTTAATAGAATATTTATTTTTTTATTTTCTTACTAGATCCAAGTATATTTATTTTACTTGGACGACCAGAGTAAATTTTAAGAATTTTAATATGTATTATATTATATTTATTCTTATATTTTTATAATATATATATATACATGTATTGAATATAGTCTTTATAATATTAATCCCTCCCTCCGTCCCACGTAATATGAATGTATTAATGTAGACACGAGAATTTATATAAAGTATAATTAGTAAGTAATTAAGAAGTGTATTATTAAAAATAATTATTATTTAGTAAAAATAATTATAGATTAAGATTAAGATAAGTAAATAGTTTAATTAAAATTAAGAAAATTATAAAATTTAAAATTTAAAATGCGATTAAAGTGCATAATTATATTTCCAAAAATAGAAAGGACAAGTTATATGGGAGGAACGAAAATAAAAAATAGGGACAAACTATGTGGGACGGAGGGAGTATTAAACAATATTTTTTACCAATTCCCTAATTGAAAGTGATCAAAACATAAAAATCTCTTTTATATTTTAATTTTATTCTTTCAACATAATTATCAATATATATAATATTATATATTATCATTTCAGAAAAATCAATATTTAACTTAAAATATCATTTCTATATTATCAACGTAATTTCTTATATCTCAAATAAAAAAATATATATATACATCAAACTAAACATTAAACAAACAAACCCTTTATAATTCCAATCCCAGCAAATTAAAAGCTCAAAAAACTTCATACTCAACTCAATCGAACAATAAAGATTATAAATTTATAAGTTTTGAATATAATTTATTTTTAATATAATAAAAATATAAAAATAAATATTTAATTCGATATTTTTTTAAAAAAAATAAAAAATACTTAGATAAATGATAGAAATATTTCAAAAACTTCCACCCAAACGCAACCTTAGTTTCTAAGTAAAATTTAAAGATGAATATCAAGTAAAATTATAAGGTGAATAGTAAAAATAGAATAGTAGGCATGCTATTTATTTGACCTTAGAGGTAAATCCACTGGATGACGGCACCGTCCGATATTAGAAATAATGATAAGCTATTGAGGCGCGGTAATTACTTTAGCGCTTTTTTTACTACTATTATATTTACCTACGTAACAAAAGGCAGCTTCTACACACTATAATCTCCAGTTGGAATTTTATATCAAAACAGGACTAGTCTTTGTCTATATTCATTGATCATTATTGCATAGTCTTATTCGTACGCCAGCAATGTCAATGTCATTCCTCTTTAATTATACTCCTCCGTGAAAGCAAAAAATATACATTTACTTTTAACACAAAATTTAAAAAATAATAGTATTTTAATTATAATAGATAGATAAAAGTAATGTAATGACATTTTTGCCATTTTTTTTTGTATAAAATTAATAATGTGATGTAAAGTAAGATTATTTGTGGAAAAAATAGAATATTTAATGAAATGATTACTTTGTAATTGAACGTCCCAAAATAGAAATATATATACTTTCTAACTGGACGGAGAGAGTATATTACTCCCCCGTTCTAAAATAATAGTCTGGTTGTCTTTGACACGAGATTTAAAAAATATTAATATTATATTGGTAGTGAGTAAAATGTACGGATAAAATTTTTTTTGCCCTTATGAGTGTATCAATGTAAAAAGTAGTGGTAATTGTATAATAATAATAAAAAAGTTAGAGTAATTTTATAGTTGTATCATTATTTATGAAAATGAAACTATTATTTTAAAATGGACAAAAATGATAAAAAGAACTATTGTATTGGAATTATTAAATAAGAGAGTAGATGAGGCGCTGAATTAATTATTTCACCACTTGTAAAGATAGAATTGTAATGGAATGAAATTAAATTGAATATTGCATTATTCGATTTGAAAATATTTGATTATTTGATTCAATATTCAATTGGTTTTGAATTTTAAAATAATATTTTTTATTCAATTTCAAATAATTTTCAAAATATTCAATTTTCGATAATAATATTATTCAAATATTTGATTGATTTTTTACTTATTGATTAAAAGTTACTAAATTCAAAAAAAAAAAAAAAAAATTAATTACAAATTTTAACAATAGTATTAAAATAACTTGATTTAAAATGCATATAATTATTATTTATCATTTTAAAAAAAAAAAAGTTTGACATTAAAAAGAATTTTTTTCTTTTAACATAAATAGAAACATCATTGTATGATTTTACTTTTAATTATATTATATATTTACTTCTATAAAATTTTAAAAATATTAGTATTATTTTTAAATTTAGTTTGATTTATTTATTTTGGAAAATACATATATATTTATAGATACTATATTTTATACTATGTATATATTTTTTATTATCGAAACGAATACTAAAGTTATATATTTTGAGTAATATTCAAATCGAATTGAATCAAATATCTTTATTCGAATTCTAATCATAAAATTTTGAAAACGAATATTAAAATTTAAAATCGAATATCAAATCGGACAAAAACTATTTAACTAATTTACCATCCCAACTGAAGGAAAGGTAAAAATAATTATTCTAATTATTATAATTAAATAATAATCTTTTCGTCTCTCCACCTATTTTTCTTTTTAGTTGGTCCAATGTAAAATGATTTTTTTTTTATTTTTTTTTGGTAAATTTAACAATTTACATATATTTAATAAATATAAATCAATTTAATTAAATTTTAAATATTTTACTCATGAACCCATTCAAAATTTATTTATTTTTATTTCTCTTCAATAAATAAATATTTTTATTTATATTTAGAAAATTTTATGTTTAAAAAATTAGTTGATGTTAATTATAGATAAATAAATAATTTTATTTATTTATTTTATATAAATTTTTATTTACTTTTTGCGTGTTAATTCTTAAATATTAATTATTATATCATAAATGTATACAAGTCATAGAAAAAAATAAAAATATTTTTATTAGTATCTTATAATACAAATATAATAATATTTGCATAAAAATATATACGAATATAATGATATTTTTAATGTTAAGCATAATGCAGCTAAAAACAAATGTAAACTTATTAAGTGGACCGAGAAGTATATTTTATTTATATAGAGTTTTAAATATATAAATATCTATTTTAAATTTTTTAGTCATATATATTAATTTTTAAAAAAATAAAAAAAATAAAATCATTTTTATAAAAAATAACAAAATAATATTATAATTATTATAATTTAACCTATTAAATTACATTAACAAAAAATGAGACGCTTAACTAAAACAGAATCATTTTACCCTCAAAATATAGGATAATTAATATAATTATACATAATTTATTTTTATTTATCAACGGTGCACCCGGTCCATCTGATTAAATAATGCTGGTGCTAGTGCCAGTGCCTACTTGGGTATCTATAGGTATCTCATTTATTTATTTATTTTTAAATGTAGATACAAAAATTTAGTAATATAATAATAAGTGTATAATTAATAATGCATTGTAAAAATAATTATAATTTAATAAAAATAATTTTAA